ACTTGAGGCAGGCAGAGGAGGGAGGGGCGTAGCGTTGTTCACAAACTGCCGTGCACCGGTTCGTTCACTGAGTCTTCATTCTTCATCTCTCCACTTTTCCGTGGTATAAAAGAACGACATCTCACACTCGTTTAGCGGGTGTGCCGCTTGCTGCTGTGTTGTTTCACTTGCGTCATGATGCGAACGTTGGCGGCACGCAGAGAGGTGAGTTTTTCAGGGCAGAAAAGTGATTCTTCCTTCAGGACTTGGCAAATGAACAACATGTGAAGAATGCTGTGACTTCAGCAGCAGGGAAAGTGAGAGGCTTGTTCAATGAATGAACTCCCGATCAGCGCCACTGTGTCACTAACTCACCCGTGTACTGCACGCGGCAGGATGGGGCTCCGATGCACTGAATGATTTGGTGAACGAATCTTTTGAACGAATCATTTCAATGAATGGATTCTAAAGATTCAGTACAGTCAAAAGAACAGTTCTTCCCATCGTTGACATTAAAGGCTGCAGAGTTCAAAGGACTTGGTCCAGTATTTTCAGTGAGTCGCTGAGGCAGCAATGTCGTTGTGCTCACTTATAATGTAGAAGAAGAAGAAGCTCAGTAGCTGCTCTCTAGTTGCTGTTATACTATCCTGAAGTCCATGTTGACACTCATCTAACTGCTACAAAGTCTGTACCAGTGTCTATCTGCATGTGGAAAGGGGGCATCACTTCACCCCGATCACTGCTTGCTTCATTTTGGTTGTTTTTAACAGTCTGATTTTGCCATATTGTTCTGTCTGTGGTGTTACAGTCTGTGCTCTGTATAGAAACTAACAATAAAACAGAACTTAATTACAAAAATACCTTCTGCATTTGACGGCATAGCCTTCACGATACCACTATTAAAACTTTGCATTCATGAATGTGCCATTTAGCAGTTATTTACCTAGAATCAGCCTGAAGTTATTTTATATGAAATGAATGTGATCTCTGGGTCTTTGATATTCAATTTAAAACAACAGGCTGTAAATCTGTAAAGTAGTGCATCTGAGCCAAATCAGGGTCTGAATGTTTGTTAGTCTCGACTCGATGCGTTTGTCACTATGCCTGAGTTTGAGCCTCTCTTGCTTTTACCGTTTTTTTCTGAAAAATCAACAAAATAGAATCATCTCAGTCTCTTCACACCATCTCAATGAATAATGAGTCTTCTAAAAATAACAGGTAGGATTAATTTGTCAAGTAATTTATCGAAATTTTGATTTAACAGTACAGCTGCCTCCTCATAACACCACATAGACATATATATATATATATATATATATATATAAGATGCTTTTGTCCTTGAAATACACTTGAAAAAGCAGGTTAACTTTATAGTTTGGGTTTCGCAATTAAACTCTTATAATATTGTTGTTGACAATATCAGCTCTGTAGCAGCTAAAAAAAGTTAAATCCACTCTCTCTGTGAGACCAATGTTTTCAGGTAATAAACATAAGAGTGTTTCTGCGTTGTCCTGGGTTTTTCTATCCCACAGAGAAGAGGGCTACCCAGATTCAGGACCTCAAAAACAAAGCTTATCTGTGATGACTGTGCTAAATAGAAGTTGCCTTCTACTTGGATCAATACTTACATTTCTGATTGATCATTTCAATAATTATTGTTCCTTTGCCCCTTTGGCTAATCTCAGCTGCTGCAGCCGGTTGGCCAATGTTAAAATATCATAGAAAAAACTGTTGCCATGGAGATACAATTTTTCTAACTTTACAAAGAATGCAACTTTTAGCTTAGCCATAGGTTGGGATACAGTATCTTATTATTGGCTGTTGCAGCACAGATGGTTTGACTGTATCCAAGTAAAAAAGATACTAAAAACTAAAAGACAGAGTGAGGGGATGTATTTGTTAATGAATAAAGAGCAAAAAGTGACGAATAATTTCATGTTGTTGGTTTGTAAAGACTGTGATGATTCCTGAAATTCCTCCAGAATGACACCAAGTTTATTAAACAAGCTGCATTTTCAAAAACTGAATCTTGGCTCCGCAAAGAGAGGCACAAACTGAGGCTTCCTTCAACCCCTGCTCTGTGTACTTTTAATTTCAGCAAATCCAAGTAGCAGCCTTCTCTTTGGCACGAATAACCACTATTATTTACCCTTCATTCCCTCTTCAGTCGAGGTGATTTTGAAAAATTTCACATTATCAACCTGGAGGCTGATCTGTAAAATAGATGGCTCCAGTTAGGCGCCTTGGACTACACATTAATGGGGCTTTTTTTCTCTTCCCATCTTGGCTCTGAGTGAAAACCAGCATCTATCCAGGCACATGCGTTTGTTTACCCTACTCTGCTTGGCACTGAAGTTCCTAACACTGACTGTCTACGAGCAAACACCTCCTTTCTCAGAGTCAGTCTTTAACTCTCGTTTTCTCTCCCTCTGTCAGACTGAACACAAAAGAGCACAGAGAAGAAAAATAGCACCTAAAAAGTAGTCGACAACTGCTGCTAATGTTCACCGATGCTAGAGGCATCAAAAATGCATCACTGTATTACAAGACATAACTGGTTCAAACCTGTTGATATGATCAGACTGACATGTGGTGCATTAGTGTAGACATGCTGACAGCTCGATACTAGCATTTCCAAGACTTTTCAGATAGAAAGAATAAATATATAGTAACAATTGAACAGTACAATACAAGGCCATGAACATATTGGAAAGTAACCCATGCAAGACACATTTATAAAGATGCTGTACACAAAGGTGTGTGATCAATTAAATGCCATGTGTGACAGTTCAAGTAATGGAAAAAGGCGCTGAAAATCAGGAAAACCAACTCGATACTTTGACTGAAATTAGTCTACTTACTGTCTTACATTCAAAGGAAATGTCTTGAAAATGAGTACAACTTACATTTTTAAAATCTTCATATGAAAGACAAGGAGAACAAAAAGACGGAGACGTACCTAAAAGTCATAAAATCTGGAATGAAAAGTCACTGCAATAATATTGCACTTTTTGAGAAAAAACAAACACATGTTGTGATTTTCTGTTTGGGCTCCTGTCACAAAAAGCCTCGGTGTCAAAAGGTCAGATCGGATGCAACATGATCTACGCAAGAAATGCAATAGTTCATCAGAGATAGATTGAATTGTACCAGTGTTGGTTCAATATGCAAAAGCCATCAGAAATCCTTTGAAAATCACTCAACAGTTCATTAAATGTCCCGTAAGAGTTTTCCTGCGGCGGAGGCAAAGCCAGGACCAAGGCGATGGCACAGGTTGTTTGGCAGGATGTCTCCTCTGCTCGCCCTCCTCTCTCTCTGTCATCTTTTAGGGTCTTTTTGCCCCTTTTTAAATTAATAAAGTGCAAGGTGTGATGTTCCCCTAAAGGGCTCTTTTTCCTTTCACTTCACACCTTTCCACCCAAATGGTTTCTCCCCTCCAGGTACAGCGAAATTAACAGATATACATTCACCCCAAACACTCCCAGATACTCCCATTTAGAGCAAGGCTGGAACTAGCAGAACACACGCACACACACACGCACACACAGACACACACACACACACACGCAGCCCAACAAACACACACACACACTCACTCACTCACTCATGCCTGTTCTGTGCCAACAGCAGAAGCACAGCTGCTGTCTCTCCGGGTCACGTGGCATGAGTCTTTGGCCCGAGCCAACAGACTCAAGTCCGAGGAAGCGTCAGGCAGTGGTGTTGCCGTTAAGAGATGATGTGGCACAGGGGGTGGTGGTTTGTAGCCAGGCCAGGCCGGGCCGGGCCGGGCCAGGCCAGAGCGGTCCAAAAGGGACTAAGAGAGCGGAGGGTCTGGCTCATCTTTGGTCCCATAAAGCACTTGATTATGTCAGGGTGAATCTTTGCACTCCACTAGACTGGGAAGGTTTTCACACATGTTGGGAGGAAGGGTAGCACTATCAAAAGCACCGGCTGCTAAGCTACGACCGGACAGATGTGCAGCACAGGCAAAGAGTTCAGTTTGTTTTAAGCCATGCAGTTTACAAGATCGTCCATAGCAACCGGCAGAAAGCGTCTCAGGAAGTGGGAAATGGTTCTAGTGATGGAAGACGGGAGGCAAGATTTCACACATGAGCGCGCTCACAGAACAACACAGAAAAGCTCTCAGAGGAGGGAGAGAATAGCTGCTGTTGGCCATCGTTTTTGTAAAGTCCACAGTAAAAAGTGACAGACAGTGCTGCATGCTCTCCAAAGCACCGGCAAACTGGTGAAGACTTGAGGGCTCTAGGTGAGTGGATTCAGAGGGGGGTAAATAGCGGCAGACATGAAAGAGTACATGTGATGTGAATATATACGGAATCTATGAGAAAAAGCAGGACGTGAAATCGACTTTTAGGGACAGGAAAGGGAGGCTGTTCTAACACTGAGGACAGCTGATGGAGAAGATAAAGAGTATGTAACATAAGCCCCCTCCGCCTCCTCAAGGTGGAGAGACAGACTCAACCTTAAGGCAATGCATAGCCCTTGGAAACATTGGCACATGCATGGAGAGTGCAGAGATGTCTGCATACGTGTTGGATGTGCATGTATGAGTGTGTGTTCGTTTGTGTATTAGAACACAAATGAATGCCGAACCAAATGATCAACAGCTGAACTGATTAGAGTCAACCAATTACACTTCTGTCAGGCTGTTGTTGGCCTTTTTCTAAAATTCATTAATGATAAATCAGCTGATGGAGATTTGGATGACAAAAATCTACAATGAAAATGATAAAAAAGTTCAGATGAAAACACTAAATATTGGATGTTTTTGGCATGGATGTGTAAACAAAAGTTGAATAAAAACACCTTCTTTTCAGAAATCAAAGTCACAGGCTTTTAAAAATGTGAATTTAAACACTGAAGCAAAAGAGAATTATGGGCAACCAATGAGGAAAAAACAAGCTCCTGCGATGATCGGAGAATTAAGAGTGAAGATGAAAGGTGGACACGACTGAACACCACCTTGAGTTTCTACGGTTGTAACTGTTTAAAGTATGCGGTCAGATGTTGGTGAGCGTGGTGGAGGTGATGAGGCGCACAGTGAGCGTGCCCGGCAGGTCGTTGTCCTGGCGGCTGCCCTTGTCGCGGAGGTGAAGCGTGTGCTGCTCCTGCCGCTCGTTGGGGTCGCTGAACAGGATGACCTGACCCAGGAAGGTGTCCACGATCATGTTCTTGTTGTAGATCTGTTTGTGGCCCGTGGGGACGAAGGCAGAAGGTCCGGAGAGAGTAAACACAGAAAGAGAAGAGAGAGAGAGGAAGCGGTAAGTAAGCAAAGAAAGAGAGAGAGAGAGCGGAGGTGAAAACACACAGGGGGGATGGAGGTAAACCAGGTAAAGGTGACAGACTGACTGAGTGGAAGAAAAGATAAAGTGCTGATGGTCAGAAAGGAAGTAAAGGACGAAGGATAAACCCAACTTACAGAACTCAAAGAGGAGCTTATATTAGGGTGATCATACATCCTCTTTTACCCGGACGTGTCCTCTTTTTTGGAGGCTGTCCGGGCTTGTCTGGCTTTGTCCGGAGAAGTTTATAAAATCCTTCAAATGTCCGTGGTTTTGAAGTTTCGAGTTTGTGTCACGTGGACTTGCTGAGTTAGAAGCGCGTAAAATACACTCGATCCGACCTGAAAAACTATCAGAATAAACTTTGTGCGACTCCTTGACTCTGCCCCCGCGTAGTCGAGTTCTCTTTTTGGAAAGTCAGAATATGGTCACCCTAGCTTATGTGAGCTTTAATTTTTGATTTATAGAATAAAAAGTAACAAAAATAGAAAAGACAGGACTATAAAACAAGTCCATTGTGCATCCATCCATCTTCGGCTGCTTATCCGGTTAGACAGGGGCAGCAGCCTAGGCAAGTGGCCCTTGACTTCTCTCTCTAAGGCCACTTCGTCCAGCTCTTCCTGGGGGACCCCAAGGTGTTCCCAGGCCAGCTGAGAGACACAGTCTCTTCAGTGTGTCCTGGGTCTTCCCTGTAGTCTCCTACTGGTGGGACGTGGTGTCTGGAAGGCATCCTGATTTGACGTCCAAGCCACCTTATCTCACACCTTTCCAGCGGCGCTACTCTGAGCTCCCCCTGATGACCAAGCTACTCCCCCTATCTCTAAGGAGGAGCCAAGCCACCCTGAGAAGAAGAACCGCTTGTACCCACGATATTGTTCTTTCGGTCACTACCTACAGCTCGTGGACGTAGATCTACCGGTATATCGAGAGTTTGTCATTCAAGTTTTTGTTTACAGACATTCATTTCAAGCTAAATCATCTCTGCATGACTGTCAATGAGTTCTGGAGACGCATTGTGGCAAATTATTTACACATATATGAAAGGTTCAAGCTGAAATTTTTTCTAGCGTATAGCCAAATGAGTTGGTGTTGATCACCCATAGTGTAGCTGTATTTTTAGCAATTCTCTGATTGTTCTGTACATGAGTAGTTTTGTGTTTTCTGACCAAAAAAAATAAAAATCTTTTTTTTTTTTTTTAATTTGAAAGTTATCTGAACCACTTATTAATCATACTTACAGTATAAAGACATGTAACAATGTGGTTTCTTTGGCTTGCTTGTTGAAAATGTCCCTCTAGTCTTGGCATTAAAACTTAAAATCACAAAGATAATTAATCTTGTTGCTTATTTTTGTAGCTCTTAAACAAGTATCAGAATAATTATCAGTCTGTTTTATAACCGGGAGCTTTAAGAAATACATCTCAGTGTGTAGATGGATAATATCTGTTGTTATAAAATAGGTCCAGGTCAATTGTTTGCATACTTGAGTATATTGATATTTTACAAAACTAATTATTCGTGTTGCACAGGGAGGTGTTCAGATTTTACATCTTGGGGAGATGAAGGATCACATTTTTCTCCCAGTATGAGTCAATAACATTTATAATTAACATTTGTGTTACTCTCCTTTCAGTGGACACAAGTGGTAATTTCACAGGAATGAATCAGACAATGCAACATCACATTACCAGCACTGATTCACTAACATGTTGTTCGGCGAGCACCAATGCCTGATATTGAGTGTGAAATAGATCTGTAATGGAGGATAACAATTTACTCATTGTTTCCTCTGTCATGTGATTGACTCAAACACACAGAGGGATGTTAAAAAGGGGTTCAGGCAGGTGAGAAATCACTACCTTTTGATGTCTGAAAACTGCTATTTAAAGGATCTGAGCTCCACTCTGAGTCTACATTCATCATGACTGTGTGTTTCCAACAGTTCTCAGTGTACGTCCTCCCAAAGTGGTACGTCTGCAGTGAGTGACAGCTCACCTCGATGTGGATGCCCTCCTTGGGTTTCTTGCGGTAGAACAGGCCTTTGATATCGAAGCTTGGGCACCGTGTGTCCTTTTGAACTGGAGAACGAACCCTCTCTCCTTCACAGGTGATGATGACGTATGGATCTACAGCTGAGGGAGGAAAGCGTTTTTTTAAATCTGTGCAGGAAAAAAACACTTTCATTAATATGCAACTAGCGGGTTAATGTTTGCCGATATTGAATCAGGAGCAAAACTGAGGTACAAGGGGAATCTGAGTAAATATCACAATCTACAGTCTCAACTTCATCAATCTATGTTTTGTTATTGTTTATTTGCCTCTCCCATTATAAACCCACAGACTCTAATATTGATCTAAAGACCATTTAGGAAGTTTGGGATTGCTGGATAAACTGAAGCACAGCTAAAAAAGAGAAATGCTGCTTGCATGTTGATGCCCCAGAATTTATAACCCTGTGAACTCATAAAGTATGATGTGTTTCTCTCACTGCTAAAACTGTCTCTGTATTTTGACTGCAGACGCTCCAATTATCATCTAAGGTCATAATCAGCAGCTCCAATTAAGAGCTCTGTCCTGTGTACCATGCAGATATTTCTGGCTTTGGTGCCCCCCTGTGGACTCTGTGAAACTTGAAACAAGGCTCTCTGTGAGGACTGCACAGATTCTTAACAGCATTGTCTTCTTAAGTGATCGAATCAGTAAAGTCGAGAGCTACAGCACTACATCCACACATTTGAGCTTTAAAGGGATATTCTGGCGTAAAATTAATTTAGGGTCAAACACACCTCAGGCGAGTCCATTACGGACTGCTGCGGGGTGACACAGCTCAAGGAAGAACATTTATGATCATTTCCTTGAAGTAATAATCACCATATTGATCATTTTGCACTGCAGACTCGGTAGTTCTTCTGCCTTAGCGTCTCGGTCTGATTGCATTTCCATGAAGAAATGATCATCAATGTTCTTCCTTGAGCTGCATCACCCCGCTGTAGTCCGTAATGGACTGGCCTGAGGTCTCGCTACAAACGAGCGGCTGCTGGAAGAGAGTAGGTGAGTTCTGTTTAGTCTCTTTGCTAAAGAAATCAGGCAACTTGGTGAAGTTAGGTGCTGTTCTGAGCATTATTCGTAGCTATTGAGTCGTTTGTTTTTGGCTCCTCAGACCGCTGTGACTGCTGTGTGATCGTGTGATCGTGTGATCGTGTGATCGTGTGATCGTTACTAAAGTTGGTATTACAAGAGAAGCAAGCGGTCGGCAACCTTCATCCCTCAAGGAGGAGTCGAACTTGGTGTCAGGGTGTGTTTGACCCTAAATTAATTTTATGCCAGAATATCCCTTTAAGGGTGAGTTGACTAGAAGTTGTACACACTAGAGACTACAGAAGGGTAAGGATTGTAAACTAGAGACTTAAACTAAGCAAATGGCTACATCCTCTGCAACAGTACCTTCTGCTTTGGTCGGGTGTTTTTTCTTAGTGAGGCAGTGAAGCTCAGTGGGTGTTTGCAGGATTTCATAACCTTTATGAAACAAAGACATGCTCATCAAGTCAGGATACGGCTCTTATCCACTGTGTGTTGAGGTCTTACCTCCATTGGAGTCCTGTCCCTGCAGACCCTCGGCGTTCAGTACATGGACCTGAGTGACCAGCTGAGGGTAGCCACACATCCCCGTCCAGCACGTCTGAGGAGGCTCATCCAGAGACAGCTCTCTGGGGGAACAAACAGTGTGTGCTGCTGTTAGAGGACTGCTCAAGACGCCAAAGTGGAGTCTGTCTCTTTTCTGGAGTCCATTATCTGACAACAGTCGACTGATTCCATCTCCCGATTTCTGGTGATTTCCCCATTATTTCTTAGACAGCCTTGCAAAGTCTTATCTTGGAATTAATTGAACTGTAAAGTGCAACTTTTAAAGGGTGCACAAATATGGAGTATTTGGGAGTTTAGCTGCTGTATGCATTTAGGATTGTGCACATATGGTTGATTTAACACCATCACTCTGTCTAGTTAGATGAAATAACAGTCATATGTAGTGCAGCCAGCAACCGCAAAACAGGGCTGTGGCTTTTTTTAACAATTTCAACTGTCATTAATTTAGATGCATTTTGCTGTCCTTAATACGACATACTTAATACTACATCTTAATTACTGTTTCAATGCTAAACGCTTCAATTTAAAACAATTAACCAACCAACAAAACAAGTAGACATCGGATAGTTAGCTCTAAATTTTACTCTGCATGTTTTAGTGCTCTAATACAACATTTTGAGAGAAAATAAGATATTACAATCTTATCAGACTGCCACAGACCCTGGTTGAGTTGTTTGATGCCAACACTTGATCAGCAGTTCAAATGGCCTGTTTGTCACAACCTAAAATGTGTGTCCTAAAGTGAACGCCAAAAAGTCTCTCGGCCCTCAGCCCTTTTAAAAATCTACATTTCAATAAAACAGCTATCATAAATGTGATGCTGCTGAAGGAATACATCCTTCTGTCTCATTAATGCGCCACCTAAATATCAGGATATACTTCACCACTGACTTCAGATTTTACTCCAGGGTTTAGCTGGTCTAAGGCAGTGACTCCCATCCTGTAGTCCAGGCCCTCTTTGGAGGGTGACAGAAATTTAAGCGGGGGTTCGAGGCTCTGAGGTTGTTGCAATTATATATTTATCAGCTGAACAATTTAGACAACTGCCTGTGAATGATGAAGCCCAGAAAGTGTGAAAGTCCACAGTACATGTTGAGCTGTGAAGAAATCAGATTTACTTGCAGTCTGAAGGCACATCAGTAAAGACTCGGAGCAGGAAGTCGCCCTGCTGCCCGGGGTCAAAGGTTGTGGGAATGATGACATAGCGGCCCTCCTTCAGCTCCTTCCTGAGGAAGACGCAGCGTGAGTTGATGTAGATTGAGCCCGCTACTTTCTGCTGGGCTGAGTGCATACGGTACTTTCGATTCAGCTCCACCTGCAGGATGAATAAAGAATGAAATGAGCTTCTTGTTTGCTGTTGAAGTTTAGTGGAGGCTTCTTGGTGTTTGTGCGTGAACGTGTGTTTGTACCCGATGAATGTCGAAGCCTATGGCGAGGTTTTCCCCTTTGCCTTCTTTAGGTGTGGCTCTCTTCTCTTTTTGCTGTAGACAGATCAGCACCTCGTCCTCCACCTTCTTCACGTCAAACACGTACTGACAGAGAGAAAAAGCAAAACAAAATCTGCTTTAAAGACTCTGATGTTTCTTCTCTGAGTTTGATTATTTTCCAATCACCAGTGTTTTGTAAGATAAGCTGCTGTCCAACAACAAGATCAACAAATACCTTTCAAAATGCACGAACTCATCCCCGCTCACCTGAGGGTTCTGCAGAAAGGTGGCCTTGTGATTGATGCAGCCTCCGGCCCGGTTGCGAAGGGGGTCCTGGCGGTGGACCCAGGATCCCCTCATCACCTCCTCCTCCCAGGTTTTGTGGATGCTCAGGTAGGAGGTGTTGATTAGGCGGCACAGGATCAGGTCTGTGAAGTACTGGCAGAAGTCGTCGAACGTCATCCTGCAGCAGGCAGGAAAAGGAGAGGAGAGAAGAGACCGGAGAGAGTGGATACCGACTAGAGGGAAAAGCTCGAAAGAAGAAGAAGAACCTTCAACAGGTGCAAAAATAAAGGAAATGAGATCAGGAACAAAAAAGAGGACCACATGTTAAAGAGGGACTAAAAGTTCTGGTGCTGAAATGTGGAAATAGTGAGTCTGGTTTGTCAAAGAAAATCAGCTAAAATATCACAGCTTCAGATCAGCTGAAACAGTATAACTTCATCACTTCAATATCATGTCCACACGCTCTGTCAGTGTCAGCAATCGTGACCAATCAGGTCTAAGGATACGTATATAAGCGTCTTACCAGAACTCGCCGTCGTCCTGAACAGTGACACCGAGCTTTTCTCTCTCGCTCTTGCTCACCTTGTTCCACTCCTCTGAACTGTGTGAACAGAAAACAGGAGAGCAAACACAAAGGTTAAAGAAAAGATAAACAACATCTATCCATTTGAATTACAGACACTCGAAGGATGAGGAAGAGAAACACGAAGATGATGTTTGGCACGCTCTCTAAAACTTTGTTGTGAGAATTTGACCAGATTAAGAATGCCATCAGATTTTACCCTGATGGTTTTGTACTCATTTATTCTGAACCTCGGATCACTCAACGTCCCTTTTTTGTAAATTACATGTCCCTTTCACCCAACAACATGTTCACATTCAATCACAGATCACAAAAGCCGCCTTTTTAAGTGCCTCTACTCACCTAAACTCACACTACGCTGGCTCGGCCACTTTGGTACAAGTTGGAGTTCAGTGTCATGCCCGAGGACACTTGGTTTGTGAACCACTTCGGCTAGGAGCAGTCTCAACACTACCATTAAGCTAACTGCTTAAAGCTGGGTAATAAACTTTATCTTGGTAAAAACTCTTTGCAATGCCAGGTTATCCAACTTAACTCAAGATTAGTGCTGCTGCAGTATACGGGTACTGATGATGACTGACTGTCTGACCTGGACTGATGGGAGCAGGCCCGGTTAAACAGTCTGACCCCATCAGTCAGACTGTTTCACCGGGCCTGCTCCCATCAGTCCAGGTTTTAGCATAACTGACAGACAATAACTTGGTCATACCCTTGAGTGCAATATACACAGACTATATATCTATTATAACTGTAAACACATTCATTTTTCTCAAGTATAATAACTCAAATAATGTGAAATAACACGTCCAAATGTTTCTTTTCTATTAATTTTTTGTTTTTCCCACTTTAAAGTATTTTTTGGTCAATATTTGCCTTTTATTGATAGGACAGGCTGAAATGTGGGGAGATAGAGAGAGAAGGGGGGAGGACATGTAGCACATGGTTAGGGCCAGACTCGAACCTACGACCGCTGTGGTCCCCATACATGGGACGTGCTAACCCGCTCAGTCATCTGTGCACCCCTTGTTTTTCCTCTTTCTAGTACAGAACTTTTTCTTTTTTTGTTTAGCTCTAAGTTAACTCTTTTATAATTACCTATAAACAGTACACACAGCGAGAGTGTGCTTTTTCTTCTGTTTGCTTCAGCGATCCTCATCTAATCAACTGAAAAGCCTAATTTTAATATGAAACAGATATCAAATAAAAGCATGGCAAACAATTGTTTCATGGGGAAATGTCTTCTCCAAAAAAAGTTTCAGTCACATGGACGGTGATGTTAATAAATCATAAATCTGAACATTAGAAATGGATGATTACAGACGAGTTCACTGAAGTTTATGAAATAATGTGTTGCTCCATTCTTATCTCACTTTATCTTGTTGTTTGCCTTTCATCATCATCATCATCATCATCATCATCATCATCATCATCATCATCATCATCATCATCATCAGGATATTTTATTTCCACAATAATTATAAGGTGAAAAAATGACAGTCCGAATTGGGATATAAGTTATGCAGATTCTTAGAGAGTGTACATAATTCCATTTTTCTTATTCAACCATTATTTTGTTGTTTGTTTTTTGCAGGAAAATAATCTTTAAGACACAAAATCTCCTTCGGGCACCATGCATGTGAGAGGTATGGAGGTTGTAATCCTCACACAGGTGGTCTGGGTTTGATTCCAGCCTATGGCCCCTTACCCCCATATTGTTCTCCCTCCCTGTCTCCTGTAGTCTCCTGTCCTCTAAAACGAGGACAAAATGCCTAAAAAGTAAATCTCCACCACAAAAACAGGGGCTAACACAAGAGCAATAACTGTCACACAAGAAATAACTACAGATCAGCAGACAGTTTGCAGCAGCGTAACATGAGCGTACGCTGGCCAAACGATCCTTCATTGTGGTTTAAAACCTTTTAAGCTAATAAAATAATCCAGTTTAAGCTGACCCTGCAGCTCAGAACAAGATGGAGGAGCAAAAACACATCTGTGAAAGTTTTGAAATGAGGTAGGTGTATTAACGAGGTTTATAAAGCTGTGAATCTCTTGATAATTGAAGATTTAAAACTCAGCGACTGTATTAAACTCTGATAAATAAATAATGCATGTGTCTATCCCTCATGGGCACTATAATCTGAAGAGTCAGATGTGTACCGTAGTTATCGCTCTGAATCATACCTTAACATCAAGGTCCATTCAGTGTTTACTGCTCAAGGGGATTCACAGATACTTCCTGGATGCATTAGCTCAAGTGTTTATGTCTCCCTGCTGATGATTCACAGACAAACGTCCACATCTCGACAGCGTGTCAGGCTGCATTTACTGTAACAGGTTCTATCAAAGCGTGAATAAATTATTCAGGGAAGGGCGAGTGAGTGATTGAGAAAGATGAGCGTGGAGTCATGTCTCTTTAACAATCTTTTTTTTTTTCCCTCCTTCTTGAGCATATCAATAATTCAGACTCCATCATGATCCGGCTTTACAACCTCCCTGTTTGTTTCACCGAGTCTGGCAGCAAACCGTTCAAAGAGCGGGGAGAGACGTCGACGGAGCGGGTTTTATCTCGGCCTCACCTGCTCCCATAAGAAGTGTCGAGTAGCAAAAAGGCGGAAAATAAAGCTGGGATGAAACAGTCGTTCGCGCCGCTGCGGATCTTAATGGCCTCTTGTGCAAACCAGTCATTTTGATTCACTTAGATGTTTAAATTGAAGGTTTCAAGGCGGGATCCTTCGAAGCAATATCTGAGCTGCACTTAACTGCTCAGAAAACAAACCCTCCAACATGGCGAAATTAAGTCATTCTTCTTTGCCCTGAGACCCATTAGCTTGATTGCTTCTCTATTTTTCATTGCCTACATGACAGTTCCCATTGAACATCCTTCTCGTCTACCTTGTGCCCGCTATAAATTGGCTGTGTTTTCATTCACTGGTTTCGGTTGTTTGCTCATTCATCACATGCACTCTCCTGGAAACACTGAGAGCGAAGGGGAAATGTGCGCTTTGTCATTTTACAAATCAGATCAGAGAGATTAGTTAAATTGGTTCAGGTCGCATCAGGTCATCGAAGAAAAGAAAAAAGAAAACAATGGTCCCTGCTGCTCTGGAAATGCTTCACGTCTGACTCACTGAGCACAACACAGACAGACAGATGAGTAAAAAGACGGGTCAAAGAGTCAAGGTGAGACAAACAGCTGCAGGGGTTCCTCCGTGTCTGCGGGGGGCAGTGTCATGGTTACCTGTCGCTCCAGGGGCCGCTCCACTCCTTCTCTCCCCAGGGGTTCCTCATACGTATCATGTGCAGCTTCTCCGACTTGAAGAAGGCCAGCAGTCCGTGCCCGAGCCGAACTTTCTTCACATCCGTCACAGCGTAGGCGTGACCTTTGACCAGACCGCAGTCCAGCCGGGCCTCCATGTCCTCGATTGTGGTCGCCTGGAAAACAGTATAAAGGAAAGTTTATCAGCTATGCCTCGATCCTAGTAGCTGCATAACATGAAAACAAATAATCGGAATAAACGTTGATTGGAGGATTCTGATCCAATTCGGCTCAATCGGAAAGAAATTTTATTCCGATCGAGAGGGGTGGTTTATGCTGATCGTTATTCCGAAACGCGTCCGTGTAAACACTTATTCTGATCCTGACTCTCTAACCTGACTCGATCTTCACTCTTTAGCCTTTGGTTTATTTATTGAGGTCAGTTCAGGAGGTTTCATAATTAACACTCTACCGTGTCTGCCCCTTTGATAAGCAATTTTTTTTCCCGTAGGCTGGTCGGGGAAGGTCCCGCCTCCTTCGCCTCTGATTGGCTAGAAAAGCTTGAAACGTCATCACACGCTCAAGCCGAGTGCGGGCTGTCGGCTCTGTACATCGAACAGAACATTACAGAATATTATCGCACTTCTTAATCTCCTAACCCTAACACTGATCCTAACCCGACAGACGATGACGTTTCACAGCCATAAGGAATAACTAATTGGAGACAAGCACTGCTAGCCAATCAGAGGCGAAATAGGGCGGGACCTTCCCCGACCGTCCTACAAGAAAAAAATTCACCTCTGGTAACATAAAAAGACGTACATATAGCGTAATTATATCACATCTGCACGCACAGTGCAACCTTTGACAGAACAGTAAAAAAAGTACACAGGGCGCCATCTAGTGACAACATTTAACAGGCGGAAAACTCCTGAATTGGATCAAGTGAGCGACTACCACGTTTGTTTGTTGGTTGACAGCACAGGCGTGAATACGACTGTTCTATTGCCGTTGTTTTAGCGAAATCAGACAACTCTGCGCATGTCCAAATGCTTCTAATCTGAATTAAAATTGGCGCATGTATACGCACGTCATGATCAGAACATTTGATTTTGCACCCATATAAACAGTAAATTCAGATTATCCTATCCCTCAAATTTGGCAAATGTGTGTTTTCTGAAATGTGCAGCAAAAGGAGGTATTGTTCACGCTACATGAGGACGAATGACAGACTCTACTGAATTGCTTACACAGAGTTTATTGTCAAATTGTTGGCTTAAAAATGTGAACTTGCAACCCACGACTAAATTGATACATAGAAATATAGAAACAGTGTCTTGCAGACTCATTATCTTGCATGTTTTAGTAATTATTTCATGGCTCGTCTTGTTTCAGGGCTTTGTACGTCATCAAACCATCCCTGAATCTTATTATTGTCAAGTTTCAGGACCTCCTGAAAGAACACTGAGGGGAGGTTTTTTTTCTTTTACTGCTTGTTTCCTGGGAAACCTGGGAAATGAAACAATTTTAGTGAGCGCGTGTTATTGAACAAATAATGATGTAACACTTTCATATTCGGGCAATGCACCATTTTTTCATCAAAACATTTGGACGGTAAAAAAGGACAAAGGAGTAGAATCTTTGGGCAGCTTTATCAGAAAATTGGTTCTTCGATCCAGTAATTATGTGTTCAGTCCACTTGGCTGTTTTTGTGACGGATTACACAGCCAATATGAGACATTATTATCCAACAACAACAACCCAGAGTCTGATTAAAATGGCACACGGTCAATTGAACACACGGGAAGGACGAATAGATGTAAGGCTCAGAGGATTTCTGAAACATGAATCTGTGGAATATAAACTCAGGGAAGGCAGACAGACCCCCAAAGTGAGTCCAGTACTCATCAAACACTCTCTGATGGGAGTCAGGGTGGCGTCATGATCTCCAGGTTGAGTCTTATACCGCAACATAGAAAGCACCCTGAGCGATGGCATCAGCACTTGTGAGTTTTTTCATATTCATCAGGTGTTTTCTGTTTCTGAAGAACATCTAGAAAAGCCACTGTTAAATAAATATGATGTACTTCAGCCAAAAATGGTCATAAATCGACAAATACACGCACACAAATAATCATAATGAAATGGAGGGTGATTATGTACAGACTAATGAGTCTTTTTAGTGCGTATTTAAGTTAGATATTAAAAAAAGGGGACTGTTGGACTTTTTCTCTTTATAATGAATAATCAATATTCTATAGATTTAATCATTTTCAGCTTTGATTTGATGTTCTTCTCCAAAAAAAGCTGAAGTTGTTAATTCTTTTCCTTTTTTAATTATTATTTTCCTCATTTTTTAACTCTCCATTTTTTTTAAGTTAAAGGGATATTCCGGCGTAAAATGAAGTGAGGGTCAAACACACCGTAACACCGATGAATGTTGCTGACCGCTTGCTTCTCTAGTTATACCAACTTTAGCAACGACCGCACGATAGCAGTACACAGCGGCCTCAGGAGCCATGCGCTCAACCAAAACGCCACTCTATAGCCACAAATAATGCTCAGAACAGCACCTAACTTCATCAACAGGACATGTAGGGTCCAAGTCATAGCACTAGCCACCAAATATCTTTTTAACTTTGCCTGATTTCTTTAGCAAAGAGACTAAACACAACTCACCTACTCCCTTCCAGCAGCCGCTTGTTTGTAGCAAGACCTTGGATGAGTCCAAACTGACTGCAGCGGGGTGACGCAGCTCAAGGAAGAACATTTATGATCATTTCTTTATGGAAATACAATCAGACCGAGAAGCTAAGGCAGAAGAACTACTGCATCTACAGTGCAAAATGATCATTATTATAATCATTAGTTAAAGGAAATGATAAAGTAATGATCATAAATGTTGTTTCTTGAGCTTCCTTCACCCCGCTGCAGTCGGTGATGGACAACATATGTGCTGTTGATGGGGTTAGGTGCTGTTCTGAGCATTATTTGTGAGCATATATATTTCGCGCCAGAATATCCCTTTAAATGTCAACCAGGATTTGACACCCTCTCTTTTTAAACCCAAGTCTGGGCTTCACTTTGTTAGAGCCACATACCATCCATGTCTATAAAACCTACAGATTCATTGGGGAGGTTACAAACATTTCAAGCTGATAGGACTTTGGGAGTTCGAACATCCTATGATAGATCTTTGAGCGAATGAGAAAGGAAAACTTCAGATCCTCAAATGTGGTGACATGACATATTTGTGACTCTGTTGAGTAATAAAGAGATGGTTTTTCATACATTTGTCAGATACCACTTTTTTAACGACGAAGATAACTGCCACGCTCTCTCTTCTGTTAATTCTTGCTCTTGTTTTTGTCCTTATTCTGTCTAAGAAATACGGAGCTGAAATGAGGGAGTAACAGCCAAACAGCCCAAGGCCTCCCAGGGGAAATCTGGGGAATTCATGCCTGCAGAATAGTAATCTACATTTCAGAAAAAACAAGCTTAAGTAATAAAAGCCCAATATTAAGATGGAAAACACATTTTTCTTTGGTATTGTCTGGATTTCTAAGCTCTCATTACTCTTTCGGGGAGAAAATGGACCTTCACTTTAAACGCCTTCACATTTAAAAGAACGGGATCATGTCTAAAACCGAACTTCTGCTAATCCTGAATCACAATGAAGGGTTGTAAAGTAGTTGTTGCTCATAGAAGACATCAGGGGACACACAGCATGAGAAAGAGGATCCAGAGGCCATAGCAGTGAAAAATAAATCACACTTGTTTTGTTAATGAAAGCAAAGAAACTCTGTGCAGCCTCAAACCCCTCTAAGCATTATTCATTGAGCTCTTTTTAAAAACACGCTGACGAGAAACCTAAAACTTTAATTTGGTGCTGTTACAGTTTTTAGGGGGGTCGCCTTGGAGATGATCTGCAATTCAGATGCAGAAACTGTTTGGAGGAAATAACAGATGACATGCAGAAGAGCTTTGGTGTCTGGAGAAAACCATCCAGGAAACTTGCACAAGACTGTTCACATCAAACTGGAGGTTGTTTGTTTCGAACTGAATTAAAACCTCGAGTCCAAAGAGTGGGGCTCCAAATGCTGATAAAGCAGAATTTGCTGGTTTACAAACAGTTTCAAGGCTACATTCAAGAGAAAAAAGTGCTGATCAACTGCTAAAACTGAAATGTCCTGTTTTATTAAGAAAATATACATGCAAAATATAAATCAGATACCAGAGACACTTCTTAAAACAGGGCTGAGGACATGTTTACCATGTGCTGCATCACCTCACTCACATTTTAAAACCAAAGAGACCAGTTTTGGGAGCTTTGCTGTTGTAATACGCGCAGAATGAGGTTTGACTTTGCAATGCCATCCCTAATTTAAATCACTAGCTGTGTTTACATGGGCACAAATAATTGGAATAAAAATGCGTCATGTAAACATGTCGATCAGAAGATTCTGATCCAAATCGGCTCAATTGGTAAGAAACTGCATTCTGATCGAGAGGGGTAGTTTATGCCGATCATTATTCCGAAACGCATCCATGTAAACACTTATTCCGATCGTGACTCTCTTACCTGACTCGATCTTCACTCTTTAACCTTTGGTTTATTTATTGAGGTCAGTACAGGAGGTTTCATTATTAACACTCTGGCATAAAACACAACTGCAGGTACCATGTCTGCTCCTCCGGTAAGCAATTTTTTTTTTTTGTAGAATGGTAAGAGAAGGTCCCGCCTCCTTCGCCTCTGATTGACTAGAAAAGCAAGAACCGTCATTCAGAACATTATCGCACTTCTGAATCTTCTAACCCTAACCCTCATCCTAACCCGACAGACGATGACGTTTCACAGCCATAAGAAATAACTAATTGGAGACAAGCACTGCTAGCCAATCAGAGGCGAAAGAGGGCGGGACCTTCCCCTACCGTCCTCAAATTTAAACGTGGCTACTGTCTGGATTCAGCATATGTTTCTCTAAAAACCTGTTTATATTGTTCGATATTAATGATGCCCAGATGTGTAAGCTACTCACAACTATAGACCATAGGCAGCTCTTAAGGCAGTGAAGGAGCTGCTCTTTCTTTTGACTGCTTTATTAATTACATATTCATGGGACAAGAAAACCTTAAAGTTCACTAAATTTGGTTAAAGAAATTCTGGTAACTTTTTTACAGAAAGTCTGAGGAGTTATAGATCCGTGTGGAGCAGATGCATCAGCATAAATCCAACTAACAAACCCATCAGCCACCGTAGAATGAGAAATTATCATTCACTGAATCTCTTGACATACAGTAAGTGAGGATAAATGTTAGCTTGCAGATGAAATCTTTTAACTCCTTGCCCAACATTGACCAATACACATGATAGGAAACCTTCCCCCTGAAATATCTCAATCCCTTCTTTGGATATCATCTAAAGCTAAAATATCTGCAGAGGCTTATTCATCTCTGTGAAACTGGGCTCAGACTCCAGATGAGGAAACATCTGCCAGTCATGTTGATGTTACCCTTTAAGAGGCCACAGACATCGTACTGTATCTTCATTTAATTTATGGTAAATCTTTTCCATTATCATTTCATCTCAGAACGATCAGGAAGGTTTTAAGTACATGCAACATCGATTGAAATTCTGCTGAAGGCTCTCACTTTTTCATCTCGCCCATCAAAGTGCTTTGATTTCAGGGAAATGTCAGACTCCCAATGCACTCAGCGGGTTCAACGACTCTCTCGAACCCTTTTTCACTTAGATTTAACTTTATTCTGATGTTAGTGCATGTGAGAAGGTCCTATAACAACACCAAGCCTATCTTTTAGAGGAAAAAGCATTCACACTATACTCAAAATGAGCATGCTTTTTCATTTGTGTGCGCCTCACGTAGAAAACACAAATCACTGCATTGCTCTGAGGAGGCTTTGGAAGTTTAGAACGAATTAACCGAGAGATCTGGCACTTTCGATGTCTGCTGCCTTTGCAGCAAAGCACAGGCATAGAGTGTACCTGCGACAACCGGGGGGAGTTTTCATCCCTGGATTTTAAAATTATGGCAGAAAATTGTAGAATTATTGGAGGAGCTCTGCAGCAAAAAAGATGAGCTTTGGTGGATGAGACAACCTTCACAGGTACTGAAATTATGCAAGAGTGTCAAGGGCACTTAGGATAAATTACCAAACAGATATTTTTCTTTTGTTGTCGTCACCACAGCTGGTGGTTTCAACTTTATTGAAACTGCTACAGCCCGTCTCCAGGTTTTGGCTTCACTTCTTAGGAGCTGTTGTGTCAGCTGAGATCTAAATGCAGCTCGTACTAGACTCTGTTTACACATGAGTCATTAGTGAAGTATGGGTCACAAACTATAACAGATTTAAGAGAGCGAGGCAGGCATGTGCTCTAATACAGCAGAGCCTGACATCAGCGTTTGGCCTAGTCTGCAAACAACGCAGAGAAACTAAGATATATATCCGGGGATTACGACAAGATTATTCTGCAGTTGTGATTAAACAAAGATTAGTGTAATAGGACCTCTTTGAAAACTCTGTATTTAATCTTGAGGTGGTGTCATTTTCGGTCTGCTTACACAACAAACCAAGACCATCAAACCTGCTCCTTCACTTTGTCCAACCCCAACTGACACGTACAGGTGGTTGAATTTTGTGTCTTACCCTGATAGAGCAGCTGATAAGGCCGTCTCTGTTGTGGACTTTGAGGACTCTTTCAAACAGCTGGTTTCGGGCCGCTTCATCCGTTGCCATCTGACCCTCGAGGAGGTCCACGGGCTCTGAAACGCCCCCTGTGAAGTCCACCAGAGCATCGGCTGTGTTTCCCCCATCCAGAGCCTCATAGCAGCCATAAACCCTGCAGAAGGGGGAGAGCTTGGTCAGAGGTATTGACAACTTCAGGACTTTTTGAGCCATTATAAAGAGAGACCTGTATGAACTCAGGCAAGGACAGAGTCACTGACAGAACAAGAAAAAGTTTGGAGAAAGTGTGCTGTTTCCAAAGTTTTTCACTTATGTGGCAGATCTTAAAGTTTAAAAGTTCACTTCGAAGTTTTTATGAAGTTTGTATATCTTCTCTGAAGCCTCGTCTATATATCTGAAGGCACTGATACTTACTTGGCATAGGCCTTTTCCACCAGAGCGCTCCAGAACTCGTTGCTGTCGTTGGAGTGGCAGTAGACCAGCTGGTTGTCCACCGTCGGTAGCCGGTCGTCAATCACCACGTCCACCCACTCACCGAAGCGCCAGAAGCGGAAGTGGAAAATCCCAGCGTAGGATTCTGGCTTCTCTGTGTCCCACTCTTGCTCCTTCCAGTCTGGAATGACCTGGAAAAGGTGGAGGAGGAGGAGGAAGAAGAGGATGGGTGGAGGAAGAAGAGAAGAAACAAACAGACGGTTGTACACGGAGCATAAATAACGTCAAGGTGGAGTGGGCTGCCAGATGGAGACAGCGTTCCCTCATGTCTGCTGATGCATTTGGGATTAGGGGACAAATTTATCACCTTGGTTCTCTCAGACATAAATCCAGCTGTAATAGGACATGGGTGAGGGGTAATAACTGTGTGACTGCAGTGTGTGTGTGTGTGGGGGGGTTTCAGCTGAGGTCCAGTGAAACCCGGACAACTGGCCTCCATTTTGTGAGCTGCAGTTATATTTACCTAGAGAGGGACACACACAGTGACATAATGGACAAACTGGAAAAAGGAAAATTAAGAAAATAAAACACAAAAGTTACTGTACAATAAAAAAATAACAGAGTCTCTAATGAGGAGCTAACCAATCTTTCACAAGGACTATGTTTAGATGCTATTTAAAGCTACTAAAGTGCTTTTATTACAGGTCTACCTTGGTGATCTCAGTATCTGTCCTTTGTGTGATCCTTGTCAAAAGAAATCTCAACTCTTGGATCAGCTATGAACAACCACCACCAGGGTCTGCTCTACCATGTTATTTAGCTAATCTAAAGACGGGCTAACCCAAACTAGCCAAGCTACACTCTCACAAATGCTCCAAAATAAGTTTTAGGGTCCCACAGACTACATTTCAAGAGCTCATGTGACCAAGATGATCGCAATTTTAGGCGCTGAATTATGATCATCAATCTGTTTTGTAATCGGCTAAAACCTCAAAAATTGCGTTGAAATCAATACGCCTTCTTTTTTACCTGATTACTAATTTTACAAAAAGGCTAAAGCTTTTAATGTGTAATAGTGGTCAGAACAGGTCAGCTGATGGCAGACATACTGCTTATGCTGTATCTTCATTATAACTGTTTGTTAGGGTGACCATATTCTGACTTCCAAAAAACGGACACGTCAAAGCGGGGGTGGAGTCACAGAGTTGCACAAAGTTAATTTTGAGAGTTTTTCGGGTCGGGTCAAGTGTCGAGTTTATGTGCTTCTAACACAGTAAGTCCACGTGACACAAAATCAAAACTCTCGTACAAAACTGCAGACATTTGAAGGATTTTATGAACAGGACAAAGACAAGGCCAGGCAGCCCGGACAGGCCCCCCAAAAAGAGTACATGTGCGGGTAAAAGAAGACGTATGGTCACCTTATGCTTGTAATCAATAAAAACAACAACTTAATATTATTAGCCATTATCCCATACTCATTCCAGTCCAATATAACCAGTAACCTTATCAAGAAATACTGTATGTTTTACTGTAACACCTGCAGTCTCTGCAGACATTATTTCATGATCAATGAAAACTAAATATTTTCGGCCTTTAATGCCGAAAACCACAAATTATGGCCAGAAAATTAAAAATTGTTTGGAGCTGAAATGAATATTTTACTAACTACTGAAAACCAAAAAAATCAAAATGTCCCTAAAATTTAACAAATATTTTTATTTATCTCATTTGATACATTAGATGTTTTTGAAAACTGATAAACCAAAAGAGGAGATTTTATCATTTATCGGACTGTATTCAGGTGTTACAGATGTATCATATCATTTCCATTTCCATCACTAACTTGTGCTTAGAGGATTGAAAAAAATTAACTCTTTAACTTTCAGACTCCAAGGACACACCAGAGTTTGTTTTCAGTCTGATAAAAAAAAAAAATTACTGTGAAAAAAAAAAAAAAAAAAAAGCAACTATCAAGCAAAAAAATCCTGTTTAATCGAAAGTCTGACATTTTTTACTTTAGGATCAGAAATGTCTTCTGATCTTCATCTTCAGCTGAACCCTGACAGCTGTTACCTGAGCGCTGAAGCGCAGGTTTATCAGCTTCATTTTCGGCCTGTTCATGTTGTGATTGCTGTTTAAAATGTATGATGTGCAGCTTTCCCACTGAGACTCGGTGTCCTAACAGAACACCCAACCACGAGGCGACCTGTGAATAGACACCTGTGACACTTTTCCCCGCTATGAATACTGCATGCAATAAAAACTGCAAATGATGCAGTGAGCGACACAGCGTGTGAATTAACTGACAGTGTTGCAGCGGGGTGTCCTTGGAGATGTCAAGGTGCGCTAACTGAACAGCAGTTCCTGTCAAAGCTCTCTGCAGGAGGTGACACTGTGCTGATGGAGAGAATCTGGCCTTTCTGGAGAAACGAGCAGCAACAGAAGGGGGAGGAAAAAAAAAAAAAACAAAGCACTGCACCACAGAAACCTCAGAGTCATTTTGCAATCCTTTGGGAGGCAATCTCTCCTGCACTCCACCCCGCTGCTGCTGCACTGTGGACAGTGAGAGTGCAGAGGCTCCATCTATCTCAGTTTTCATCAGGGCCAAGTGTTGCTATGCAGCAACTGAACTGTGGGAGGTAAGTGACCTGACGACTGACCAGAAACACAAGCAGAAGACACCTCGGCTTCCCCTGCTGTCTGTCAAAATGCACGCCACGGGAAACAAAGAGGGTTTCCCCACATTTACTACTTCTCCCTCTCACTTATCACGCACAGAAATGAGGATTCCTGTCATTAACAGAGAAGTTTTAATCCTTTTTGCTCATAAAAGCCCCTAAAAAGTCGGATGTGTAGCTCTCCAAGTCAGGCATTAGAGTACGGGAGCAGTAACCAAGCAAAAGAGACAAACAAATGTGCGACAAACAGCGCAGAGGACCTCCCTGAGGGAAGACCCAGTGCCGGAGTAGCATATGTCATATCTTGTTGCCTAGCACCTCGGCCCTCCTGTACAACTGTTGATGCAGGAAGGAGCACAGAGTGAGGGTTACAGGTCTGAAGGAGGAGGACAGAAGACGCTTTGACGTATCTGTTGGTGAAATCCAGCCTTTAGTTGGTATCTTTTAGAGGGAATTGAAGCATGTCTGAAGACTTGATAATCCCCTTCTGGCAGGACGACCAGCTGACGGAGGTGATGCGCCTGCGAGTTCAAACCCTGCAGCAGCGTGGACAGAAGAGGCAGGATGGTGAACGCCTTCTTCTGCCCAACGAGGCCGTCTACAGGCTGGACTTCTCCAAACAGTCCCTCTGCTTCTCGCATTGGTCGGTGCAGCTGGCCCAGGCCGGACGGCTCACCATCACGGCTACCTCTCAGCTCTGGACACCTGACCTCACCAACCTGATGACGCGCCAGCTGCTGGAGCCCACCGGGGTTTTCTGGAGGACGCAGTCTGACCCAAGAGATGCGACCGTGCAGTGCTACGAGGCAGACGCGCACGAGTTTGGCGAGAGGATCGCAGAGCTGGCTCAGGTGAGGAAGGTGATGTACTTCTTGTTTACTTTTGCAGAAGGCTGCAGCCCTGAGACTGTGGACTGCTCCATCACCTTCACTGTGGACAGCTGAGACTTCAAAATCAAGCAGATGGAGAATACCTCTTTACAAACTCTCCCTCCTGTGTTTGTGTGGATTTAGCTTAGAAAGAAACAATATTTTATGTATACATTGCATTTTTTTGGATCAATGAAAACAAAGGATTTCACATCCCTGGACAGCAGCCTGTGAAATAAGGACTACATTTTCCAAATTTGTAACAAATCTCATCAAAAATATGCTGAATTTGACTTAACCTGTTGACTTTAAAAGCTGCTTTTGTGTCTTTGTATGTTATGATTTTGGGTGATAACAGCTTAGTGCAAATAAATCCAGAAAGAAAACAAGTGTATGATCATTTTCTTAACCAAAATCTGGTTGTGGACTGGTTTATTTCCGTGTTATTTTCCTTCTCCTCCTCTCTGACAAACAGCCGTCCTGATGGGTTTAGTAGAAATGAGTCCCTCATGAGATAATGGATCCAGGCAGTGTGTACTTGTGTGTGTGTCTGAGCGTGTTTGACTCCCCAGTGTCAGGGGAAACAGGTTCCTGCTGCCTCATCCATCTCCGTCTTGCATGGTGACCCTGACAAACAAGAGAGAGGAGAGGCATGTGGATTTCATCTCCCAGTCTCATCCTGCAGGTTTCACGCTGCAGCGGAGGAGGAGGAGGAGGGGGGGACAGTAACCGTGACTGTGAATGAGACGACGCGTGTCAGATGAGGTGTGAGAGAAAGGAAAATAACTGAGATGTCAGGAGGTATTAGACTCGTTTCACGTCAGTACAAAGTGTGGAACTAACTCAACCACCTGAACGGGCTGCGCCTCCATTTTCTCTGATAAAAAGCAGAGAGCTGCGTGTTCTCAGGAGTCTCAATTAAATCGATATTGCCTGCAGCCTTGAATGCATAAATAAAAATGATCATCAAGTGTCCTCATTGGTATGTGTCCTTTCCCTCAGCCCTGCCTGTCACCTTTTGACAAACAAGCACCAAATGGCCAGTTTTGTGGGATAACGTCTCACTGGTTATCCTTTTGGTAACTGTTAAACACAGAGAGAATCGACTAATTAAAGGATGTTAGAAGTTATTTACTTAATAAGGGCACAGTCGGGGTTTGCAGGTAATTAACACGAACAAAATCAACTGTTTGTAGCAGCACTGAGGTTTCACTGGGGAACCGTGTCTGCTCCTGAGAGACTTGGACCATTGCTTGTTTTGCTTTATCAGGGACTGAAGCGAGTGGGCCAACAGGAGGCTGAGATCAGATGAATCTCTGCACAAAGATGGCTTTAAAAGTTCGGCTCTCGCTATTGTTTGGATCCAACAAACAGCTATCAGAGAGAGGTCTTACTTCTCCAGCTCTAAACGTGATTTTAGTCCAGATTAAACCACAAACCAAAAGGAACCAGATCTGACCTGCAGGACTGTTAGATAAGGCCTCAAATCCCCCCCAGATTCCTCTAAAGTTCTGCGACTGGATAAAGTTTATCAGGCTATTTGTTTTTAGAACAAAGATGAAAACAAGAGCACAACAACATCAACAACAACAACAACAACATAATAATAAAACTAATAATAATAATAAAAAATAATAACGAGAGTAATAATCGTAATAATAATAAAAACAATAATAATAAAATAATTATAATAGTGACAATAATAGTGATAATCGTAATAACAATAATGATGACAAAATAATAATAATAATAATAATCGCAATTGTAATAATAACAATAATAATAGTGATTATCGTAATAACAATAATAATGATAATAATAATAACAACAATAATGATAATAATAATTGTATTAAAAAAATAAAAAATTATACTGATAAGCATCATCATCATAATCTTAATAATAATAGTACTACTACTATTAATAATAATAATCATCATCATCATCAATATCATTATCATCATCATCATCATCATCATCATCATTATCTTCACCATCATAATAATAATAATTGTAATAATTATAATATTTAGACCAGTTTTTTTTCTTTTGTTGTTTTTTTTACACTGACACGTTTGGACTACAAATCTCCTTCAGTCTTCCTCAGAGAACTCATGTCATGTCGTAACATTGTCTGTCAGCTGATTTACAGAGGTTTGGTTGAAAAAGGCCAAAGGTCGTCCACAGATACCTGTGCTGGATTTTAGAGCCAGTGGAGTTCAGGACAAGAAGCCCAAACAGTAAATCTGAATGAGGGGGCTTTCTTGCTGTCACATATCTGGGATGCTGTCCTGACACTGTCGGACAACAGGGGGCGTGGTGGTCCTGCTGCTTCAGGTAGGACGACCTAACCTTTATAAATCAGCTACAAGACATCACAACAACATCACATGACTAAGAAAGATTTTAATAAGTTTGCAGTCAAGGCATGTTGAAGTGGAAAAAAAAACCCACAGAAATATCAACATATGGCGTAATGAAAATAATAACGACTGTCATTCTTTTTCTGTTACTTCTACTTCTAATTCTGATGCGGAGTAAACTTTAAGTCTTATCCATGTCAACATACTTGTTCATCATCTGTTTCAGATGGTCAAATATCAAACAGATTAAATCACGTCAAAAAAGAGTTTTTGCCAAATTTTCCATCTATCTTTTTTTCTGTGGACTATAGTTTTAAATTTGGGAAATTAGTTTAGTTGTACTGGCCACAAACCTGCAACACAGTCTAAAATCGTGATGATGACCATTGTAAAAAAAAAAAATCATAATATGATATTTTGGCCATATCACCCACCCCTGGAGTTCATCCTCGACAGGTCACCAGTCGATCACAATTCCTTATGCACAGAGTAAAATAACCAAAAACAGTTTACCACCACGAATTAACCAACATGTTTTTAGACCAGAGCGCTGCACATGCAAACTCCACACCTGAAACATGAGAAGAAACAGCTGATCACTGCACCACCAAATTAGTTTGTTAAGAAGGTATTTTCACTTTTCTCTCTTGCAATAGAAGATATGCCTAAAATGCTAGAATCAGACATACCAAAGAACATTTCTGCGTCATTTCAACAACAAGAACAGCAGTTACGAAGCTGATATGTCTGCTAATCTAGATTTTGGTACAAACTCTGTATTTATGGGGTCCAAATGAGGCTTTTGCTGGTCATCCTAGCACAGACAGAAACTGATCCACTGTTTTCAAATAAAGAGGAAAAACGGTGATTCCAGCTACTCCGGCTGTGGTATCCGTTTATTTATTTTACTTTCACTCAGAAAGCAGCGAATGAAAATTCCCCCAAATGTCAAATCACTTCACAGCAGGTAGAGGAAGCAGCACTCAGAAATACTAAAGTGCTGCTGACATCTAAAATCCAAATGTCTCTCTTCCAACACAAAGAGAGGATGACCTAGAGATCAGACGGAGTTTATTGCATGAATTTTAACAACTTCCTGTCTGCTGTTCTCCCAGATTCAGAGGACGTTTCTCACAGTGGGGGAGCGAATACAGCTTTTTACTGACTGTTAGATATTGAATACATTTCTTTATCTCAGCTGTACATACGGTACACTGTATGTCCAGTCAGGCCTTGAAAATCCGAGATACAACACTAACACCGTAAATGTAGAATAAAGAGGGACTTAAAGTAGTAAACATGCTGCTCACTGGAAACACAGTTCGGTGACGACTTTGTGTTTGTACTGTGAGATGAAACAGAGCTCAGAAACAGAGAGTAAACAGAGAGTATCCAAACTGTATGTACACACTCTCCCTGAGCTGACTGTCACAACCCAGCATCTCTCTACGACAGGCCGAGGCATCTCGTTTCGAATTTCATTAAACATCAGTAATGACTCCTCTCTCTGCGCAGATGGACGCCCAAGAACATCTCAGAGTAGCACTGACACTGATAAAAGCTAATTATAGAGGCTTAAATCATAGACTGTATAAACTGTGGACAGCTTGGTTCCGCCTTTCACCAGTATATGGATTAGAAGCCAAAAAGCTCTCGGTATTTCCGGGATTTTCTCTCTGAAACCAGCATTGAGCAGTAGCATTGTGCGCATTTGGCGGGAGAGTCGCTGTGATGACACTCGGCTCAAACTGCGTATCCCTGGGTGAGCTACGCAATCTTCGTACGCCCATAGGCTGTATCAAATGTCAATCATAGAAAACATGAACCCCCTAATAACTTTTGAAAATGGAGCCGTACAGAAAAAAGAGGACTTGAGCAAAAACCAGTCTTTCAATAACTACATGTCAACATCACAAGCAGGGGGGAGAAAAAATTATGTTCTGCGTAATAAATTTCTAAAGTTTGTCCACCGCTCCATAAGGATTGCTGGAGGAGGCGGGATTTATGACCTATACTGCAGCCCGTCACCAGAGGGTGCTGTTCTCGCGGTGGCTTTACCCAGCGAGGAGGCAGACGGCGTCCGTTCTGTAAACAGTCTATGGTTTCAATGTTTTTATTTATCAGAAACGAGCTTGCCAAAAGATATTTGTGATACTGATCTTGAAATACAAGTTCTCATATTTGTTGTACTCAGTCTACAAAAAGCTATCACAAAGAAGGACACTAAAGATGATTTCAGAGTTAAGATAACTCTTTAAAAAGCTTTTCAACAGACTGTTGGCAGAGTGTAACTGCTATAAAAGTATAAATATACATTTATTTATTCATTTATTTATTATCATTATTATTTTTATTGCCAATGTGCCGTTTCCATGCAGTTGTGTAGCTCTAAGCGCCATCTGTCCTTTCCAGCCTGTAGCATTGATAACAGTGAGGGAGGGTAACTGTTGTGAAATTTTAATGAGACAGAAAAAGAGTCAGTATTTAATTGGAGCTGCTACTACTGGCTGCTAGTAATGTGTTTTTAAAACTTATGACAGAGCCATGCAGGCTGGTAGTTCCAGTTTCCAAGTTGGATAAAAAAAAGTCAAGCTTGTTGGCAGTTGGATGGAGCTGAAATAAATTAGTGTCACCAAAAATGTGGTGCCAAATAAAACATTTCATTGAGCTGCACAGTGCTAGAGACACAATCTGTGACTACTTTCATCACCAAGTAGTAAGTCATGAAGATGTAGACACAGACAAAACATGCAAAAACTTACTTTTTGCCATAAAGACTCTCTGGAGGCCAAGCTGGAGCACGCCGCCACAAACCAGCAGTTACCCAGCTGTCCCTGGTGCAGGTCGTGTGCACTGATGCCATCTACAAACAGGTGAGGGTCTTCACACAGCTCCTGCACACCAAAACAGACACAAAGATGATGGAGTTAAACATCTGAAACACATTTTATGACTCAAAAGTGAATCTTTCTTTTCTCCGAGGTGCTCAGACTCATATCTTTCGTTTGATTTTGGGAAAAATTTAGATTTTTTTCTTCATGTTTGCAGAAAATAAGACAAATGAAAGTCTACAAAGCACTGTTAATGGTTACATAGTGTGTGCATCCTTTGTGTTACACTATACAGAGGAGCATAAATGTATTGTTGAAGCAGAACATCATCTGTCTTAATGCACCCACGGATCATATTCATGATCTTCTACACAGTGTGGGAGGGCCGTGTACATTTACACAATCACATTTCCTGTAGCCGCAGTGCTGAGGTCCATTTTCTGCCACAATGTGTACAGACAGACCTCTATTACAGCTAACAACATGGTGCTCAATGAGCCGGACTCACACACACACACCTACACACATCCATACACAAACACACACTGAGAAAAACACAGACACACACTTGTTGGATATCCTGCGGTTCCTGTTATAATGTGTGGGATGAATACTACCGACTGTGGGCTGACAGTACCCATTTACAGAGAGACACAATGTCCTTTAGTCTTTTGTCTGCACACACAATGGCTTCATTTCAGCGTGAACATGTTGCAAAGAAGTGCCAAAAAGTAAAAGAGACGCAGGCACGACTTCAAAATAAACTATGTATTACAGTCGTGTAGAGATTTAACTCTTGTTGAAGAACTTAGGATTCATACACTTCATATCAACATGTATAAGAGGCTATACATCAAAGCATTGCAATATTTATTTTCCAAATACAATGTCAACAGATATTAGATGGAGCAAAGATGAGCTCAGACGGTGTACCACAGAGATTGGGAGCAGATTGAATTATAGAGCGCTCTATCTTCTATATGCTGTACAAATTATCATCCAGCTGCAGGAGAGGAGCAGGACAACATCAGTCCATATCATAGTAAAATAAAATAAAAAATCTTGTTGTTTTGGTAATTCATTGGTTTTCGTTTTCTCATTTTGATTATTCCATTCAATCTAGTAAACGAAAAATGAAAAAAACAAGTCAATATTTTATTTATTTGTTTTTCTAAATAACCAAAAAATAAAAGTTTAGTGTCTGTTTTCGTATTTTCAGTTCAAAACAGAATATATGATAGAGATGGAAACAAAAACAAAATAATGAATCTACTTTTCGTTTTCAGGTTGTTGATGTCCCCATTGGGGTTGGATGCATCCTATGTATTATTCAAAGCCACCAGGAGGGTCACGCTGAAGGAGGGAGATACGACTGTAGAAAAAATTACAACCAGAGCTCGGTTACGATGTAAGATTTTGGCGCTCGAATCACTCTGACGCATCTTTCATGGTAACTTCCATGGTAACTGTCGCTGAGGATCATGGGAAGGCCAATGTAGCCTCCATGCACATATTTTTGAACTGAAAATACGAAAACAAACACTAATTTTTTATTTTTTGGTCATACAGAAAAACAAATAAACAAAACATTGACTTGTTTTTTTTGTTCACTAGATTGAATGGAATAATTGAATGGACGGATAATACACGGACCCCGCTGGACCTCATTTTTGTTTCCTTTGTAAAGGCACAAAGAACTTTTTAGTGACTTGCAGACGTCCCAAGCTTCTGGATTCAGCAGTTGAACCATGTTATGACCAGGTGACTGATAAAACCAATATGGAGACAGTCAGAAAGTCAGGTAAACCATTAGATTTTTTATTTTTGAATAAATGCTGTAACATTTTAAAATCACAGTTTACCTCTTTTAATAATGCACACTGGGCGTCTTTTTCTCTAAGTTTTTCTATATTCCTACATTTTAAGTGAAAAACAAACCGACTCCTCCTCCTCAATAGTTGATATCTTGTAAGAGACAGATGTCTGGTATCAGTAACACAATGAGGACAGAGTTTTTGTATTTGTTTAATTTATCAAATGCTGTGACAACTCTTTAATGCAGTGACTTTCATCAAAATGCAGATCATCACTTAGTATGACGAGCCAAAGCATAGTTTTTCATAGTTAAGAAAATATTGATCATTCTTTGACTTAATTGCCTGGTAAATGTTGTTAAAATCAAACAAAATGCGTCGTATCCATCATGTTATTGATCTGCGAACACCTGATTTTTAACATAGAGGTTGACATCGCCCCGATATTAATGGAGAACAACTTAATTTTACTGCAGAGCCGTGAAGACGAAGAGGTCTGGCTGGCTGTGACCAATGTGTCTGTTTTTCTGCTCTCTGCTTTATGGCACCGACGGGTCGATGGGCTCCTCGGCCATTACTCAACAGACAGCAGAAAGACCAGCTCCACTTAACAGCTCTTTATCTTTACACACTCGCAGCACTCAACTAGGGTTAGGAAAGTAAAAGAGGCAGAAAGAGGGAGAGACCGTGTACATGAGCTTTTACCCATGTAACCTATACACAGCAGCCGTCTGCAACTGAGTCAACAACAGCTTATGTCATCTACTTTTTATCATCTGGTTATGTCAAGTTTCTAGCGTCGACATTAAATCCAAATGAGACTTTCTTTGTCAGTCATGATATAAAAGTGATCGAACTATAGTATGGACCAGGCGTTTGGCATATGTTTCTGAGAAGACACCAAAAAATGTCCAAAAGAATTTTTTAACACTTGAACAGTTCGCCTCATGATTTGGCGAGGTAGCAATCGTTCATACTCACTTCGTTTTGTTTTTTTCATTTAAAAGCCTTTGAAGCCTTAACAGTATTTTTCTCAAGATTTTTTCAATGGAGAAAAAACTTGCTATTCAGCGTCAGAGTCAAGTGACAGTAACATTTAGGGCCTGTGTCCATTAGAGGCTTTTTTTTTTTTTTCATTCTGTGCTGGCGGCTCCTATGACCCCAATTTCAGAGCTCTTCTCACAAGCCTCCAAAATTGCAAAGCAATTTCTCACAGCCATGTCTGTTTTTGAAGCTATGTCTACTTCATTTTGATTTCAGTCATAGCTTTAATAAAGAGTTTTTAACATTTATGAAATAGATTGAAATTCATTTGATGCCTTTTTATAACATCCAAAAACAAACAAGACAAGCAAGGACAAGACTAACAATTTGGACACAGTTATTTTTACTGAAACTAGGGAGAGAGGGTAGGTTCAGCAGAGCAGCTGAAGAAAGCAGTCCTATTTTTACATATTCCACATGAAATGCTCACAATAAATGATACAGGATAAAAAAATGCCTGAAACCACAAATTATGGCCAGAAAATTCATTCTTTTTTGGAGCTGAAATAATTATTTCACTTAATACTGAAAACCAAAAAAAAAAAATCAAAATGTCCTTAAAATTTAACAAATATATTTATTTATCTAGATGTTTTTGGAAACAACTAAACTACAAGAGGACATTTTTATCATTTATCGGACTGTATTCAGGTGTTTTTTTAGTAATTTCTTGATTATATTGATTTGATAGAAGTATCATAAAAGTATGTATTAAATCTGATACAAAGGGTATTCAAGAGTTTTAAGAATTTAAGAACACAAATCAAAAGTTCCCCTTAGGAGCTTTAAGGGTGCAGTGTCTACCAGTAGACTTGGCTGAAATGGGATATATTACAGTAAGATAAGATAAAGTAAACCTTTATTTATTCCACAGTGGGGAAATTTGCAGATGATAAGCATAGCAAACATAGAAAAAAGTGCACTAGGGATGGTGAGATTTACTGATTCATAACGGTGGTCAGATAGGAACGTTTGCATTAGTAAATTCTGTCGTGAACAGGAGTGAATCGTATCAGATCGTATCAAAAGGGGGTTTCAGTGTATAGGTGGCAGTGTATCGAGACGCATATCAAACTGGCCCCTGTGGTGGAGATATACATCCCTAGATAATCCCAGATAATTATAAAAAATTAACTTAGACAAAATAAATGTTATATACAAAGAAAAAACAAAAACAGCAGGACTGCAGCAGGAAGGAAGGACTTGTGGTATCTCTGTCACTGAAGGAGTTGTAACACCCAGTGCTGTTTCAGTGCTCTGCAGGGGGTGGGAAACATTGTCAATGAGAGACGACAGCTTAGCCATCATCCTCCTGTCCCCCACCACCTGTACAGGATCCAGAGGGCAACCCAGGACAGAGCTAGCTTTCCTCACCGGTTTGTTTAGTCTGTTCCTGTCTGTAATCTTGATGCTGCTGCTCCTGCAGACCTTCTGAGGCCACTACAGAGTCATGAAAGGACCTCAGGAGTGCACCCTGCACACCGATGGACCTCAGTTTCCTCAGGATATGGAGTTTGCTTTAGCTCTTTGGTTCAAATTAGGATCATATTTATAATGCATTACAGAAGTTTCCTGTTTTTAAAGGGATATTCCTGCATAAAGTTAATTTAGGGTCAAACACACCAACTTTAGAAACGACCGCAGGATAGCAATACACAGCAGTCTGAGGAGCCATAAACAAACCTCAACCAAAACGCCACTCTATAGCCACAAATAATGCTCAGAACAGCACCTAACTTCATCAACAGGACATAGAGGGTCCCAGCCACAGCACTAGCCACCAATGGACCTCGATCCAGTCCGAATCCAAAGTTGGTATAACTAGAGAAGCAAGCGGTCGGCAACATTTCTCTCTTGGGGGGGTGTCTGACTCTGTGTTACGGTGTGTTTGACCCTACATTAATTTTACGCCGGAATATCCCTTTAAAAGCCACTATCTCCTAACTGATCTAGACTCCGCCTAAATATTCCCATTTCTACACACTGTACCTTTAAAATTGTGTTTTTTGGGGATTTTTGCCTTTATTAGATTGAACAGACAAAGAGAAACAGGAAACGTGTTGAGGTAGAGAGTGAGGGACGACATGACTCAAGTGTAGAGCTGTGAATAAACCATCAGATAATCCAGTTTCTGCCTCTCACTACTATTATTGAGCATCAGAAGAAAACTCCCCCCACTATCACAGGATGAAGTCTGATCTCCGGTTTATCCTCACAGTCCAGCCTCACATGCTAAAGTGAACAATGAGAGAGTTGAGACACTCTTTAAAGGTGTGATAGTGAGTGTTAATATGTGTATGAGTATGTGTTAGCTCGCTGTTAGTCTGATGAAGTGGAGAATAAGAGCTCGAATATGCTCAAGTCCCTCCCCCACATCCTGCTTTAACTATAAACATCAGTAATGGTGCCAGCGCAGATCACAGCATGTACACACTGTGGCGTATGTTCCAGTGAGGGTAACAAAGGAACACACACACACACAGACGCACACACACAGGACACACGTACAGGACACATGCAAGGTCAGTAATTTGCTGACTCTGCAGAGCTGATTGCTGCAAAAGCAAACTTTTAATCAGAAGCAGAGGCCACTGCAGTGCTCCCCTGAGGCCTCAGAGCTCCACTGGCCAGCAGCCCCTCTCACCTTACAAACACCAGCAACACCGAGCCACTCCGTCTGTGCGTGTCTGCGCACAGCTATGTGAAGCAATGTCCAGATGATCACCAATTCGTGTCTGATCGGTGCCTCAGTTAAGATCTCTAATCATGGTTTTTCCCTCGTCTGCAGCAGCAGCATTGATTGGTGGGTTCGGAGCAGCAGCGGGCCTCCCTGTGGTCGCCTGCCGTCCAGGGATTGGCTCAGGTGGAAGAATAATAGAGTATCGATCCTCGTCCGGCTCTGCAGACACTGAAGTAATGTGAATATTGTGGCTGAGCACAGCCTGATCTATTACTGCTCGACTGAGAACCTTTCAGTCAGCCCCATCAGCCTCCTCAGCTCCATCCATCAGCCTGGGAGGGAGACCTTCAGACACACATGTCCAAACAGACAGAGTACAAATTAGAAAGACCGGCTGCACTTGTAGGAAGAGATGCACTTGGAAGTGGGGTTCCCTTGAAATATGTATTATACTAAAAAAATTCTGTCCAACACAAGGCACGAGTGATGTAATTTTAAACATTACAGTCTGTATTATTTACAAGTTTCTTAAATAACATTTTCAGCTCTTCGCCTTTATTTAACAGGAAAACTGCAGAGAAACTGGTAGAAGAGAGGGAGGATGGTAGATGAGACCAACTGAGACTAACTGAGCTAAAGTGAAGCCTGCTACCTTCTGAGAAATATTTCTACCTCTCAATTATTGGCCAAAAACTGATAACAGGAAGGTAAAACACAAAACTGCCAAACCTGAACCAAACCAAACTAGAAAAGAAACCAACCACAGTACTGACGGAAGCTTGCTCTACAGCATCCCTAGTGGGGGACCTTTAAAGACAGTGAACCAAACCTATCCATTTTCTACCGCTTATTTCCGTTGGGGGTCGCGGGGGGCTGGAGCCTATCCCAGCAGGGGACACCCTGGACAAGTCGCCAGTTCATCCCAGGGCTGACATATAGAGACGAACAACCATCCAAACTCACATTCACACCTACGAGCAATTTTGAAAGTGGCCAATTAACCGCCCTGAGCCGGATTTGAACCCAGGACCTTCTCGCTGTGAGGCGACATTGCTAACCACGACACCACTGTGCCTCCCAGAGAACCAAACCACCCTTTGAAAATCGTACAGATAAAGACGACTAACTGTACATTTATTTTCACATGTTAAAAGGATGTTTCAGTGTTTCTGAAATAGGAGACTCAGCATGCAAGCTAGGCTACAGTCTTCTCTGGGTGAGGCCGACTCTAGCACATGATTTATTTTATTTTGAGAGACTCGGACCAGAGCCCTCACTTTGGTTTTAATCTGCTGTCCCCTGTCTCTCTCCCCCCCCTTACCTATTCTCTCTCTCCTTCCCTCTATCTTGTTCTCTTTCTCTCCCCCTGCCCTCTCTCCACTCCTCTCTCTCTCTCTTTCTCCCCCTATCTCTCTGTATTCCTCCCCAACCCAGCAGCGGCCTGGTGGCTGTCTAGCATGAGTCTGGTCCTTCCCAAGGTTTCTGCCTGTTAAAGGAAGTTTTTCCTCGCCACTGTTCCTCATGTTCGATGGGATGGGCCAAATCTCATTTTAGGTTGGGTCTTGATAATTCATCAAACAGTGAGCGCGGTCTAGACCTGCTCTTTTTCTTTGGAAAGCGTCTTGGGATGACGACTGTTGTGAATTGGCGCTATATAAATAAAATTTGATTCGATTTAGAAAGCCCATTGGTTTTTGAGTTTTGCTTAAAATACCTTTAACGCCTAGTTAGTTTCTTAGCTTGATTCAACACATCCTTCAAAAACCAAACTGCTGTTGTCCTGAACATTACTACATGGTTTTGAGAAAATACAGAACCAAACAGGTTGTAAATGGATAAATATGCTCTCCCTTTTTCACACTCTGGATAACCAGATGGTTTAACTTCAGGGATAATTTTACTCGTTTTACTGCATCATGAAACACAAATTTTTTAATCATAAAAGTTCTGCTTCATTCCCATTTTTCATCGTCTCATTTTAACCCATCCGATCAGATTTATTCAGATTCATCACAGGGGCAGCTACCATGTTCCAGAAAGCACCCTGTCATTTAAAAAAATCCATTATATCATGCCGTACACCGTCATATCACCCCACCCAGGCCAAGCGAAGACATAAATAAACCCGAATCAGAGGAAGAGGAAGAGGAGTAAGAGGAGGGGGGCAGGGGGAGAAAGAGAGAGGGAGTGAGAGACGATGTGAGACACAGCGAGAGAGGAGGAACATTTTATTAGAGCCTGCTCTTTAAGCTCACATGCTCCGCCACTGGGATTTCATTGCAGCCATAAATATCGCTGAGATGCATCTGAGCAAAGATAACACCCAGCAAAATAACCTCTGTGAACCTTCACCCTGCAACTGATTACATGACCTCTCTGCATTTTTACTGTCTGCTGGTGCGAAATATAAAAAAAATACAAATCAATCACTCACAGATTTGTCAATCCACAATCCTCAGCAACACCACTGATGTATAATTCTGTTTGGAGACATTTCCTCACATATATCCTGTTAAATGAAAACAGACCAGGAAATTCAGCGTGTGTAATTCGTCACTCTCGGGCTAATGTTTGCATTTACGAGAAGCTTTTAAAACTTTATTGGGAAACATGAGAGCAAAGCCACCCCGCTGATGTTTTGTCGAGATGGAGGTTTGTGTCTCCAAATCCAAAATGAGGCTTTTCCGGCACTAAACATTGCATTAAACATTTCCAGAAGAGTTGTGGTTAAGAGGAGAGCTCTTTCTGGGAACGTCTGCCCCTAAATGTTTGTCTTTTGCTGGTTAATGTGGGGAACAGTACAACTGCAAATGGCCATGAAACAACCATCTGATAAAGTCAAGTACATTTCTATAATATCGATTAGTACTGGAGAGTTATCAATATCTTCAAGATGTTTTTCTCTAATTCAATGTTTGGCCTTATTCATTAAATATAACCTTCCAGTTAACTCTATTTTCTTCTTCATCATAGTAGTGACAGAGTCAGAAAACCAGACAGATCTTCAAGTCCACGCTTCATCTGCTTTGGCAGATTGATCTGATTCTCTTTGTCTGATTCTCTTACCCCTCATAAAGATTTCTATCTGCCCTGATATAGGTCAGACCAATCATGACCATTTACGGGGAAACGTTGATATGATGACAGGCCGTATAAATGGGCGCTGCTTTGGAAATTCTGTAAACAAGCAAGATGGCTGCCAATGAATCTGCTGTCATGTCCGTGCTAACTGAACCTGACAGTTCATGTCATGTAAGAAACAAAATGTGGTAAATTTAGTTTAACATTGTCATGAAGTTTGATGGAAGGGTGATTTCACACTGGGGCTCTGATCTGAGAACGCATGACCCCAAAGACTTATTCATTTGATCACATTCGTACATGGCTCAAGAGGTTACCATGTCTTCAACTAAATGTGTACCTACTCACTGTTATGAACTTTGTATTTATGGAAGAGTGCTCACGAATAACAATGTTAATAGTGTTGAAGTGGACCAGCAGGAGGAGAGGAGAGCAATCATACTCAGGTAAAAATGCTCTTTAAAGACCCACTCCGATGAAAATCATGCTTTTCTTATTTTTTTACATGTTCACCATACAGGCTGCAGTCTCAGACTGAGGTTTCAGAAAATGTGGGAGCTAAAATTGTGAAGTCTCTGGAGGGGCTGAAATCCATGGAGATGATTTATTAGTTTGGATGATTCTGTTTTTCACTGCGTCCACTCTCCACATCCATAACAGACCGCTGCTGACTGGCTGTTAAAGTCGGAACATTTAGGCTTCAATGTGTCGCTACATGTGGATATTTATAGAAACCTTCGACACTGCACTACTACTGTCTGTCATTTATCATATATGAATCTAAAAAGGCACTCCTATGATCTTTCAAAACATACTATATCAAGAATATCAGTCAAGCTGTTCAGGATAATCCATCAAATCTGCTTTACCATCATCAAGAGTCTGACGTATTTGACAAGTTTGACTCCTGACATGTTGAGTTACAGTCTGAGAGAGCAATTTATCAAATTTGCAAGAATTAAGTTTCAATTTGCAACCAATGTTCCACACATTTATCAAATTAAAATCAAACACTAGTCTTGCAAACTGTTCACAAGCATACAAGGTCTCTGTGGAAAGTGCAAACCTTTCTGCAACCAGCGTGCCACAGTAATATGTAGCGCAGTTTGCTGCCACCGTTTACAATCTTAATTAATTGCTCTAGCGAAACAGGCCTCAGAAGCCCTAGAAGTGCCTACATAATTAATTCTGCATTCTGCAGCGCATAATTTAAATCAACGTTTAGTGCCAATACAGGAAGCAGAACATCATTTATGCAGGGAGGAGGAGAGAAAGTCGTTTGCTGGGAGACAACACTGAATACAATCTTTGGAGACTTTACAGAGAAAACGTGTTTGTTTTATATCATATTTTTGATTTTAAGGGTGAAAGTACGATAAGGTAACGAGTTTGGATCTTTCTTATTACTCTACTTAGTTCATGTCTGTGTAATTTTAATATCTTTAAACGAGTGTGCAGCCTCCCTTTCATGAACATTTTTCATTAGATCTGAACAAAATAAGTCGAAAATAAAGTACTGAGCAAACCCTTATCAACACGTAGCCGACTGCATGGTCTTACCGAAGTTTAGTGAAAATAAAGGACTATTAAACTGGCCAGACTTGGACTCTGTGTGGAGGTTTAGCATGTAAATGAGTTTTAAGTCAGCAACTTAAAGGGATATTCCGGTAAAATTAATTTAGGGTCAAACACATCTTAACACCGAGTCAGACACCCGTCAAGAGATGAATGTTGCCAACCGCTTGCTTCTCTAGTTATACCAACTTTAGTAACGACCACACGATAGCAATACCAAGCGGTCTGAGGAGCCATAAACAAACCTCAACCAAAACGCCACTCTATAGCCACAAATAATGCTCAGAACAGCACCTAACTTCATCAACAGTACATTTAGGGTCACAGCCATAGTACTAGACACCAAACATCTTTTTAACTTTGACTCATTTCTTTAGCAAAGGGACCAAACACAACTCACCTACTCTCTTCCAGCAGCCACTTGTTTGTAGCAAGACCTCGAGCCAGTCCATTACGGACTACAGGGGGGGGGACGCAGCACAAGGAAGAACATTTATGAGACCGAGATGTTAAGGCAGAAGAACTACCACGTCTGCAGTGCAAAATGATTAATATGATGATTATTACTTACAGGAAATGATAAAGAAATGTCCCTTTAAATAATGATCCTACTAAACTCTTCATTGTTCTAAAGTCTTGTTACACACCGAGCTGAGTTTTTAGTAACTATCAGCTTTGGGGAGAAAACTTGGTGGTTGTTACAGCTACAGTCAGGCAGTTTCACATAAAACATGTTTAACGTTTTCAACTTTAAGCCTCAAATATGAACAGGAATAGTTACTCAAGTTGGTTTTGTTTTTTTCAAGCACCTAAATGTGGATTTACTTTTGTGGAATAAGTGGAAAATGACGGTTTGCTCCATGAAATAAATTGACTCACTACAAAGAAAACAAACCAAGGCTGAATCATGAAGATAACGTTATTGTGGGCCAAGTATCACTTATTCTATCATATCGTAGAGCTTATATTTTATTAGACGTAGATATTATGATAGAAACTATCTCAGGAACTTTAAGAAAACAGCAGGTATAGCGTCAGCATAACAGACAATTATTGAAACAACTGTAGTCAAACAGGTATAATGTTAGCTTAACATGAGTAGAGCTGATACGAACACTGAGTGGGTTGAGTCAGAAAGCTCTTATGTCGAGTATTCATACAGGATATGTTTCAATAAAACAATCTGAAACAATCGATAACAGCGGAGTCAAAGTGTCCTTTTCTGCCTCCTGACAGTGAGGATATGAATCACGCTCCAATGGAAACTAAAAGGATGCTCCTCCTTCTCCTTCATCTCCTCCTGACTTCTTCCAACTCTCGACTGACATCACAGACCAAAACATATAATCTGTGTGACCCAGTTTCCATGGCAATGCACGCTGGTTGTGGCTGCAGCGGCATACAGGCCGAGGACAGTTACTGCATCCAGAGCCACGGCCTGCTGTGTGAGGAGGATAACAGCGACATGGGAGTCAGCTCTCTGAATCCTGAGGCCCTGATATCATCTGCTGCTGCTGAAACATACATACAGAGCCGGCTTATACAACAGGACGAGGGAGCAGAGTGGAGCAGCGACTGATGAATACTGACACACCGTTATTTAATGAATTATTTAGTCATCGAACCCTCGTCCTGCAGCTCTGTTTGGCACTGAGTGCACCCCGTGTAAATGTTTTAAAGGTCCAATAACTGCTCCCAATTTACTGTATGCACAGTCGCTTAAGATGACCTTGACACATTTCTGCAGGGAGTTTGGCAAGATGTTGAACTGACAGCGGCGCCTCGGCATCAACATCTGGCTGGAGTGGGTTTCACACAACCTCCTGAAAATTCAAGCAGTCAGATCTCATTTCATCTCTGTGAGGTGAAACGCTGCTTCACCTCCTTTCAATCAGACGGCTCTCTGATCCACCAAACACCAAGATTATATAATCCATGAAGGAAAAGGCGCAGTTATAAATGTTAACAAACATTTGAGGGACGATATCTGCAAATATTAGCTTTGTGGACAGTGTGGGACTATTGCACCGTCTCCTGCAACTTGTAGCTTGAATCACACAATCCAGAGACTTATAAAGGAGGGACTAAAAACTATTTACACCCTAATTTAATTTAATGGCTCATTTAAAAATCTGACATAAAGAAATATAACAATATAATACTTAAGGGATATTCCAGCGTAAAATTAGGTTAGGGTCAAATACTCCGTCGAGAGATGAATGTTGCCGACCTCTTGCTTCTCTAGTTATACCAACTTTAGACATGAAGGGAAAGTGGAACATTTTACATTACTTAAAATCCGTCTTAACTCCTATGACACGTTATTTATCAAGTTGAGTTAATGCATTTTTAAGACCTTAAAATCGTATTTAAGACATTTTAGGAGATATAAGGGCCTTTAGATGGATTTTAGATGTTTTCAGACTTTTTAAGACCCCGCAGATTCTCTGTACAAAGTAAGAGAATTATAGTTTGTTATAGTGGTGGTTAAGAAACCTTTAGAGTTACACCAGTCTTAATGTTTACTGAAGTTACTGACCCTTCACAAAAAGCAGTCCACTTCTGAATACTGTAAATCTTTGAATAGAGGCCTCTCCAAATTAAAGGCAGGGTCTCTTTTTAGTGGCAGGGTGCAGCTGCATGTTTCGACAAATAAACGCAGCTCTCAATTAGAGGCCTGTGGACAGAGTTTTTAGGTATCTGTGCTGAATCTTTTACCTTCACTGAAACACAACACTTAACATTCAATGACAAACAAAGTGGCTTAAAGAACACAGGGACTCCTGAACGCTTTTAGGTGTAACTATCGGACTATTGCACACAGCTGCTCACCCGAGGCCTCTTCCAGACCACACGTCCGATCCTGTTGCCCTGGTAGAAGAGCGAGTCGTCGGTGGCGGGGAATCGGGGGTCCTCGAAGAGCAGGCCACTCTGCAGACACTGCCTCTTCAGGGTGGAGTACTGCTGCCCCTCGAAGGCTTTCACTGAAGTGAACATACTGCAACCCTGAGGGACACAGACAGGGAGGAGGAGGAGGAGGGAAGAGGAGGACACCTGTGAGGCTTAACTTGTTCTGCAAGTATCACACACACAGATACACATTTTATCATCACACATTTATGGACACTGTATTCGTAACCTCTCCTGGCATTCTGGGAAGCAGCTTTCTCCCCTCCACCTCCGCTCATCCACTCCCAGTGAGCTGACTGACAGCAGAATCCAGCCGACTTTAATACCGCTACAGTAAAAGCTCTCAGTGGAAATAGGAAGTCGATGTACACTGCTGCCTTGAGCACAGCCTGAGTCCACTGGGTCAAAATGATTAATCTGCCAATTCACTGATATCCTCTGGAGCCTAATTATCACTGCTATGCATTAAAGGAGCCGTGGACACATTGATCAGATCAGGAGTGGCAAGGCACACAGACCTGAGGCGATCTATAAGACGGAGGTACTGAAAGGATAATCAATGCTGAAATAACACCAACCTCTCCACCTTTTAATCGAAGTTTTATTCACATTCATTATTCAGAGTTATTAATAGTTATGACCTTAAAGTACAGAGATTGAACAGTTCTTCATATTGATTTGTGTATTTTTCATCAAAAGCTTCACAAATAACTACTTATCTTTGCCAATATTTACTCCTCTCCTAACTCTATTTTTTGAATAGGTAGCAAAAAAAAAAAAAAAAAGCAGACTGAGTGAGAGAACAATTGGGCTAATCCATGACCAATCTATCTAGCTATATTCTTAATTTACACAAAGCTGACCAAACTGTTTGGCACCTGTTTGGAGATATTTCAAGCTGTTTCAAGCCTGCAGCCACTTGCATGATCTGAAAACAGATTTTTTTTTCTTGTACTTTAAGTTTTTTATCCTACTTTATTTTAACAGTCAAGTTTGTCAACAACGTTTGTCAAAATCACTTTTAGTTTGATTTACTGTTCTGTTTTTACAATCCAGGCCATGATAAAATAACTTAATAAATTAGTTTTGGTCTCCCCTGGGTATGGGAGTTTGAAATTCTGATGGTATGACAAATATAATGGTTTTACGGTATCATGTGAAGTTTAGATTCTGTTATTTCAACGTCTGCCAAACTAGCTTCTCTAGCTGTGTTTACATGGGCAAAAATAATCCGTATAAATGCCCGATCGGAATAAAAATGCGTCATGTAAACATGTCAATGGGACGATTCTGATCCAATTCGGTTCAATCGGAAAGAAATTATATTCCGATTGAGAGGGGTGGTTTATGCCGATTGTTTTTCCGAAGCGTGTCCATGTAAACACTTATTCCGATCGTGACTCTCTTACCTGACTCCATCTCCACTCTTTAGTCTTTGGCTTACTTATCGAGGCCAGTACAGGAGGTTTCATTTTTAACACTCTGGCATAAAACACAACCGCAGGTACCGTGTCTGCTCTTCCGGTAACATAACAAGGCGTACATACAGCGCAATGCTGTCACATCTGCACGCACAGAGCAACCTTTGACAGAACGGTTAAATACGTACGCAAGGGCGCCATCTAGTGACATTAATTTAACAGGGGCAAAACTCCTGAATTGGATGGAGTGAGCCACTTTCGCGTTTGTTGGTGTGTTGACAGCACAGGCATAAATACAACTCTTCTTCTGTGGTTGTTTTAGTGAAATCAGACAACTCTGGGCATGTCCAAATGCTTCTAATCTAAATAAAGCTTGGTGTATGTATACGCACGTCATAATCAGATTATTTGATTTTGCGCCAGTGGATTCAGATTATCCGATCGCTCAAATTTTTAATTGGATCAAGAAATTTTGCACATGTAAACGTGGCTCCTGTGCGGCTCCATCGTTCATCCTCCTGGCTCTGTGGTTGTAAGTGACAGCTGGCCTCAGTCATGATTTTAAATTTCATTTGAATATTTTCTGTTTGTCATGTTCATTCTAAATTGTTTTATGGCTTGCTGATTTTTAATTGTTTTAATCTCTCTTTATTTGATTTCCAATGTATCTCCTTGCATCTGTAAAGTACTTTGAATTGCCTTGTGTATAAATGGTGCTTTACAAAAAAAAACTTGCCTTGGGTTACATTAATGCGTCGGTTCAGACAGAGCAGACAACTGGACTAAAAAAATGACATCCTTATTTTTTTTTATCCATCCATCCTGAACCCAGCAGCTTTAAACTTGTATAGCGCTGAATCTGCAGAGTTATATGTGGCGTCCAGACTGCTGTAAACACTGTAATATTGGTGTTGACCTGAACAGTTTGTACTGGTCAGCTTGTAAATGAAAATATTGCTTTGCTTGTCTCTGTTTTTAGAGGATATTCCTCATTCAAACAGCCAAAAGAAATATGTAAGAGCTCATGAATGTTTCAGGATAATCTGTCAGATTTGGCACCTTCATGAAATTTTAATGAAGACATTAGGATCAGAAGTCTCAAGGAGAATCTGGAACTGTAATTATTCCTCATATTAACTGATCAAGTTGAAATTGATTGCTTTATATCTTCTGAGTTCTGGTAGCCTCTGATGAGGAGTGAGGGTACATTTATCAGCTTGTACCAGCTACACAGTTTATAACATAGATTTTAAATGTAAGAACAAAAAGCTATTGATTTGTTCATTTTGGAAAGTGATGGTTGTTTACTTACACTGAGAGTGCAACCTTAATCAACAAGTCACTTAATTTCAAAGAGCAGGATAACATAAGAGCCTCAGAGTCTGGAGGGTCAATATGTTTTTTAGATGAGGGACATGAATCACCCTTCAACCTTTTATTGATATTAACTCGTATACTTTGTTTTCTACACTCTTATGCGTAATTTGATCATCTACCATGCTTGGCTATTGACAATGTAAAGAGACTCATTACAGATACTGGAAGCCTGTCAAGCCAGTGAATGCCTCTTCAACAACATTACAGACCTACAGTATATGTTAAAATTTCTGTTTTTGTCTGACCAACTCTGCAAAGTCTGATTTTGTGCCCATTTTTTTGTTCTCAACTTATCTAATCAAGTATCTTGTGAAGATTTATCAGTGTAAGCGGCTTGGATCAAGAATCAATGTCACATCAGAAAAAAAGACAAAACCGTCCCTTTAGCAGAAGCTGAAACCAGAAGATTTCTGGCATTTTCAAGTGCGATCATATTTCAGATTTTGATGATGTGATTATTTTATTTCATTAGTCATCTGTGCTTGGTAGGGGTAAGATCTGTGAATATATCTTTGTCCAGACTAGTGTGATAGTTATTAATACCATTCATCCATCCATCTTCTACCGCTTATCCAGAGTCGACTGGCAGGCGCAGCAGCCTAAGCAGGAAAGCCCAGACTTCCCTCTCTCCAGCTACTTCATCCAGCTCTTCCCGGGGGACCCCTAGGTGTTTGCAGGCTAGCTGAGAGACACTCTCCAGCATGTCCTGGGGCTTCCCCGTAGTCTCCTACCAGTGGAGCATGCCCGAGGCATTCTGATTAGATGCCCAAGCTACCTCATCTGACTCAACGGGGAGGAGCAGCGGGTCTACTCCAAGCCCCTCCTGGATGACCAGGCCGCACAATCCGCCTGTCAATCTCCCGCTTCATTCTTCTCTCATGAGCAAACAAGACCCTGAGATCCTAAAACTCTTTTACTTGAGACAGGATCTCATCTCCAACCTGGAAAGGGCCCTCTTCATTTTCCCAGCGGAGAACCATGGACCCCTATTTGGAAGTGCTGATTCTCATCCCAGCTGCTTCCCACTCGGTTGCGAACTGGTCCAGTGACAGGACCACGTCATTTGCAAAAAGCAGTGACCCAATCCTGAGACCACCAATCCAGACACCCTCAACGCCCTGGCTGCACCTACAAGTTATTAATACACCAAATGTTGGTATTCTTATTTTAAAAATATGGCGCCCATTTCCACTTTCTGTGGCGGTGGCTGTTATGGCATGAATGTGGAATAAAAGTACGTGGACACAGAAGTTAACAGTAGTAAGAATTAGCAAGATGAGAAAGATGTTTGTAAAGCAGAGAGGATGCATCCAGGTCTGCAGGGAGTTGTGCTCACCTGTAGTGGATGGACTTGATATTTCAGGGAGTCCTATAGGACGGTAATTGACAGCAAGTGGAACTTTTTCTCACTACTTGCTTGTTTCTATGATAGAGGCAGTGAGTAACATGATTTTTAACTGGACTTCTAAAAGGTTCAAACCTCAGTACCGGTTCCCTTTGTAAAAAGAAATAGACTTGAGAATTTAAATTACAGCTAATACCAACAAACTGTATCTGTTATTAAGTCCTAGCAAAGTCGTATCGTTGTAATTACATGTATATCTCAGCAGCCCCGTAAATGTGATTGAGTATCAGCAGCTTTACTCTGAACTCACAGTCATGTTTCCATGCCAGAGTAACCCGTTTAAGGAGCTTTAACAAGATTCCTCTTAATCACAGCTGGACCTTCTGTGAACTGTTCGGTGTGCCGCTCTGACGCTGACATGTTCTGACAGTGACACAGGCAGGTGGTGAGGATCTGAGACGAATACAACTGTATTCAGTTAACTGTCTCTGGATGAATTACATTTTTCAGGATTTGCTTCATTTGCGTGAATAATCTGAAGCTGAGGAGTGCAGATGATTCTGAGGACACTGGAGGTCTTCTTTGTTGAGTCTAAAGGAGTGGCCCAGATCATGGCCTGACGGATCCACATCTACATGCAGATCAATACAGACTGGATGTCCTCAAGGTTATCTGACAGCCAGCATTAGCTGATTACAACAAAATTACAATTACATTATCATCTAATTTGCTTGTAGTATGTCCTACACATGTCTTCAAACCTTTACCTTCAACCAAAGTCACATTTTGTACATACGTATTTGTACTTGCACGTTTATATGGGTGTCTTTTTATTTTTCTTCTGGCCTCAAACTCCGTAAAGTGCCTTTTGTTTTTCACACATAAAACAATTATGAACATGTTTTCCACCATAATGTCTTCAAACAGCATCACAAGCATGCAACAGGATCCTCAGCTTACCACTGTAAAGTGAGCAGTTTTCCAAAGCTGAGAGCAAAAGACAAATTATCGGTGCATTGCAGTATAATTTTCCCAAACTCAGAATCAACTCAAACAATCCTGAAATTGTTTGAGTTGTTGGTGCTGCATGCACAGAGACCCCTCTTTGCCAACAGTCTTAGGCAACAAAATGGTAAATGGACTCTACGTGACACACCACGTTCTCACACTGAAGGCAGACGCTGCTACTATTTTGTTGACTAATCCCATTCACACACCTCTGCGTACAACTAGTGGGGTCAAGTGTCTTACCCAAGGACACTTTGGCATGGGGACGGCAGTGCATGAGATTGACCCCGGAGCTTCAGATTGAAGGGAACAGCAGTAGGTAGTACACAAAGTTGGCCTCTACAACATTAAAAGCTCATTTAGATGTAGCTAATGCAAAACCAACATATAAACAAATGCAGCTTCTTCATCTGACGTTAACTTCTTGGTATTTTTAAGCCAACCAGTCAAATCTATGTTCCAGATTTCAAAAGACACTGTAACATACTGACTGCTGAAGACTCACACCACAGCATTATCTAACAGTGTTTTTAAATGGCGTGGTGCTCCAGCAGGGAGGCGGGGGAGGAATCTTCGGATGGTGTGGGAGGAATGGTTCCTCTGGAGTTTTGCAAACTCCAACTGAGATTTTCCTCTGATGTTTTTTTTTTTTTTTTTGTCAGTTATGATGAGAAAATTTCTTACAGATAGCAGACATCCCATGATGTACTGCAGTTGGCGAGCTATTTTGATATTAAAAAACTTCAACTGAGGTCAGCATTTCTGTGTTAAGATGATGAGCATTTACAGAGACTGTTTTGGTTGTTTTACAAAGCGAACGTAAAGCTTCAAATGAGTTTTTACTTACAGCAAGACAACAAAAAGCAGAAATATACTGTATGTTGATCTAACTTTGGGTGCTTGTTAGGCTCTACCATCTTGTAGACTAAACATCTAATCAGTAGGGCTAACTACAGATTAATCAATAATGATATAACTGTTACAGCCCTGGTAAGATTACAGTTAAACTCTTTACAGAGGAGTCTGCCTTAATCTCATTAATCAGGTATTAAACACCGAACCAGATGAGGTACAACAGACAGTAACAACACAAAAACAGGGACACATACTGAGGTAACACACCTTCATGACTTTTACTGTTACATAAAATCTATCACCTGTTCCAACCTGCAAACTCCAGGGCAGAGACACATTAAAAGCAAATCCAGCTAAAGTCTTTTAATGTCACATAACTACCAAGCAGCACTTTCAAATGAAGTATTTTTTAATTGGGCTGAGTTGACCTGTTCACCTTCCAGCGGTGCTTAATGATATCTAATATCAGGGGGAAATGGAGTGAATGGAAAATGGACAGATGCCAAATGTGAAGGACGACAGGAGAAGCTTGAAATCAGACTACTGTACCTTTCAAATATCATTAACCTGCAGGCATTAAACACTGAGTTTTCCTGACAGTCAGGGGGATCTGGTTCTTTCAGTGGGCTGATGGGAAATATTGCATCCAAACAAACAGTTTGAGCGTTATACAGAGTAAAGCGATCAGATTTAGGTTCGTTTTAAAAGGAGAGTCTAACACTCCTTCAAACGAACACAGTAGTACATCTGCTGAAGATCTGACCTTAATTAAAGGGAATATCCACTAACTTGGATTCAGAGGCGTTAACAAGCTGGCTGACTCTTGAGTGAGTGATAAAGTAAATTCCTGGGGGAGCGGGGAGGTCGCAGTTGGAAGCTAAATCTGACAGATGGCCTGGTGTCTTGGCTCGTGACTGCAGTAGGGGAAACCATGCTGTTATCTGGCCCCTGTAGACGATCAACAGCCTAACCTGTGGAGAACCAATCCTGGAAGCCATTACTGCTGCAGTATCTGACTGAACAAACGCTGCTATGAAATATATACATTATATTATTTAAACTAGTGTTTCAAATGCCTACACAACTGATGGCAACTGCTATGTTATAATGCTCTACTATCTGCTAAATATAATGGAATCTAAATTTCTGTTTGACCGATGAGTATTTGTGTCAAAACATCACTAGTTTAAACAAATTCAATTATTTAATAGTTTTAATCACCAGACTTAAGAAGCACCCAGACACTAGCATCCTAAAACAAGCTACACTCAAAAAAATAAATACAAAATCTAAGTATTTAAATTTATTTGATTTTATTTAAATAATATTTTTTTAGAATTTATTTATTCAAATTTCTTTAAATCAGCATAAATCTGTTAATTAAAGAAAAAAAAATCAATTTAATCAGTTAAACTATATGAATATGGTTTAAATATGACAAGCTGTGGATCAACCAAGTTTCATTTTAGTTAAAATTTATAAGACAGAAACAAATTGAATTTCTCAGTGATGAAAACATAAGTCTGTAATTATTTATTCTAAACACATTTGGGTTTATTGGTATTATAACATAAATCTAATTCTCAATTGTTTCATTTACATTTAACTGACACATATACAGCACATAAAGTTTATTGGCCTGTTTATGTTAATTCTAAGTAATTCAAATGGATGGAATTTTTATATGGAATTAGGCCGAATATTTCTGTGAGTGTAGGAAACCCTCCATTCGGCCTGTATGACCACCCATGCAGCAAATCTTTGAGCTAATGATCGCCTATTTAAACATCCAGTGGATATAGAGCTGCTGTTGTATTGATTTTACGTTTCCGCCTCTCTCACTGATCTAAATTAAACCTCTTTTCACCAACCTGTTGCACATAAATGCAATAAGGTAGGAGATGTGACAGTTGCTTTGATAGTTTCTGCTAATCTCTGAGAGGAAAGAGAGCCAAAATATCTTATGGCATTTGATGATATATGAGAATTCTTTAAGTTTTCACAGTTGAGGTTTTGAATTTAATAGCAGATGCTATAAACATACCATTGAATTGCATGTAAACATGACTTCTGATGATCTAATACTTCAGATCTCCTACAAGTGGGAACGCAGAGCAGATGGCGGAGTAATGAAAGGGATGAGGTGAAAACTTAATAAAAACACGCCTACACTATGGAGAAAACGTGGGACTGCAACAAGCCACAGGAGATAGAAATGATTGTATTAGTCAGGAGGTGCTTCAAAGTGGCCAGAATGCTCAATAAATCAGTGAAATTAAAATGAGTGAAAAAACAATGATGGAAACCAATGTTCTGATGTTGCTATCAGCTGATATGGATGTGACTGGGGGTAGACTCCCCACACTCCTGCCTGAGTGTGATCCACAATATGTTTTACCGTTTCTCAAAGCACTGGCTTCTACTTGAAATAGATACAAGCATGAGAAAGATGCCTGCCTGTCTGTTTCAGCCTTTCTAATGTATTCTTACCCCCAATTTCCACGGCATCCGGAATGGCTACGAAAAGGCCGTATCTGCTGATCGCAGCTGATGGTAACCATTCAAGTTAACGTGTCAATTTCCACCGGCTTCTTTTCGTTCCGCTATAGATCGCCGAACTCCACAACTGATTGCAAGAGTTCTACTTTTTCCGGATGCCGTATGAATTCAGCACAGATTAGTCTGTGCTGGAAAGGAAGTCAGGCACAGACACAAAATAAAACTTCCGGCCACTTTTCAAAATAAAACACTCCGTGTTTCAAGCAGATCGTATTTCACACCATGCACAACGGGCAGGGACGAACAAGTGAAAGGTTTTAAACAGCATTTCACCCTGATGACACCATGGAGACGCTGATTCTAGAAGTCTAGAAGTGGATATCCTCCTCTGGAAGGACACAATCTACTGCTTATATGGTTATGTGGCTGTCTTTATAGAGACAAGTCATGATCGCACGATTGCGCATGAATCCTCAGGTTCTTGTGAGTTCTCGCGATTCCCGCTGTCCATAACCTGCCACGAAATTCGCCTCACAAACGGGTCCGGTATGAATTGGCGGATCGGAGCCATTCCAGATGCGAGGAAATTCAGGGTTAGGGTGCGAGTGAGGGGAGGGAGGGGCACAGCGTCAGATTTACTTTGCAAAAGTTAAACCCATAGAAATAACTTCTGCATTAAAATCATTGTTACGGGCTTCTTCAGAACCAGGCAAACACAGCACTGTGGCGGCTGCACACTTGCTTCATAAAAGGTTTTCTTAACACAACATATATGTAAATAACATGCAGACAGCTTTGCTATGCACTGATATAAACATATATTGCACCGTGTTGGTCCTCTAGCCGCTGTGAGAGTGGGTACAGTAAAAACCTCACGGTCTACCCAACAAACCCTGAGGTAATCCAGAAATAAATACAGTTAGCTCAAAAGGAATATAAATAAATTAAACTACAGATTAAATCTCAATTCTCTATAGACAGGACTCTTTCTCTCTGGCAGCAGAAGATACCAGAAAACAGTTCTTGGCTGCTCAAGAACCATTAAATGTATACTTGCTAAAACCTGTTCTCCTTTTTTCGGGTTGTGTAAGGACTTTGTGGACTTCTTCACGCTAAAACCAAACAGGTTCAAGGATGGAGAATGACAGCAGTGCATTAAAGGTTTGTATGTCCTTGGTTTTGTTTGAGCGAAAGGTAAAACTGGTTAAAATACAGCTGACAATTTAGGAGAATTGTGCAGAAGTGGAAGATGTCTGCTGACTGAGGATGAAATTATTTAGGACTGACGGATGATGCAGCCCGCCCTGAAACAAAAGAGCCATGATTCAGAAACGACAGCTCCTGCAGCAGAGAGAGGTGAAGAGAAAGCCGATCAATCAATGATCAATACTCTAAGGAGCAGCAGACACAGCCCCACTAACAAGCAGGAACACTGCAGCCCAAATAATACAGCGAGTGATACAGTGCAAAGAGTAATGTGTATTAATCATCAGCTACAAGTGTTGATCCAAGATGACAAATAATTCATAATGCTTGCTCTCTCAGCTCATTTCTGACTCTGAAAGCTCGTCCTCAGTGTTTCACCCGTTGTTTACTGAAAAGTATTACAAGGCTGACATCTTGTGAAGTGAGAGACTCTGAAGAAGAGGCTAAAGCCGCGCTAACAAACCATTCCCAGCCCAGTCCAGTCTGTGATCTTCGCTGTAATTGAAGAGGAAACCAAAAGAAAAAGCAGAATTTAATGTAGATACAAAAACTGCCTTTGCTTTATTTTGCTGCACTAGCCTCTCTGAGCAGGAGGTGGTATTGATCAGTACGTGTCAATGTTCATTTATTTTTACCTGGGTTATACAGTCTTTTACAGTACACCGGCAGAGGTACCTCAGGTGTTTTAACACCGCAATGGCAGAATTTGAAAAAAATACCACTTCCAAAGTGATGTGAGGCTAACAAGCGCTGTTCTATCTCAATACCAGATGCTTACAGGGGTGATGTGACAGTAAGGATGCGTGTGCAGCTGCAACAGGTAGTGTCATGTGGATGTAAAGATACAAAGAAGAACAAGAAGAACCTGTAACCAAGCGGGGCTCCGCAGTTGGAATCAGGCACTACTGCAGGCTAAGAAGGAGCCTCAGGAGACATCATCTCTACTGAAATACGGCCAAATGTGGCTTTATCCATGCCAAAAAACATGGCTGGCTGAATTATTGTTCTCCAGAAAATTGAACCAGCTCCATGTGAGCCCACAGAGCCACACTAATGAGTGACTATGATGTCCAAATCCTCAATTATAAACAAGCTTGCTTTGTCTGTCGCATATATGATGTTCTGTATCTCAATTCTTCAGAACCAAAACTTCTCCTTCACTCTAAAGATAAAATCAGAAATCAGTCATCTGAATAACTAATATTATAAGTGATGGCCTGAGATACCAATCATATGTTATGTGTTTGAGTTGTAGTGTTGTTTCTATACTGCCATAATGTAGTTGTGTAGTGTGTGTCTGGTTAATCTGCTATATAGCCACTCAACCTGGGCAAAGCATAATCAGCACATGCATACAGACCAAAGACTGGTGGTGCTAGCTCTACAAGTGTTAGCCACACTTAGGAAACCTGCAGACTCTGTGATCCTGGATTTAGCTGATTTGTGGTCTGAAATTTGTCCTTAATGCCGATCATGTCAAATATGATGCAAGCCTTTAGCGTTTGTGCTCTGAAACTCATGAGGGTAACTGTTGTGTCACAAGTCACTAGCAAAAGTTAAAGCCTTATAGAGCTGCCAAAATGCTCGACTACCTGGTGAAAACAAGTGCAGCAGTGCAGTTTGGCATTATCTTAAAAAAATAGAGATGAAGTTGTATAGAGTCTGTGTCTGGTTAATCTTGCGTGTCACAACTTGACCAGAGCAACGCAAGCATGTAGTTCGTAGCTAGTGGTTCTGACTCTGCAAATGTGTAGTCACACATCACTTCAGTGCATCCCCACGCTGGAAAGTATAAGTTATTGAGAAGTTTTAATTTTGCTTCAATCAAGGATTTTAGAAGTAAACTGAAAACATACCTTTTTCAGTGCGTGCTTTTAACTAAATTTTATATCATTACCTTGTTTAAGTGTTTCAGCATTTATCTCTTTCTAGTTTTAATGACAGGATCGTCTTTTATTGAGCTATTTTGGTGCTCTTATTTTAGTATCTTTTACTGTTGTTTTTATTTCATTTTATTTATTATTTCTTAAATTTCTATCTGTTTCTTTGTTTTTAGATTTTAACCTAAACCTCAAGTGTTTCCTAATCTTGAGTTTTAAAATGACGTTTCCTCAGTGCGCACATTCCTGTTTCAACGAAATCAAACCCTTTTAAGTTTATGTGTGTTAATACTGTTTCTGTTGCATTTAGATTGTGGCGTGGGAATGAGGGGTTGGGCTGGGGTATTCTTGGGTATTCTTTGTACATGGTCGTGTATGAGAAGTGCTATATACAAAACCCAATTCCGACGAAGTTGGGAAGATGTGTAAATCGTAAATAAAAATGGAATACAATGATTTGCAAATCCTTTTCAACCAATATTCAATTGAATATACTACAAAGACAACATATTTAATGTTTAAACTGATAAACTTTATTTTTTTTTTGCAAATAATCATTAACTTCAGAATTTGATGGCAGCAATACGTGACAGAGAAGTTGGGAAAGGTGGCAAAAAATACTGAGAAATTGGAGGAATGTTCATCAAACACCTTTTTGGAACTTCCCACAGGTGAGCAGGCTAATTAGGAACAGTGGGTGCCATGATTGGGTATAAAAGCAGCTTCCCCAAAAATTCTCAAGCAAGGATGGGGCGAGGTTCAACACTTTGTGAACCACTACGTGAGCAAATAGGCGAACAGTTTAAGAACAACGTTTCTCAAAGTACAATTGCAAGAAATTTAGGGATTTCAACATCTACGGTCCATAATATCATCATAATAATATCAACATGCCCCTGTGCCAACTACTTTGGCATGTGTTGCTGCCATGAAATTCTGAGTTAATTATTATTTGCAAAAAAATAAAGTTTATCAGTTTGAACATTAGATATCTTGTCTTTGTAGTGCATTCAATTGAATATAGGTTAAAAGGATTTGCAAATCATTGTATTCTGTTTTTATTTACGTTTATTACAATTTCCCAACTTCAATGGAATTGGGTTTTGTAAATAAAGACTGATTGATTGATTGATTGATTGATTGATTGATTGATTGATTGATTGATTGATTGATTGATTGCCTTGCTTGCATTATTCATCTTTCTGTACTAGTTATTTGTGTGTGCATGTGTGCAAGTCCATGTGCTGAGTTAAGAAAACTCCTACTGCAAGTAAATATCCAAATTTTGTACATTTGTTAATTTGTTATTTACCAGAAGGACACAAGGATGTCTAACAGGAAAACTGCCAAAATGCCCAAAAAATGGAATATGAGAAAAACTCACATGGTCAAATGTATTGTTGCATCCCCTGTCCTCACACTACAAACCTGTCCAAGATATCTTTGTAAAACTGACCTGACAAGCTGAACATGTAAGTACAGCCAGGAGCAGCAGAAAAGCAGAACCAGGGCTCTCAGGAGATAAAAGTTTTCAGCATCAACCCTGAGCTTCTTTTTCAACACCACGGACAGAGCATTTTTCTTAGCAGCAAAGAGCAACAAGCTGAGCAGCACCACGGACAGCTCCTGTGTTCCAGCACTGAAGGAGACCAGGCAGCACTCCCTCCTTTAGTCCAATCAACTGAACAGAAAAACAGCCAAATCTACTTACCCCTATATCTATGGAGGCAGAATCATCAGAGGATAATGGCGAGCCAGCCTGCACCTAAAACAATTTTCTCCTCACTCTCACAGCCATAAAAAGGACAGCCTGTTACTTCAACTGTTTTATTACGGTTGGGATCTTGCTGTGTTGTTGCTAGTGACTCTAGGCGAGTTAGTTTCTCTTGAGGGACCGTTTCAGTACAGATGTAGAGCATGCATACATGATTCAACTCATGCTTACAACTCATGCTTAGAAACAGGAGGAAAATCTGGTGGTTATGTTTCATTAAACTTGAAAATGATGTAAATAAAAGGTTGTAATGATTGCTAGAGAGTGAGGTAACAGCGGTTCCTAAAAGAGCACTGGGTGATTTGCTGTCGAGGAAAACATTACTTCTTCCTCTGATTAGATATCATGATTATAACTGCTCTCTAGGCTGTATCACCTCATTACGGTACACAGCGGGCAGCAGCAGCAGATTCTGGCAAAGTTCTGGTCAGAGATCAGGGTGGAGTGTGTTCAGGGGAGCTTGTGTTGGTGGTGGTGGTGGAGGGTGGAGTGACTGATTGAGTCTGCTTCTGCTGACAGACTGATTACACTCCGAGAAGTGAACAGTGGGCAGTAATGCACCAGTATACCAGGGAGGAGGAGAGAGAGAGAAAGAAAAGAGAGAGAGTGAGGGGAGGAAAAAGGAAGGGAGGGGTGCACCAGACCATCCCTCATCCGCCCCCACAACCCCCCCTCAGCCTCCTGCATCAGGGAGGAGGGCTATCCCAGCCTCCCATCCTCCTCCCAGCATCGTGATCTCCTCTCTGCAGTATCTTCTCCTGCTGCCAGCTACTGTAGGCTTGGCCATGACATACGACACTTGCACTGCAAGTCACTTCTCTGTGCTCGCAACTCACTTTATTCCCTGTTAACCACTAAATGTTCTGTACATCGAAGTGCCCCGTTACCTATAATGACACAGTTCTTGCAAAAAAAATATCAAACATTTTCAGTACAGGTTTAAAGACAGAGCGACTTTATTTTTTATGAGAAGAAAAAAAAGAAAAGCGAAGCGGCTGTGCACTTGTTACTGGAACCATGCAAGACAACAGAACTACATTAACATTTTAGTGCAAAATTTTGGCATAATTTGATGAAGAAATTAAAGATGCAGATCAAATTTTCAAGAAACGATCCACAAATGGAGCCCTTTCGATCAGAATTTGTGCCAAAATGACTGACTTTGATTTCGCACTAAATTGGACTGCATATACTTTAACAGTGTATGTGTTAAGGTAACAGCAGCGAGGATAAAATCTGCTATTAAATCAGCAACTGTTGGTAATTTGTATTGATTTTAGACCCTGTAGATTCCCCTGCCAGGAGTCTCTAGACTCCACTTTTCAGAACATTATACCTGGCGTGAAGCCTAAACTCAAGCTTACACATGGGCATAGACTATTAATGTACACTCATTCCTCTCTTGGTGCTCTGCAGAACAACACATTCCTGAGATTATTAATTCATTGCTCCTGATGCGGAGGAAAACAGGCTCCACAGCATCAGACAGAAGAAGACAACATGACTTAAGAGCACACTAACAAGTCCTGGCAGACAACAAAACTTACCAAACCCTCAGCCTTTCAACAGGAACATTTTTATGACCAATATTACTCTTTCATTGAGTGTTATAAAAGTATGAGCATGCAGATACTGGTGCTCCTAAATGCCCCACTGATGTTGTTATTTTCGGATATGGCTTCCATATAGACTAAAAAGGCAACTGTGGCTTGATGTGCTTTGAAATGATTAAAGAAATGTCAAAAAATGAGAAGATTAAGATCATCAACAGAGCGAATAAATGAAAGTGCTTTCCAATAAATATGTAAACAAGCTCTGCGGCGTACAAACAGAGGCAGCAGGGCAGTAACAGCGGCTATGATATCGGATATATGACGCTATTTTTGCGCAAACTTCACAGTATAGCCCATTTTACACCAGAGTAACATAGTGGTTTGATAAATATTTCCTTAACCTCCACCCTCACCTCGCTATCAGCTCCGTCAGCCCGCACACAGAGGCCGTAGAAATCAGACGGCTACAGCAACTAAGTAATAGGATCTTGGATCTCCTGAGATTTAACAAGCCGCTTCGTGCGGCTAACCGACCGCCGCCTCTCCATCTCCTGCAGCCCGCTGAAAGCACCTGCCTGCCCGGGGAAAAGCAGTGTGAACCGGTTTGACGTTTAGCCACGGTTACCTGAACTGAGGCCTCTCCCGTGGCAACGTGGTTCTCTCTCGGGTCCTCCTCCGGGGGTCCAGCCGGTCCGGCTCTCACTCTCCTGGGGCTGCTGGGAATCCTCAGCACGCTCTCCCTGCCTGGTCCGCTGACGGAGCTGCTCTCTCCTCTCTCCTCTCCTCACCCGAGCCAGCTGCGTCAAGTCCACGTGGAGAAAACGTCGGGGGGACAGGAAAATCTGTCCTCTTGCTTTCAAAATAAAAGTCTTTCTCTGTGGGAAACAAGATGAGCTTGTTTGGCTTATTGCATTTGGTCACAAAAATATATTTTCTTCAACACACAGTTACAATCGAACCAAAGATTTTGTTGAGTCCATTTTAATTGTAAAACTCGACTAATTGGAAGACGACAATATTGATATCTGTAACAGGGTTTGGAGGCTTACCCCAGAACTGGGGGAAATATTTATACCTTTTATTTTGAAGGTATAAACAGGAAGTCACTAACACTCTTAGTAAATGACAGTGGTTCTTAAACGCAACAGCGAGAGGAGGCTGCGCGTGGGGGTTGGGGGGTGGTGGTGGAGGGGAGTTGAAGGCAAAGGATTGCTCCAGACTGGGCATGCGCAAAGTTAAGAGGCCTGCTGTAATCCCCTTTGTCACAAATAACAAGAGGATGCAATGTGCTGTAATTAAGACAAAACTATCCACCTAATTAAAGCCTTCCAGTTTCAGCGCTGCAACTCCGTGTAACCTTTAAGAAAATCTGATCAAAATAGACATTTCCCCCCTCTATTTTCTGTTGAGGGATACAATCCTCTAGGAACAGCCAAAAATATGTGCAAAATGGTTTTGGGTATGGACCAGAAACACCGTCTGGTCGTAAAGCCTTCTGCATTAAAACATTATTAATATTTGAGCCCATCTCAGCTCAGCCTCCAACATTTAGATTAAATGTGACAAACTGTCAAAGGACATGACTGAAGACATCTTCTGTGCGAGGAAAAAAAAAAACACAACTCAGAATAATTAAACATTACAATAATGATTTTATGGTAAGATAAGAGTATTTTACAACCCTGACAGAACAGAGATCTAAACTGTGGTGTTTAAGTAAATATATGCATTATTAAAGAAGTATAATCTTCAACACAAAGGAGAGATGGTTGAGATTTGAGCAGTAAAATCGTCATTTAGGGGCAAACGAAAGAGGTGGCCAGGGGTGGCTACAGCTCTACCATAAAAATCTCATTGGCTTATGTTAAGATCTACTGTTTGTAACCATAGACTGTATATAGAATGGACACTGTCTGCCTCCTCACTGGGTGAAGCCACTGCAAGAACAGCACCCTCTGGTGACGGGCTGCAGTATAGGTCATAAATCCCGCCTCCTCCAGCAATCCCTATGGAGCTGTGGACAAACTTTAGAAATTAATTACACAGATTATAAATTTTTCTCCCCCCTGCTTGCGATGTTGACATGTAGTTACAGTAAGACTGGTTTGTGCTCAAGTCCTCTTTTTTCTGTGCAGCTCCGTTTTTAAAAGTTATTAGGGGGTTCATGTTTTCTATGATGGACACTTGATACAGCCTATGGGTGTACAAAGATTGTGTAGCTCACCTGGGGGATACCCTGTTTGAGCCGAGCGTCATCACGGGGACTCTCCCGCCGAATGCTACAGTGCAAATGGAGGAGTGCATACAACATTACTGCGCAAGTGGTGGTTCCAGGAAGTAGAGAAAATCCCAGAAATACAGAGAGCGATCCGGTTTCAAATTCGTATGACGGAAGGCAGAGCCAAGTTGTCCATAGTATATACAGTCTACATTTGTAACAAAGGCTGTTTGTAGTTTTCTTGGCATCTAATTGAAGTATATTTTCTTTTGTCTGTGCTTCTTTTACTTGAGACTTTGGCATCTTTTTTTCAATGGTTATATCTAAAGCCAGTAGCACACGAAAAGATCACTTTAATCATGATACGTGTAACAGGACACTATGTGCTGTTGTCACTAACCAATAAGTTGGTCCTGTGTTTCTCACATGAGAAATTACTCTTATGATTGTGAGTGATTCCTTAAAATAAACCTAGCAGTTGATCAACTGTCTGTCCCTGTATTTCTTATTCCATCCAATCTGATACTTCCCAAACAGTAACAGCCTATATCATAAAAGTTAATTGTTTGTTAGATATATTTCATTTTGATGCCTTGTTACAAAAAAAAAGTGGAGGGACAATAATGCAAAAACAAATGTGTGTACACTTCCAATCAGTTACTCGATCAGAGCCAGGTTTGCTGTAGCGTTACTCTGGTGCCATCTAGTGTTCAGCCACTATTAAATCAGCCACCATCTTCCTCCACCATGAGAGGTCATCATCAGATGATTTACAGACTTTATACCCACAAATTAGCAGGTTATTCTAATGGTCATTTCATGGGTATTGTCATGATAATAAAATGTATCTTAGAAAAAATAAAAAGGTTTTCAGTTTTGTTTCTATGGCAGTTTAAAACTCTAGTGTGTGGGCAGGTTAGTTCGTACCATAGACTGTATACATATGGTACTTAAGTCAGCGCTTTTAGGGTATTTACGGTGTAACGTCTTGGCATCACCTGACCTTTATAGGACTTACATAAAAAGTGTTCACGCTTTTTAAAAAGGATTGTTTAATTGATGCCAGGAATTAAAATAAAAAATAAAAACATGATTAAGTTTACCAAAAAAAAAACACCCAACTGCTATTCTTCAATTGTGTTTTTAGAGGACCTGGACAGTTTCTATGAATACACAGATTACGTATACACGCAAAACAGCACAGGGGTCCCAGATGGTCTTTCTGTTGGGGGTAATTTCGACTTTTGTTCGATTACATTTCACCTCTGGATCCTGCTGCTAGTAAAACTTGAGCATTGCCCTTTAAATAATGTTTGAGGAACAAATTTATGCAAGGGGAGAGCAAAATATGATGAAATACAAACTTAGTCAAACGCTCACATCGTGCCTGTCCAGAGTCCCAACCTTTTTAAATGAAGTTGTCTTTCAAAGATCAACTAGATGTAAAACTGGTGTTGAAAGAGAGAATGAAGAGGTTTGTGAAGAGAAAGAGGAATTTAGCACATTACTGCTATGAAGCCATTCATCATGAACAAAAACCTGACGACAAAGCTCTTGATTTCCTGATTGATCTTTTGTTTCAGCCCTCACTGCCTCTGTCAACCCTCCAAGCTGTTGATGTTCATTTGCTGCCTCAGCTCTGAATTTTTCATTTTTCCTCACTGCCTGACGCTCCTTTGCAGACCGAAAGATTCTGTCTGTTTGTGCATCAAGGTTTGTAAAATCAGTCGATGCTAAGCTTTTGATAATTTCACATACACACGCAGGGCTCAGAGGAATCAGTTGCTTGATCTAGGATGAAAGACAAGCCTGTGTTTTATAATAAGGTGCTGTTTATTTAATCATTTCATTATTCACATCTCATGGTACACTCTCCTATAGCTTTGAATTGCATGATTTACCATGTGTAATACTGACCTCAGCCTCTTTCCCCAGGCTTCCTGTGAGAAAGAGAGCTGACACAAACATGAGCTGAGCTCCCTGTCCGACTCCAACACCCCCTCTGTCCCTGCGTACGTTTGGACGAGGGCAAAGGATTCTGGATCATAGCAATATGCTATTTTCCCCCACTTTTTTTCCCCATTTTTTACTCAGGGACAGAGAGGCTTTATTGAGCTTGGAGTTAGCTTAACTGTATGCTGCAGACGGTCTGGTTCAGTCCTGCAAACTGTGAAGTGCTTTTCTGGCTCTTTGTACATTAAATGTTCAGATTAAGTGTTTGATCATTTTAACCGTGACTTAAGGGAGTCACAGCAGCATCAGGCCTCTGTGAGAGGCTGTCCAACTTGGTTGAAGTGGCCTTTGAGTGACAAGGTTTTTGTCCAAGGTTCGGATGGTCATGGTTTAACGTGGGCTCAAACTGGTCAGCAGATGTTTTGAGATCCAAAGTTCCTCAGCTCTTCCTGTCAGCATGCCTTTAGACTCACACAAGCATTGAGTGGGAGTGTTGGAGTGGCTGCAGATTACATGAAAAACCAACCATTCACAGCCTGACCTGGACAGCAAAGAAACCCCCTCCCACTTTAACAGTTATAACCACTTGGTGCAGACTCCCACTGCAGCTTCTGCTTTTTTTTCTTTGTACAACTTTAAGGCAGGAAGTTCCACTTTGTATTTTTTTTAAATAGGTAGGTCTCAGTCTTAAATTCATGCCTCCCTGCACATGACTTTTTTAAATAAAGGATGGGGAGCCTGGAGTATCCTAGTGTCCGTCAGGCCTGATCCACTGAAAGTCAACACGAGTCACCTGGAAGTGTTGTGCTATGCCATGTAGATGAAGGTGTTTATATCGGTCTCATCTCGCTTTATGTACTTGTGATCTATCAGCCACTCGATCTGCTCCTTGATCATCTTCTTCTGTGGTAAAAACATGTTCTTTAGGATCTCCACCAGCTCTGTCTGGAGCTGGGCGTTATTTATGCGCTTCCTCATCTTCATGATCTGGATTATGGCCTCCTGAACAGAGGACAGAAACAGAGCCGTGTGAAAAACCACAAGGATTGATGGGTTATGTTGCAGCATGTGAGTTTATACAAACAGAACCACAGGCATCTGCTGAAACACCATGATGGGAAATGAAAGGTAAGACTATTTATTCACAGCAGGAGCTGTTACATAGCTGAACATCTTAACCTGCATGCTGTGAAAACATCTCCATACCTGCGTTCTTAGTATCCTGAGCTGGACGATGCCCTCGTTCTCCTCCTCTCTCATTCTTTCTGTGGTGAGCTGCAGTCGACCAATCAGGTTAATCTTTCCTCTTTTTTGTACTTTGGAGTTTTTTCTGTAAAGTTAGATCAAAAGAAAAACAAATCCTGGATCAATGTAAAGTATTCATGACTTTAAATATCAAAACCACAACTCTGATTAAAGTTTAAGTTTGTGTCGGGATGTTTTTGTTTCATCACAAAACAGTCACAAGTAATAGGTCTGGTATCAAGCAGAAGGGGCGTGCTGAAATATCTGACCACCCTTACATGAGAGAAAACTCCTGGTTTACGTAGAATAGGGTTCCTTCTGCAAAGTCCTTGGGTGAAGACACCACTGGGTCGTATGACAAAACCTGCCGCTTTAGTTTCGGAAATGCCACTAGAGACTTGGAGAAGAAAGAGTCAAAAACACATGAAATGAAGCTTGAAATGTAGACTCAACAGTAGCAGCACTATAGTGTGACAAAGCTTGTTTTTGAAATGCGAACTTATTGATCACAGCTTTATCTACACTGACCCAGAGTGTGCGTCTGAGCTCAGCGTCGGGCAGCTCGGTGGCTAACTTCAGGTTTTCAAAGCTGATCCTCTCTCTGGGTCTCTGGTTCCACGCGAACAGCACAGCCAACTGGAAAGTGGTCACCTCCAGGTCGTACTGGCCCACCTCGTTCTTAAAAGTGATCTGTAGAAACATCATTTGGTTCAGAAACCACATAGTAATGGCCGTTCTCAAACAAACATATCAGTACAGAAAATCACAACAATCTGACTTTTTTATGGCCCCCTAAGTTTTGTGCCGTGTTTTTTGTGTTTCCCCTCACAATGCCATTTGACATGAGATGATGCCAGTGGAGCTTCCTGCCACTGTGGTTCTTCTTATAGAAGTCTTCTACTTCTGGTATCAAATCTTCCAGCTCTGTGGGGAGAGAGACGAAAACCTTCTCACTGCTCCTCGACCACGCTCCAGCATTCAGGATCTTTATGTTGACCGAGTCAGCTGCAGGAGAAACAAACATAGATACTCATTGACCTCATGATGAACTCTTTCGGTCAACAAAACTTAAACCAAACACAAAGCAAAAGTTGTGTCAGTACTTCACCTGTAGAAAAGAGCCATATCCTCTTATGTCTGTAAGCTTTTTGGGTTGTTTCTCTAACTGCTATCCCATAATAAGTTGCATCATTATGGCTTTTCAGTGCTATATATCTCTTTCTATCTATCATTAGAGGGATGTTAATACACAAAAATGTCAGACTAGTTCTTTAAAAAAACAGTTTTATGCTTATTCCCAGGTTTATTTTCTCCATCTGGCAGCTTTTCAGTATTTTAACAGATCAAAAGTTTCCTCACATATCTCAGGATTTTGGCTTTGAAAACCATCTCTGCCTTAAAAAAACCTTTAATTCAGCTACAGCCTCTTAAAGGCCTCCAAGCACTCCAGAAGCCTCCTCTGCTGTTGCCGTGCCACAAAGTCCTGTTCCTCTGTTGAAAATGTCAACTGGTTGCATGATTTGGACCCTAAACCTGACCTGGATTCAAGGATTATCCCAACACACATTTAACTCACTCAGAAACAAACATTATCACTTCATGTTTATTTGTAAAATATTGAAAAGCACCTCTTTATGAAAAAACATGGTTCAATCTATCAGTTCGAGCACTTGTGGGGACATTCAGTTTGTGTCTTATCTTGTCCTTAATCAGCTTCAACAGTGTCTCATCAGTTTGTCTTTGACCATCAAATATGTGGTTTATTGTAGACATTTAGAGAGAAAATCGTTTCCTCAATTTTTGGTAGTTTTGGTATAATTCATAAACATCCAAAAACTCTAAACAGGAGCTTTAATTAATAAATTGGAGTCATTACATCGGTGTGAGTGAGATGTACCTCTACTTCTTACCTGGTAAAGCCAGCTTGTTATGTTTATGCATCTCTTTGAAAGACTGATTGAGGTCCTCTGATACCTTGATGTCCTGAAACATCCGAGCCAGCTTGTTGACATAGTCTGCAGGCATTCCTACTTCCTGTTGGGGTAAACGGCACCACAGGTGAACAGATTTTTTTTTAATGGTTTTGACAAACTGCTTTTTTTAAATTTAAGATCGACTTCACTTTTCTTGAACCGTCCGTTTAGCTCTTACCCTGAGCCACTCCACCATGTTCTCCTCAATCTCACTATCTGCCGAGATATCCAGGATGAGCCGACGCGTCAGGTGGGCTTTGTGGTAGCGCATGAACACGTCTTTGTTCTGGACATACTTCAGCACTAACAGCTGCACACAAAGAACAAACAGATTATTACAGTCGCCCACTTTAAAAAAGTAAAGTTAACCCTGCTGGCTGCTGCGATGATGTGAACCAAAATAGCGGCTGCTCTTGGAGACGCCCACACAGACTGTGTATCCAAGACTCGAGCTCTAAGGTGGTTTCTTTTCAAAGGGGATCGTATTTTAATCACACAAACAATGTTGAGTGACAGGTGGTCTCAAACACAAAGCAAATAAGGATTACCTGGGATTAAAATCTCATCTGGCTAATCCTACAACTAATTAAAAAATTGGCGTCAAAGTTTAACTACTTTAAAAAGTGACTCTTGGTCCACTGCAAATCTAACAGAGTCAACATACACTTTTTAAGGATTTGACACAGGTCTGTAATAACTGATGAACTTTTGTCTCTAATGATAACTAACTAAAGTCTAACAAACCAATCACCTGTTTCAAGGCAACTATCAGGTCTAGAGACATGAATCAGAAATGTACCACTTCTTTGAGCTTGGCCTCGATTTCCTCAGAGGTGAGCTTCTTGCTCAGTGGGGTCTTCCTCAAAAGCATATCACAGTAGTTGGCCAGCAGCTCTGGACACTTGGACTCAGGTTGAGTTTTTAAACCTACCCTGTAAACACAGACAGGAAATGAGTTCAGTCAAAAGTTTTTATGTTTATTGTTTAGGTGAAAACCCTTAACTTCAAACAAGAGAGCGTCTCTCACCCTTTCTGCTTCAAAGGAAGTTCTAGTTTAAATATAGTGGCATCATTCACAACAGCTTTATAAGCCTGCAAAGAGTTAAAGAGAAACAAGAGTTTAAACAGTTAAAAGGTTCATCCTTCAGTACTAGAGTGTTTTAAAAGAAAACAGCAGAAAAGTGGCGCTCACTTTGTCTCTAGCAGTCAGGAAGCGTGGGTCGTCCTGAAAGGCCTCTTTCACCAGCCGACTGAAGCGGTTAAACAAGGTGAGCAGCTGCTCGACATATTTCTCTGAGTCCTGCAGCAAAAAAAAAACAGATTATGTAACCAGCCAATGGGAAGAGAGTTAATTCTGCATATTGGAAATGGCAGGTTGAAAAATAACCCTTTCTCGAGCTCTGCTTGCTGGTTTTCACCTGTAGTGTTTTACAACTTATGACAAGAGCTAACTTATCCGTGAGGCTGTAGTTCTGCAAAAACATCATATATATGGACCAACTGTTGACAAATGTTGGATAATTTACGTTTTTATGTCTCAAAATGTCAGCTCAGTTCATGCATCAGTATTGGGGGAGGGGGTCTGTCATCATAGTATTTCAGTTAAAACTTGTAGCAACTGACAAATAAACTGCATCTTTCAACACTTTGCTGCTTTGAACAGGGTAAAAATCTCATCTTAAACTGTGTTGAATGCTTGAATCTGATTGGTCAGAAACTCTTCACAACTAATTTAAAGCTCCCGCAAGGAATTTTTGATTCATGTTGATTTTGGCGACCCCTGTGGACAACGTGGTATTGTCTCTTTCTTTTGTCCTGAAGAATCTCATCCTGCTTTATTTAACACTCAGTGTAAATCTCTACCTTGGAAAAAGTAAAAGAGGTTGTTTGGGTATTTTGTAGTTAATCAATCTGTCCGACATCAAACAATACCTTTAAAGGAATGTTACAGCTAAGAGGCATAAATAGCAGCTATGACAGCTTTGCTAAAACCTCACATTTACTTCACATGATCCCTTACTTTTCAGAAACACGTGTGTATAATACTCACAGAGGTGATCGTCTCCGCCGAGGCCACCATATCAGCCAGGCCGGCGCTCATGATGTGCTCTTCTAGGTCCTTCAGCATGGGCTCAATGCCACTGGGCACTTTGTCCATTAGAGAGAACATCAGGTGCAGCTCTGTGAAGGACACAGAAGTCTACAGTTTTACTTCAAAAAGTGAAGATAGCTAAAGGTGTGGGCAAGTCTGATGTTTTGTGTAACCGCTGAAGAAAATCAGAAACCTGTGTGAACATCAAAGATGCAAAAAACATGCAAACAGAAACTGTCTGAAAAGTGGTGTCACAGATAATATTTTTGTTTAGGACTTAAAGATGAAATTCAATCAAAACAGATCAAAAGAAAACGATCACTAGATTTTGGCTTTGCACGGAAACTCAATGAAGAAAGTCGTTGAACTGTTGAATACGACACTAAACTTTGATTTGGACGCTACATCACAGAACTAGTATAAAATGAGCTACCTTCAGATGCTGCATGAGAAGGTTTGGTCAGGGCTATTTCCTGGTGCAAACCTGAGCTTGCTGAGCCTTTGGTGGGAGCAGTCCTGCCGTACTCACTCTCTGTCTCATTTCGTTTGATCATGCCCGGGCACTCGGCTAGGATGGTCTCCTTGAAGGATGTTACCAGCGCGTTGACGCAACACTCCATTAACTGGAAAACAAACACAAGGACAACAGATCACACAATATACACAAGCAAAACCTCGATCACATACAGAGTTTTATGTTTATGTTTTTTAATTATTTTTTTACTGTTTTATTTCAGGCACGAGGGCCTGTAATATCTGTAGAGAGCCAGCTTTGTGTTTAGCTATTGTGCCTTTACATTTCAGACACTAAATCACATGCCGGGACACCAATATCACACCATTGTGGTATCAATATGAAAATAAACAGATGTTCCGACAGTCGGGTTGTGTTCAAGCCGACCGGCATAATGACACTGGCTAAATAATGGTAGTTAAGTGAGGGATTTGTTTGGATACAGGAATTATTCAGGATGTCAGTACACCACTAAATGAATATTTGGTCCAGCTGGATTTAGATAAATTATATTTCGCTTTGAAATTAAAGACATAAAATGCAGGGTTAAAATTTTTGTAGTTGCACTTAGTGGGGGAAAAAAAGTCCAACTTTGTGAATTCAAGACTCAACTTTAACGCAGATTTGTCTCCAAAATGAACAAATAGCAGCAAACTGCTGTGCAATACTCACTGCTTGTACAGAGTTGCAGTCACGTCTTGTCTCCAGGTATCGCAGTGCACGTTTCTCCTCTTCCCTCAGCTTTGAATCAGCCTGGTCGAACAGATGAAAGGATAAACAACCGTTTGTTACCTTCATAAAGATTTAAATCACCTGAAAAAGTGAATCATAAAACTGTGCTGGCAGGGAAATCAAAAGATACTGCGAATACCTGTCTGCAGGGAAACTACCACGAAAAAAGAAAGACTTTCATTCACTGTTAATGCAACAACTGACACAGTAGCAAAGCGGCATATTACTGACTGTTAACATCATTAACACACTTAGACTTGAACCTTTACTCTACGTATCTGTCATCCTTTCACAACTTTGATATTTTCTAAACTGAAACAAAAGAATCTAACGGGATGTCAGAGCGCTTGGTTCTTCGACCCAAAATCAGTCACAAAACTGATGTCAACGAACAGTCCAGTATCGCTCCTCACAGAAGAAGATTTCCCAAGTTAATCTGAAAATAGTCTATTTTTATTTTTGAGTGTTACTTAAAAGTTTTCCAGGCAGAAAAGTCCTCCATAAAAGTCGAGGCCTTTTGAAGTCGTGGGCTTAATCTACACTGACTCACATTAAGAATTAAAGCCTGACCAATCTGTGACCGAGGATGAAAGTTTCCGTGCTTTAAAAAACATGGAGTTCCAGTTTCAATGGCTTGAAAAGAACAAGCGTGAGATCAGCAGGGACATCTTGTCCTTCTCTGTTTTTCTTCTTCTTTTTATTCAAAAACTGGCTCATTGCCCACAGAATAAAGACAAGTTATAAGATGCTCAACGGATGAGTCTGAATTCTACTTCTTGCTAAATAATGTAAATGAATGACAGGAGTTATTTTCTCTGTAACAAAGAACTTCAGATTGTTTTCTCTAAACAGAAAGTGAGCTGAGAGTAACTAAAAGAAGAGCTCAGAGTGGCTGGGAGCAAAGTGAAAACAGATGTCCGGATTTCACTTTTTGGTACATAACTATCAGCCAATTACACAAAGAGACATTAGCTGTGCAACAAAAGGGTTACGATGTCAAAAACATGTCCACTGTTGTGTCCCACAGCTTTCTTAATTGCTGTTTGACTTCACGCAGCATATTTGGTATATGGGTTATTTCTGTTTCCCGACAGAGCATGCACAAATCGGTGACACCCTCAGGGACAGCAAACCCTAAAATTTTAATGGCGCTGTGTAAAATGTTAATAAAGATAAATTTGATGGTTTGCAAATCATTTGGAGAAAAGACAAGAAATGAATCATTTGAAAAATATGAGTTCATTTTAAATTAAATTTCTGGGATAGGAACAAAAAATACACAGAAAAGTCATGAAATGTTAACACTAAACACCTGGAGGACAATCTCCAAACTAATTATGATGATTATTAACACGACTGGACCGAGGACCCTCCACAAAGACTAAGAACTGAAAGTCTGAATCTCTCTGAAGTAAAGATGGGGTTCGCTACACTGTTAAAGCAGTTCCAGGAACATGTCACCGAGCCTCGACTACAAAGAATTTGTGGTTTTCATCATGTTGAGTAGTCAGTGTTATCAAAGAATCTGGAGAAACCTCTTTTCTGAAAGGACAAAGCTAAAAACTGATACTGGATGGTAGAGATTTGGGCCCTCAGCTGGCATAGCATCCAAAACAGACAAGACACTGTGGTGGAAATCACTGCATGTTCATTCTCTGTGAACATATTAGGCATCAACAAACGCAAAAGAGGAAACCATTTAGGAACAGGATCCAGATCTCTCTGAGCCTGAGCCTTTTTAAAATTGGATGGGACAAAGTGAAAAGCTCTTCTCCAGTCCGACAGATCAAAACCTGACACTGTTTTTGGAAGTCAAGGACACCACATCCCGAGCCGAATCCTTATCTTCACAGCCCGCTAATACGAGTACAGATCACCAGGCATGTTGTTAGCACAGCTCAGGGTCCAGTCTCTGTGACACCCAGGAGGGCACTATTAATACTAACCAATACAGACAGGTTTACAGCAACATCAAGCTGTATTGTATGACTTTGTGTACATTCAGCATGACTCTGGAAGGATCTGTGTATGTAAACGGCCTGCCTGCAGTCCGAAAGTCCAGAAAACAGGATCACGAGATGATCATTTGTGTTCTGTAAATTAATCAGTTTTCTTTTATTGACTGATCACTTATTTGTAATAAGATAATTGTTAAAAAATAATATCTAAATGTTTTACCAAAAGTCGTTGTATCATTTGGGTCACAATCGTTGCAGTTAGAGCTATGAAGTTCAGTACTCACATATTTCATGTAGTTTTGGACGCCATTTTGCTGCAGGTAGGCAGGCGCCTGTGTTCTGTAAAACCTCTCAGTAGAATCCATGTAAGCTTTCTCAAAGTTGTCTCTGTAGATCTGCAACTTGTCGTCAGGGTTGGAGCAAAGATTCACTGCTCAGGAGAACGTAAATATTAATGTGAGAAAGATGATCACCACATGTTCACAGCAGAACGTAAAATCAGACTCAGCATGATCAACAATAAAAATCTGCTGAATGAATTCTCAAAGTAGGTTCCAGGAAACACACTCTGAGAGATTAAAAAAAAAATCTCCATTATAAATGATGAACAAGGTCATATGATTCTGCTGACTTAAGGTAAGACTACGGTGTTTCCAGCCCCATTACCAAATTCTGGGTCACAATGTCGGCCAATGAAACATCAAAATGAAAGTTTAAGTGAATTAAAAACTGGACAAGAGTAGAGAGAACTGAACTGCTTGGCAAAAACACAGCTACGGCTTTGTGGAGTCAAAATAAAAGAGCAAAGGGAGGCGCAACAGCAAAATGATATCAACAGTATGATTAGCTGTTTAAGGTTTACACCATAGACTGTATATACTATGGACAACTTGGTTCCGCCTACCGCCTGTATACGGTAGGCGGAAGCCAAAAAGCTCTCGATATTTCCGGGATTTTTCTTCATTTCCTGAAACCAGCACTGCGCAGTAGCGATGCGCGCATTCTGCCGCGCAGTCGCTGAGAGTCGCTGTGATGATGCTCGGCTCAAACAGCGTATCCCCCCGGCTGAGCTACACAATCCCTGAACGCCCATAGGCTGTATCAGGTGTCAATCATAGAAAACATGAACCCCCTAATAACTTTTAAAAACGGAGCTTCACAGAAAAAAGAGGACTTGAGCACAAACCAGTCTGACAGTAACTACATGTCAACATGACAAGCAGGGGGAGAAACGTATATTCTGTGTAACAAATTTCTAAAGTTTGTCCACAGCTCCATAAACTTTGCTGGTGGAGGCGGGATTTATGAACTATACTGCAGCCCATCAACAGCGAGGGGGTAGACTCTGTCCATTGTATATACAGTCTATGGTTTACACTATCATTACTAATCCTCGTACTAAGTCAAATATACAGATTAAAAATAGGGGTTTTAAAATAATAACTATATTATTAGGAGTTCCTATTGTTAAGATTGTTTTATTCATCTGCGTTCAAAGAATAAATTCAAACTATTAGTCCCATAAAGGGAGGATACAGGAAAAATAAAGGCATCTCACCATATGACTCTCGCACTCCGATGACCAGCTGGGAGTCAAAGGCCTCTCCCAGCCTCTCAGCGTGGACGAGTTTCATGGCACTGTCTTGTAGCCTGTTTTTAATGTTAGAGAAGATGGACTCGTTCCATGTGTCCAACATCAGCTGTGAGAGCAGAGACACAATCATTACATTATTAACAATATGAGAACATATTTCTATAATACACATTTATTTGGATGCACTCGTAGTTTTTCCTCCTTTTCTCCTCCTCACCTTGCGGACGATGCTGTCCTCCACGTTGGACTTCTTGTTGCTCCCCTGTTTGCCCATCAGAGTGATCTCCAGCTGACAGAAAGGTTTGGGTAAGATGTCACACTGTGTGAAGAACTTCCTCCACTCCACGATGTAGGCCTTGAGCAGCGCCGTGTCATCTTGGTGACTCAACACCCGCTTTGAGAGGAAACACAACAAGGGTTTGACTGACAGCCGCAGAATCTCAGTGACACACGGGCAGATATTTGGCAAGGGTGATAGATCATGAAGGAGACAATTAGAGGATTAGACACAGATGATGAACCAGCATCACCATCATTTGAAACAAGGTTTAAGAAGTAAGACTCAACAGGAAACAGGAGCGCAGTTATTGGTGCTAGAAATCAGAAATTCACACTTTCTTTTCCTTTATAGAAACATTACGAGACTTCTTGTAGTGTCATCATTTGAAGGAAGAAAATATTTCAGGTTAAATCGCAAGAATAGCTAAAACTCCAGTGATGTGGATGCATAATTGTGGGATGTCGGTACATAAATCCCATCATGCTCTTGATCTTACTGCTTGTGCTTGTTTGATAAAATCGAGGATATCCTCTTTGAGGGCTTGGTGGATCTTAGCTGGACCTTTGTCATCCCACAGACAAACAGCATGGACGTCTCTGTGGAAACAAGAGGAGAACATTGTTAATGAGATGATCTACTCCTGTTCGCATTAAGCATCGATGTCCAGGGTGAAAGCAGAGATGCACCGATCCATTTTTTTCCGATCCAATTTGATACTGATACCCGGGCTGAGCGTATCGGCCGATATCCGATACCGATCCAATACTACTGTTGAATGAATGAACTGTATACTTTGCCCTGTGAGTGAAGGCATCAGGCTTGACATAGGCTTGTTAAAAAAAAGGTGACAAAATAAAACTGAAATAAATTTGCTTAATATTATTCATCAACAAATGAAAAAATTGCACATCAGCACACATCAAAACGAAGTAAGACTTCCATGTAAACATTTAGTGCAAAAGGATGGACAGACATAGAATATGGAGTGAACACAATCGCTGTGTTGCTGTGTATGATATTAATTAAAAGAAAAAAAAAAGACTGGATCGGAACGTTGGTCAATATCAGAGCCGATATCCGATCCAAATATCGGATCGGTGCATCCCTAGGTGAAAGCAAATGGTAAACTCACGAGAAAAGGTCAAACCACTGTTGTTTGGTGACCGACTCCTGCCGCAGCAGCTTCAGCACGATGGGACGCATCAGGTCCCATTTATCCTCAAACTGAAGGGAGCCTTTGTTCTGGAAACAGAGAGGAGTGAAGATCATGAACTAACCGGTCCATCACTGTTGGCGGAAAGATACTGCTTGAAAAATTAAAATGGACTGAAGCAATACACTTATCAAACTTTGCTTTTTTTTAAGACAGAGTGGCAAACCTTCCTTTAGTATGTGTCACTTAAAAAACAATTAAATAATAAAAAACTAAAATCCCGGACTGGTCAAGAAGCTACCCCAGCTCCTAGCTAATAACTGTGCCCATAAATCTTCTTCACTTCAGTCGGGGCTTAATTAATACACTGATTACTTTTGGTATTGATGAGTGTTATCAGACAGCTTATAGATCGAACAACTGATCAACTTTTAATGAGCTCTAATGAAAAAAATTAATGAATTTTAATGAATCCTTTTAATGAATTGCGAGCGGTTACGTGTGGAGACTGGCGAGTGTTAGGCTGTGCAGGGTGCCCCTACAGGGGGTAATAAGAGTCTGGGCCAGCCTGCCAGGTGTGACTCAACAAAGACAGAGCAACCTGTGAATCTAAATCCAAGTGGGGTGAATTAATATGCAGAGTTCATTAAGATAAGACAACACCAGACTGTGGGGGGATGGTAATCCTTTGTGGTCAGGGACTTCTGAGCACAAATACTTATGGTACAGTTATCCTGTTATTGACAGATTCCGTATACAGTAAAGTGTAGAGACTGTAGCTGGATTACACCACCACCTATATGTCGGGTTTCTGGGGTTGTTTTGGGTTTGTGCTGGACCTTGAAAAGGCAAACTGTGAGCCTTAATTCAAAGGATGATGGTAGATTGTTGTACAGAATCCATTTTCATGACCAGCAGGTGAATCCATGTCCGACCGCAGTCAGGGACCTCACAGCATGAAGTGTTTTATGAACGAATCTAGACCAACTGCAGCCACACAAAGAAAAAAAAGTCATCTCTAAAATAAATCTAAGATACTCTTACTGGGTCCTGCTGTTTAACTGTCTGGAAGTTACGGTTTGTCTATTCTTTGAACATTTCTGAAACTCTTCCGCCTTTTTAGAAGATAAGAAAGCAAATGGAAAGAGACAAAGGATGACATGTAGCCAAGGGCCACAAGTTGGAATTTAACCTAAGCTGACCCGTCCACTCCAAAGACTACAACCTCTATACATGGAGCAATTAGTGATTTACCCACTGAGCTAGACCAGCCCCCCACACAGTTTGATTAATGTCTGATGCCAGAGCTTTCTCTCTCACAGAAGACACAATTAAGATCACAAAGACAACATAAGATTTAACCCTTCACAAGCAGCAGTGAAAGTGCACAAAAAGAGGTAGTTAACACAATAATCTAAATTATATGAGCGCACCTTTGTGTGTACAGAATGCAAAAAAGAGGATTCCAGTATAACACTTTAAATGTAGCTAGTTAAAGGTGCAGTGTGTAGAAACAGCAATATTCAGCTACCAAACAAACTCCTGACTGAAGTGCTCCTTTACTCATCCCTACCGCTGATGAAGAAATGGTGGCCATCAAAAAGAAATCTTTAATGCAAACTCTTTTTTTCCTTCATGCACAGCTACTCGCTCCTTTACCATCTGACCGGTGCTTTTCACAAAGACAAGTATGTTACCAGTTTTTCCCTTCTGTGCTAATTCAGAAACAAAGTGGTGCAGGATGGTAGCCTCCAAGGAAAAGCACCCCTTTGTCATTCAAAGTAAACAAAAACAAAACTATCTACATGGTGATTGTACTTCGATGTGAACACACTTGTGAAAGATCTATGTCACTGCACCTTTACGTCTTTCAAAATTCACATCTTTCTATTACATCCTGGGATACTTCTTTCACAACATAAGCAGAAATATCTCTATTTCTATTATATTTTCTTTTAAGATAAAAATTAAGAATCAGCTTCATTTAAGTGCTGCCTTCAGCCTAAATGACATTTGATAATCACAATTCCCTCAAATAATCAACCATAATAAAAGCCAAATGACCATTTAAATAAAGACTTGAGGATCACCCCTGGTATCAGCAGCTCTAACCATGACTGTTTTAGGGTCAGTGACAGATAAGGGTTTGCGTCATGAGTAATTCAAAAATGTTTTAATAAATTGTTTTAAAAATTTGCATTAGGTTTGCAAAGATGTATATTTTGTATCTCTGTTGGTTTTATATAATTTCAAATAGCATCTAAACCTTTTTTTTTCAACATGAATGATGGATTTCCCTTGAAAATGTCAAGTGATGTAACCACAACAAAAGGTGAAATATTTAATACTTATTTCCACCTATAGTGTTTTAATTTATCAGTTGAAAATACGTTTTGTTAGGATTTTTTTTTTGTTAGGATTTACAATAAAATTTGATGCATTTTTGCAATATAGAGCAGGGGAATTGCTGAAAACCGCTTGCATTTTTTTGATAACATAAGACAAATCATGTAGAAACTGTTAAGATATATGTTAGTGTATTGTAGTAGAGGAGTACATTCCAATACCCATGCATTTTCTCAAATGATCAATTTGTTTTAATGCAAAATACTACTTACACCACCTGATCATGTAGCTTTTACCAAAGAAACTGAACAAACAAGTAAGATATTCTCCTCACTACTATAAGACCAGTGTTCGTTTGCGCTCTAGGACAATCTCTGTCTTCCTGAAAATGTTTCCATGAATCACTAAGAGGGAGTAAAAATAGTCACATTTCTTGTTTCTGTTCAGATACCTGCCTAATAAATCTGGTTCTTTTTTATGAGGTGTTGTTTTCTTAGACGTGACAATGCTCCCACAGACAACATTTCACCAGAGGACGATTTATTTTGTGCACAGCTGTGAGGAGGATAAAGGTGAGCGCTGTCGACGTGCAAATGTCTGAAGAAGAACATGCCAAACTGGATTTTTAATTGCAGTTGCCCTTATGTTGGTACAGAGCGACACTAAACAGTCTAACAGCTGTGGTGGTTATTCATGCACGCAGTGTAGATTACATTACATGTATGTTTGGACATCGCATGTGCACATACTGTACATGCAGTTTTGCAGAGTGAAAGATAGTGTATGAATCTGGTCTTTGTCTCTTATCTACACCCTCTGCTTTACGATACAGAGAATATAATTAAATATTGATACAGGGCTGTAGCAGGTTAGCAGTTTGAGGGAGTAACTCTGCACGGAAAGCACACAGACAGGTGATTTAGTCAGCCTTTTCCTTGTGTTTGAGCTGCAGAGTCCTGCTCCACTGAGCTGACAGCTGATCTCAGATTTAAGGCTAGCGTTCACACTCATTTTAACAATATTTCAGCGCAGGATTAGCCGACGATATGTGCCCCACCCGTTCTGTATCTCCATGTTTCCCCGGCTCCCCTGTATCTGTCTCTTTATATATCTAGCTGTGTTGTAGCTCCTCTATGCATCCAGCTAAATCACAGATAAGTAGCTAATGTTAGCCAGATGTAACTTAACTGCCCACAGCTCAGGTCAAAACTGACAGCACACTCACACACAGGCGCTGCGTGCTGTTCGTAAAGGTGAGAGCTAAACGCCGACAACACACAACGCAGGTGACAAGAGCCGGAGACAGCGTGAAAAAGCAATAATTGAATTGGAGGGGATCCTACCTTTAGCAAATTAGACGTCGCCATGTTCCCTCAACTTATCCTCTCGCGAACTCTCGCGTGATTTTACACAGACGCTGAAGATTAACCGTATCACATCACAAACTGTCTGAACTGCTTTATCTCTGACAGCGTCCTGTAATCTGCGGATTTAGTGGACGATTCAAGGACAGAATATAAAGAATTAACCACAACATGAGACGGAATAAAGAGTTACATGTGCTCCGAAAAATAAAGCAGGTCTTTTGTCTTATGTCTTACAAAAAGCTTCAAGAAAGGACACCATGACAAGTTCAGATGGATGTCTGTCTTAAAAACAAAACTAGACCAGAATTGTTTGTAATGATTTTTTAAAAATTATATGCGATAGGAAGAATAAGAATAAATAACCTTCAGTCAAATCGCTTTATCCTTATTGTTGGATTTTCTAACTTTTTACAAATAAATTAGGCCCTAATGTGTGGCCTTTAACCAAAATAAGGCAATTATTTAGATAGGGCTAGGTAAATGGATCTTACATTTAACCTTAAATTTTTTTTCTTAGGCATAAAACATAAAACAAAATAAAAGCTATAGAAACAAATGTGGTTGACCCTAAAGCCCACTATGACTTAGGCCTTTGTGGGAATTTATGACTGCAGAATTATCGAAGAAACACAACGAATAATTTAATTATTATTATTATTATTATTATTATTATTTAAAATAATAATAATAATAATAAATAAATTTATACATGGTATTGGAGTTTAAAAATAGTTTGAACTGTGATTTTAAATATCCGATAAGGCTACAGTCCAAACATTGCATTGCCACTTTGGCTCTAAACAGTCCACAGAAATCTATTCCACTCTCCTCATCAGTATTAGATATGCTTAAAGTAAGAAGCTCTTAATGTCAATGAAAATTCCTGCTTCTAACTGATAACAAATGGAGACAGCCAACAAGTAGGTGTTAGGTGGTCAGCTGATAGTGAGTAAGGTGAGAGGGTGTTTTTTTATGGGAGACCAAATGGTGAAAGAAGTGTGGCCTTCAAGTACCAGGACCTCCTGCTGATATCAATGCCAAACAGATCCATGTGGACCCCTGCATGGAGACCTTGTCCAAAGACAACTACAGCTCTGTATCAATGGCTCTTGATTGCTGTGAGTATTAAAAAAATCAGAATTTCATGACATAATCTAAAACTTTTATCAGTTTTTGTCACTATTATTGAATTCAAAATGTTTGTGCCCCTGAAACAGGTCTTAACTGGGTGGATGATGACTGGGTCAAAAAAGAGAGCACATTTTTTAGGTAAAGCTGTTAAAAATAAATGATTATGAACAGGAAAGTACTCCAAAATTGAGTCATATTTAAAAAAACTGAACCGAATAGATACATAAATTATCTATTTATCTAACATGAATTTTCTGTTGACAGTAGACTGATTCTTCTGATTGATGTATCTTTATTGTCAAAGTCTGACATTTTTCTTGCGTCACAGCAGCTCCATTTACAACATGGAGGACAGCTTACAGTGAAACCGGTGTTTGACACAATATTTCAAACACCAAACAACATTTTCAGAGGACTTTAAAGGAGTTTTGATCTAGGATTGTGCATAATATTCAATCTAGAATTTTACTAGTGTACAAAACAGTGACTCAGGTCTCAGGTTTGATTGTGATGGTTAGTCACTACACAGTTGGAGCTTGAGGCATTTTCATTTCTTCTGCCTGTTACTGACTGCTTGAAAAGCATTTTGGACCTCCTCTCACAAAGTTTACAGCACACTCTTGGAAGAAATCATTTCTTCGCAAGAGTTAGGATCACATGATTATTTCTACTCACACAGCAGGGCTCAATGTTAAATGTGGCTGAAAAGTAAAACTGCAGGCACTGCCAAAGCCTCTTCACATCTTCAAGGATTGTTTTTGTCTCATAAAGTCAGCACAATTTTTGTTATCATTCTTTCCCTCGCTGAATATCTGGATCACATGCTTTCTCACACCAGCAAAGGGAGTTTAACACTCTTATCGAGATAACAAGTAAAGCTGACAAGGTCAACTTTTGGCAGACAAGAAATTCTTTGGTTGAAAAGCCAAGACAATTAAAAGCCACACAATAATTCAGTGGAGGTTTTGAGATATTTTTCTCTCATGGAGAGAAAATATCCCCAGATATATCAATTGGCTCTACTAACCCTGATTATGAATAGCTATTTGTTAATTATTAGGTCTCTGATCCTTGTCTTGTTAGAGTAATACTTTTACCTTTCCTCATGTCAGAACAAAACTCCACCCTTTACAGAACTGTGAAGATGCCATAAAACTGGGGAAACTGCCATGAAAGAGGAAATGGTAGAACGTGGGGGTTTGGATATTTGCAGGAGTATATTGATCTGAACGTGTTAATATTGTCTTTTTCATGAAAAATTATCAGAGTTACATTAAACACCAAATGATTAAAAATTAATCAAGTGCACCCACATCTAAAGTTCTAAGGCAAGTTAATGGTAGAACTAATAAAATCAAATGTTGCAGAGATAGTAACACCTGCAGGTCATGTATCTAGCCCCTGTCTCGCTCTCTTTTAAAGAATATCATAGTTTTCCATATGTAAATTATTGTTAACTATGTTATATATATCAAATTATAAAAATAATTTGACAGCAAGTCTCTAGTTTTTATGATGTAGCAAATATAATCATCGAACAATGAGCTACCGATGGGATGAAGTCTAAGTAGGCCAGTGAAGTGCATCTTTACAGGGGCCTATTGCTTTTTCTTTTTTCACAAGTAAGTAAGAACAGAAATCTGGGCTCTTACTGCCTCTCTTGCACTGGTAAAAGTCACAGGCCTGCCCATGTGCATGCTTTATATACATTCCTTTCTATGGTACCTTAGGAGCTCATGATATAACAACAGTAGTTATTATCCATGGGAGACCACTTTTTTTGCCATGCAATATTATCAAGACACTTCTGTTTACACTCATTCTGTTGGTTTGAGGGGATGCACAACATCTTGAAATATATGCAGCTACACTAGTTAGAGACAAAACTGTGATTGCCTTGATGTAGTGATCCAAAATATGAAAAATGGCTCATCTTACCCCACTTTCCCCTATTTTATTTAAATAGCAACTCCAATTTAATTTTTCTTTTCTACTTGAGTAGACTGAATGACCGGTAACTTTGCCTCTACTTGAGCAAAATATCATAAGGATATAGTGTGGAGTTTTTTAATACTCCTGCCTCCTTGGTGTTTCCTCTCTTCCTCTATCTTCTGACATGCTGTACTTTTGATTCTCATCGGTTCCACATCAAGTTTGTCTGCACAGTGCAAGCGTCATCTTTGTGTCTTCTTTGACCAATCAGAGTGCAGGAGGCGGTCCCAAACAGCACGAGGTTAGATTGATTCGCTCCAGGAGAGAAGTCACCCAGCGTGGATGGAGGGATATTTTTTTGACAACATGATTATTTACCGTTTTCGGAGATTTCCTCAACACCTCTTTTGACAGAGGAAGGAAACGTACGTACATATTTTATTTTTAAAAATCCAAGGGTGTAGTTTCTACTCAGGGTACTATGTTTCAGTCATATTTGTAGTTTGAGGGAGCACCGATCAATGACGCTGTCAGACCAAACAACGTGGTAAAAAATACCATTTTAAGATTTCGGTATCTATTATCTGTCTGTCTTTTCAACTTGAAAAAGATAAACTTGTTCAACGAATGATAGAAATGAATCCGGGATACACGACAAGCCCCGAATATGGCAAATATGGCTTATCTTTGTACAAATACTTGTACAAAACCTGCTCATCTGGTCGTCTAAAGCGCCAAATCTTGTGGTTCAAACCTGCTGTTCAGATGAGATAACTAAAGGGGATTCAGCCATTGCCAAATTCACCTCCTGACTGATCAACCTTTGTTGATAATCTACAGAAGAAATATATAATAATTTAGAGAAGGTGCTATTTATGTTTTTATAGTCATATTTGTTAAAAATAATCAAAATGTTAATAAGGAATAGGTTTTTTAAATTGTCACAGCCACATGTATTACATCACATGCTTGTGGATATGTGCTGCCTTTGTTCTGCTTGGGTAATCTAATGAAGACATTAAGCCTTAAAGACACTTATTCTTTAATTCTTTCCTTTCTTCTTCCACGTTAATCTTTTTCCATTCTTTCCCCCCTTTTTTCACAGGTTTAGTATTAAAAGACATGGAAGGGCGTGAGGAGGAGAGACTGTGTGGGAAATGGAGGGTTGCTTGTGGCTTATACAGTTACAACATGAGGGATATCTTCACATGGTGAGTAGCATTTAATGTTCCAGTAACACATGTTATATGTGCTCCAGCTGACTAGGACACAGAGGACACTTTTATACATCTGATTAGAGAAGATAAAAAACAATCTTGGGAACAACAGCAGGTACCCAAAGATGCTTTTAAAATCCTCCAAAGGAACCAAACAGGACAGTTTCAGAGTCTGAACTGAAGGGACAGTGAAAGTAGTGAAGTCCTGGGATAGTAGGCTATGGTGGCACAGTCCATAAATGGATTTGTAAATGAACTATACTCATATTCAAAAGTGAACAGTGATGACCAGGGAGTAAAAAGTACGATGATGTATCAGGGTTTAATGTCTCTTATGAACCTCAGATAGCCAGTATCCAACAGATGAGGTGAGCGAATAATGATGGATATAAATACTTTTCTTCTGGTCAAGAGGAGGCAAGAAGATTGCAGCAACAAGTTGTTTATTTGTCTTAAAGGAGGAAAAGGATTAGTTTATTGGAGGAACATGATTTTAAAGTCAGTTTTTTTTCACCAGATTTTCAACATGAAGTTTGAAAGAAAGGCTCTGATCGCTCGTGATTAGGCCTGTCGCGATAATCAATAAATCGCCTTATCGCTCGATAAATAAAAACAAGGTCGGTCATTTTGCCAGCCTCGATAATTGACGTGCGTTTGTTTTCCTCCTCTCTCGCTACCAAACACGCTGGATGAGAGAAGAGGTCTCACTCTGCGCATTTTTCTCGGCACCTGGGGGCGTTGGCTCTATAGCGGAATGAACGGAGTTAGTGAACCCTCCTGTCAGTCATTCAGTGTCTTTGTCACGAGGGGGCTGGCGCGCACAGGCACACAGACACAGACTTTTGGATACAGTGCTGCAAGTGAGCGTCGTGAGTGAAAAGCAAGCTAACAGAATGAACACGACAGCTTTGGTGTCTAAACCGAACGCAACAGCCCAAGTGTGGGAATATTTCGGCTTTAAACCAGTTTTGTTTTCGTCAACCACAAAACTCTACGTGTGTGTGTGTGTGTGTGTGTGTGTGTGTGAAGCGTGTGTGTCTGTGTGTTGGAGGAGCACAGCAGGCTGATGAGAGCTGTCAGAGCGGACTGAAGCTGCTCCTGTATGTTTAGCGTTAAACTGACTGAGTTTTGCAACTCTGTTCGTCATTTTCGTCTCGTCCCATCAACGTAAACGCACTTTCGTCTCGTCACATTTTAGTCATCTCCGACTTATGTTTAGCTCGTCAACGTTACGTCTTCGTCGTGGGAGAAAAGGGAAATATTTTAGTCAACGAAAACAACCAGTGTTGTTCTCGTGTGGAAATTAAAGTTTATCACTTTTGACATGGTGTACTCGCATTATTATGCCATATAATATCATTATCTATAATTTAAAAAATGGTGTCAATAATATCGTTTATCGGCGATAATTTGTAGCACAATTATCGTCCAGCAAAATTTGTTATCGTGACAGGCCTACTCGTGATGCATAGGGATTTGTAATAAGCTACCAACACAATACACATACTCTCTGCAGATGGAAAGCAAGGGAGAACTGCTGGCACATCACCCCTAATCTCCTGTCTTGCAAAACTTTGCACTGCAGTTAAAAAAGGCAGGTGAATGGAAAAAAGCTTAAATGCTGGAGCTAGAGATAAAACCCAAACTTTAAAACAACAATCAAACTTTCCTGCTGTAAATCACTGACTCGTTGTTATTCTGGGTCATCTTCATGGTCATCTTCATCTTCAATAATCCCCCTGAAACTTTTTACCTAAAAGATAAAAGTGCACCTAATAACAAAATAGTAATATGTGCGATCAATCTGTAGGTGTGGTTAAAGGTGCAGAGAAGACCACCCTTTACTACAGTCTAAAAGATGCTTGGATCATCTTCTTGGAAGGGCTGCCAAACACTGCTCTCAGCCTGGTATTAAGTTTTTCACATAATCATCATTATGTAGAAGAAAGTAATTTTTTAATACTTAATGCTGCAAATATGGGTTTTGATGATTCACAAAGCCTCAAAACCTGCTTTTTTACACAGAGCTTTACAACTTTTCTAGGAAATGGTGTCGTATGTTTGGCTTCCGCCTCTGCAATGAAATGATACTGAGAAATCCAAGATATGACAGATGGGTAGGGGAATGACCATTGAAATTGATTTCATCAGGCATGCAGTGAAGGATCACAAAGGATCACTCACAACAATTTAAAGATTAAGAGCATCAGAATGATCTAAAATGAGTTATTTTGGGGTGAGATGGTTGTTAAATATGGCCATGAGGTGTGTCCTTGTCAGCCCAGACTTGAGTACCTCCACAGGGACAAATTCATATAGTAAAAGTACTGCACAATATGAGTCAACTCACGCAAAGGGAATACATTAAAGCAAAGTATGGTGTCAAAGGGGGTCCATTCTGTCAGATTTTACTATCTCATGTAATAACTGGTCCCCAAATGTTCGCACTGACTCTGTAGGCAACTGCTGAAGACCATAGTAATGGGTCAGGTGTTATCCCTGCTGATCTGTGGGACAGCAGTGAGCTCTCAGTACCTGGCCGACTACAAGGTGGAGACACCCATGCTGCAGAGCTTCCTCAACTACGTCTTGCTGCTAATCGTCTACACAACCATCCTCTGCATCCGCAAAGGTCAGGATATGTGGACTTTCAAATGTTTTCACGGCTGGTGAAGGTTTAATGTTTCTGCTGTTTATTATTATTTTCAACAATCTTCTGTGTTTCTACAGGTGACAGGAACATCATAGAGATCTTAAAAACCAAGTGGTGGAAGTACCTGCTGATGGGTCTGGCAGATGTGGAGGCAAACTATGCAGTTGTAAAGGCCTACCAGTTCACCACGCTGACAAGTATACAGGTAAAAGAAACAAGTCATGGCTCATCAGATGGTTGATGCAGGAGAATAGTAGAATGGATGTGTTTGTTTGATTTCACTGTAAAATGTTACGAAAATGATTAAAAATGGGGATTGTAGTCATGGATGTTATAAAGCTTCTAATTATCTGGTTGTTAAAAGTTAGAAAAAATCAAAATGGTCCAAATTGAATTTGATTTAACTAACACAACAAACATGTGCCAGCCACATTGTCTTCTTGTAAATATACACTTACGCACACAAGCCGCTCAGATACCAGTAAAGTCAAACATACACACTCTTCTCTGGGAGTCTCTGAGCTCCATCTTGCCGTAGCTTCCTCTGGGTTGCTGTTGCAGCTGTTTGCTCCCGTGGACCTGTCTGCTTTCTGGCTGCTTCAACTACATGCATCAGTCTCACCTCTGTCCATCTCTCTCATTCTGTATCAGTCTATAAATGGCATTATATAAATAAAATTGCTGGTTTCTTTTTGTGTTGTGTTTTTGTGTGTCTCAGCTCCTGGACTGTTTTGTGATCCCAGTGCTGATGATTTTGTCCTGGATCTTCCTGAAGACTCGCTATAAGCCGGTCCACTTTTTAGCTGTGATTGTGTGTTTGTTTGGGGTTGGGGCCATGGTGGGAGCTGATATCATAGCTGGGAGAAACCAGGGATCCAGTAAGGAAAATACTTTTCCCATACGCAAAAGTTTCATATCAGTTATCATAATTGTTGTATATATTAATTGCATATTGAAGGTATAAATTCTGCTCTGTCTTTGTGCAGGTAGTGATGTGATACTTGGAGATGGCCTGGTCCTGCTTAGCGCTTTCCTATATGCTGTATCTAACGTGTGCCAGGAGCACACCGTGAAGAACCTGAGCCGGATCGAGTTCCTGGGCATGATGGGACTGTTCGGGACCGTCATCAGTGGCATACAGCTGTGAGTTACATTTTGTATCCTTTTCATTTTGATTCAAGACAAGAAGTAAAAATCTTCTAGAGATTTAATATTTAACTGTGAAACATAAGTTTGAACCACAGTCGCAGCGGCAGTTTTGGTGTGAATGTTTGCCATAAGTAGAAGTTAAAGACTACTTTTGGGCATATTACACATATGTGGTTCCGCCTGAACTGTCCGGTCACAAAGTACAACAAGGCATCTACGAGAGTTATAACAAGATTACTGCAAAACTATTAGCTGTGGATAAAAGCGCGACTACATTTCGTCTATGTCTCCAAAGTTGGAAAAATCCAAATAAAGCCTTCTTGTTTGTTTGGTTTGATGAATCCATGAAACCGCCTTAAATGTTCCCCTGATGTCAAAGATATCTTAGACATAACCAAGCGGTAAATTTGCTGTTTTCGGAGCATTAGTGTGTGAAGAAACCACTTCATAGAACTCCTCTGCAGAAAAGGTGCAGTAAAGTGGCTGCATAATGCTGGTAGTGCTTCAGGGAACTTTTGAAACTTTTATGTGAAAAATAAAAAAAATCCTGCAGAAATCCTTGAAAAATGTCACGTTTTAAAAGCTTTCACCACAAATCTGAATCAGTTTTGGTCTAACTATTGTAGGTTGATAAAACTCAGTTGCACCTGGATATATTAAAACATTTTTCCCATAAACATGGTTTACATGAATCAAATGCTGCACACCTTTGTTCAAGTCTAAGGTGTTTCTCCTTTAAATGAAGGGTAAAACATTTTCACTCACCATGGTTAACTTTGCCTTATTATTCTCTTTGCAGAGCTGTTCTTGAAGTCAAGGCAGTAGCAGCGATAAAGTGGGACCTTCACATTTGTAAGTTAACTTGACATCTTGTAACATCAGTCAGAATCACAAACAGTTGAACACCACTCCGTTGTCTCTGATTAAATTTGTTTCGTCGTGTTCTGCAGCGATGCTGTTTGCAGTCTACGCTCTGTGTATGTACGCTCTGTACAGCTTCATGCCTATAGTGGTGAAGTTGACCAGCGCCACAGCTGTGAACCTCTCTCTGCTTACTGCTGACCTATTCAGCCTCTTCTGTGGCATCTTCCTCTTCCACTACACAGTGAGTGTGAAACGGAAACAACAATGATTTCCAAACTATGACGCACATATGGTATTTGGATTAGGGAAACCATCATATAATTCAAGCTTTTTCCTTACTGTGTTAAATAAAAAAAGTGAAAGGGATGTTAAAGATGTGATATATTATCCCGGAAATTAGAAAAGCAGTCGTTCTCATCTATCTCTATGTTGTGTTTCTTCCACAGTTTTCAACCTTGTACATCATCTCCTTTGTGGTCATCACTGTGGGCTTCATCATGTTCAACGCTGTCCCCACATACTCGGCTCTGCCCGACTCAGGCTCCAGTGATGATGAAGACCCTACTGATGACGCCGCTGAGAACTCCAGCCGCCTGCTGTCTGACCACCAGAGGACTGAGACAGTCACAGCTGTTGCTGCGCTGTGACCTAAACTGACTGAAAGAGGGAGAAAGACGGTCGGCACACTGTTACAGAAGAAAATATCGTTTGGTATTTTGCAGTTTCATAATCGAAGAAATGCAGTTTTACAGTTTAAATTTCAACAGTTTTCATTCCTTTTTATGAAGTGTTCCTCAAAAGTCAATGTGTTGATGAAATATCAACTGTTACTACACATACATTGTTTCAGCACTTGCAATGCACCAATTTGGTGGCTATTTATTTTTGTTTTCTATTTTAGATGTTTCTTATTTTTCAAAAGCATTTTTAAAAGTGTATTATTTAATAGTTTTAATCAAAGGAGTCTAATCATGAAGATGCACTTGACTTTTGTTGCCTTAAATGCGGTTACAATCTTCATTTGGCCATCCACCAAATCTACTGTAAGTCACATGGTTTTTGTTTACCTCGGGTTGCCAAATGTATAGCATGTTTACATGCAGCAGAGTTTTGCTTTTTTTTTATATTAAAGATGTTTTTATATGCTCTTAAGTTTTACATTTCTTACTTATTTTGCACGAGTTCACACGTGAATATCTCTTCACTGCTTTTTGCACTGCCTCTAAATTTAAGGAGATAATCACAGATATTTTCATGTGAAAAAGTGACTTATTAACTCACAATCTTTTTGCAGGATGAAGGACCGCAAAGATGTTGACAGCTTCATTCCAGACCAAAGCAAAGTTAAAGCTCCTGTGAGCAGCTTTACATTTGTGTTGACTTTGGCGCCCCCAGTGGACAAAGTGGTACCTCTTACATTTTTTAGGAGGACTAATGGTGGGTTCCTTTTTTAACTCAGGTGTTCGAGCTTGGATTGATGTGGGATTTGAGTCGACCACCTTTCAGATAAAGGTCTGAAAGTGATTTAGCCATTCGCACATCTTGTTGTTAGCATTGTTAGCTTATACCAAGTGGTAACATCACACAAGCAACGTAAAATGTCTATATTAGCTTTTTTTTTTTTTTAACAAATTCAATAACACAGATGATAATGTACAAGTTCTAAGTTTGTTAGTAACACTAGTAATGGTATGAGCGTGTATCTTATGCTGAGTTCGAGTTACCTCGGAAGTCAGAACTCTGAGCTGAAAATGACATCACACCCAAGTTCCCAGTGTTTCAGTTACCAAGCCGGAAAAAAGCAAAATCGCAGGCGGAAACAAGATAGCTACATCTACGAAAGTTATTTTAGCGCCTGCCTTATCCGAACATTAGGCAAGCGCTAAAATAACTTTCGTAGATGTAGCTATCTTGTTTTAGGCCTCCTATTTTGCTTTTGACTTCCAAGGTAACTGGAACGCAGCATTAGTTCGCCAAAACTGGTTTCCACACTACTCTTCATTTATTATAAAGTAGGGACACAAAAGAGCCTGTTGGATTTCCTGAATTTATTACTAACTCAATTCTCCCACCAATAAATGCTAATCTATCATGTCTGCCAGGTAAGCAATCTGGTTAGGGATATTTTTTTTGTAGGACAGTAGGGGAAAGTCCCGCCTCCTTCGCCTCTGATTGGCTAGAAAAGCTTGAAATGTTATCACACACTCAAACCAAACGCGGGCTGTGGGCTCTGTACATCGAACAGAACATTATCGCACTTTTGAATCTCCTAATCCTAACCCTTACCCTAACCCTAACTCCAACCAGACATACGATGACGTTTCACAGTCACTAGAAATAACCAATCGGAGCCCAGCACTTCTAGCCAATCAGAGGTGAAGGAGGGCAGGCCTTTCTACCATCCTACAAAAAAAAAAATTCAAGCTCACAGTTTTTATTTTTTTTAGTGTCACAGTTTATAACACTGCCCTCATGTGGCTAAAACCGGTTACTGCTAAAAATGTGATGAATATCAGCAGCCCTGAAGCTGCCAACATTCCCTCTATATTATCCTGCTAAAGCTCGGTATTTCAGGTTGCATGAATGAAGACACTCTGGTAGTGTCTTCTTATTAGATTTTTGATGGTAGGATTGCCCGCAAATCCCTTGAAATGCGCAAAAATTACGCACATCCATCAGTAAAGCCGTATGGTTTGAACCTTACTTCATATCTTGAGGTGTGTGAACGCATTAACAGGAGACAAACGAGCTATAAATTGACACACTGATTAGTATTCAGCCCTGCATTGCTGCGCTGTAGCTTTTAGACGCGCAACTCCTCAGCCTCAGTGACTGTCATCATGGAGGAAGAGCAGACGACCGGAGCCGAGTGAAGAGGACAAAACGCTGCACTCCATCTTTATTTCGTCTGCTTTTGTTTGGAAATAGGTAAGTGCGAAAATTTGCATCGAATAATCGCTTGTGCTCCCTGTGTGGTCGACGTTGCACGCTGCGGATTATGCAGGTTGTTTGTGCAAATCGATCGAGCATTAAGAGGCTGATTATGACTCTGTGAAGGTGGGAATGAACGCTCCTGTCAAATAGAGGCTCCTGTGTTTATCTCTGTGCCGAATAGAGACGCTGCACACTTAAGGTTGTAGAGGTAAAAACACGCAGATTGCCACGCACGGTAATCGTTCAGCACCACGGACAGTTCCGGAGCCGCGGGGCCTGATCTGCTGACCGGCCTCCTCCTCCTCCTCCTCCTTCCTCCTGAAGAAAAAAAAACACCTCCTCTCATCTGTTTGCAGGTGATCGCTGCTCCGAATCAGCTCTCAAGACACGTGAGGGGCCGCAGCAGCCAAGATGAAGCATTTTCTGAGGTAAAAGACTCCATTTTTGTTATTTAATGCTTTTCTGCAGCCATGAATTTGCATTGCATTTGCTAAAACGTGAAGGAATCTAACGCAGATCCACCCCCATTATTTCCCAAGCCTTGTTTCTGTGTGTATATTCAGCCTACAGTGTGTATTTATACAGAAATACAGGTTATTGTGTAGGCTGTTTACTCCCAGTTCTCCAACATTCTGAGCTTTTTCTCCAATCGATCACGGCACAGTGTGGGCAGTGAGTGGCTGTGTTGAGGTGTGAACTGGTTTGAGTGGGTTTTTCAGAAAAGAGGCCATTTAATTATGGAGCACATGTGAAGCAAGAGGTTTCCCCTGGAGTCAATATTACCAGATCTGCTGCTGTATATGACAGCAAATCTGATTAGCAATATCATATAAGGATTTAAGATTATGCAAAACCAGAATGAAACAGTGCTGGTAACACTTTACAATAACCATAATTTATAAATGGCAATTATATCGTTTATTAATGTAAGTGAATAGTTTCTTTACCATTAACAAGCAATGAAATTATTTCTATTTCTATTTATTTATTTTTAAAAATGGGAACAGTACATATTGATGAACATTTACATGTAAATATGTGGGATTATAGCCAAATGGCTAATTTCCATCCCCAGTCCCATTTGCAGGTTGATGTTAAACATAAAAGCAATAATGTTAAAAGTACAAACAACATGACTAAGACAGTTAAACAATGCACTGACAACATACACATAATATACATAAACAACACACAGATGTACACTGACCAAAAAGTGACCAATAGTAAGGGGACCAAAAAGATTGAAAGAGAATTGTAAAGTGCTAAAGTGCTAATTAGAGTGTCCTATGCTGAAGGTGTTTAAAGTGTCATTTGCTACAGTACAGCTTGTTAAAGTGACAAGTGCATAAGTGCGAAATTACATTGAATTGCACGATGTGCGGTACAGTGCAAGATCGAATTGAATTGCACGATGCCCATAGCACACAATTGCAGATGTGTGTCTAAAATTGCACATGGTTTGTATACATAAATGTGTTATGTATACCCTTTAGTAACAAATTTGCATACATGAATGAGAGTATGTACACCAGAACAAATTAAGAGTGGAACCCCAAAGCAATTAGCCAATTAGACATGACAAATACGAATATGATTGATAATTTTCATTAATTATTAATGGACTATTTATTAAAGGTTTATATAGGGTTTAAATGTTGGTTGTAAAACATCTAGATTTAAATGTTTGTCAGTAGCACTTTGCAAATGATTAGAGTGTTTTATAAACCACCTATAAACATTACTTGGATGGTTATTGTAAAGTTAGGGTTAGGTTTTTAAAATTGTACAATTTACAATTAATAATGGTCTATATGCTATTTATAAATACTGATTAAACATTAATAAACCATCTGTTTACCATTTATAAATGGTCTATTTACCATTTATAAGTTATGGTTATTGTAAAGTGTTACCACACTGCTTTATTACATAAATCATTGCAAACAATATTAATAATATTATTGGGTGGTTCTTAAACAGGGCAGGTTAACCTGTGAGACACTTTTTAACCCCAACAAAGTAATCAAATGTGCTATTTTTTGGGCATAAAACAGCTCAAAGACACAATTAAAGGAAACATGTAAATAGTGTGTCAACCCAATTTAAACTCACAACTAACTACCCTTGCTTTTTTAATCTAGTTTTTTGGTGTTAATTATCATGTGTTTTTATTAAAACATAGATTCAATACAAAACTTGTTTTTCTTATATAATTTCTTTACACTGCAACTATATTTAAAAAAGTAGAGATCGGCTAATAAATACAGCAGAAGGTCATAACCAGAAGTTGAACCAACAGCTATGACAAAAACTATGTCCTCTGCACATGGACTTCACGCCCAAACTGCTTGGCCAACCAGAGCCAACCGTAAATATTTTGTCGAACCACACTTCCCATGAACCCTTGGTGTTTTCTGTCCCTCTTCTATAGACAATGACTCTGTTCGAGCTCATTTTGAGCCGTCTTTTGCTCTTTTGTGCTTCTGTCTCAAAAGCTTTAAGTGTAATCTCTGTTTAATGACTAGTGGAGCCGAGAAGAGGCTGCCAAATTCTATTTTCACAGACGCTAATTCAACTAATGTGCTGAAATGAAAGTGGTAATAGTTTATTGTTGTAGAGATGATTCATGCAGCTCTGTTAATCGTTTTGGCTGATCAGAGTGATTCAGAAAGGTTTAAAGAGGTGCTGCTGTGTGTCCACAACACTGGAGATCTCAAATAGGCAGATTAAACTAAAATTATTGAATAAACTAGAACTTTGCTAGTGTTTTTGCAGAGAAGAACATGGGGCACGGCGCTCATGCAGACCCCAGCAGAGGGCGCTTACGTCAAACACAAGCATAGCGCAAATACAGATACATGGGTTCACGATTCAAAATTACTTTATTTATACCTCTAAGTGGATTAGATCTACAATGAGTGAGTCAGTCTCTTTTTATACAACAAACGTCACACAAAACAGTGCAGGACTGGACATGATAAGGTGAGTTAAGCGCTGAGTGTTTAAAAGAATAACAACTACCCTTAAAAACAAGATAAAATAAGCTGTTGGTAACTGCAGAATTCGAGTAGCTGTGGGTACATACTCCTCTTGCAAGATCACAATCAAAAACATGCAAATAGAGGTGGTTATTGAAAAATAATGGCAAATGATGACAAATGGAAGCATTAACGCTACCACATTTACAAGATAATGAATTGTTTGCACGAGGAATGAATTGCTCTTGTGACTGTCCTTTGTTGCTGTTCTTTGTCTACCTTAACAGAATCAGAATGAGTGCATATCAGTTTTTACAGTTAGTAATGTCAGTGGTGTAGCATCCTGCCAATTAATGTGCAATGCAGTTATATAAACAAAGTATAAATTATGATTAACCAATCCACAAAACCTACTGTCATTTATGTGGCCGTTGTTGTTATAAGGTGTGAGTGTTGTGCTCTGCAGCTCACTTCAGGCATGTCTCTCAGATACAGTCCAAAGTAAGTGGCACCAGACATTGTTAACTGTGTTACATTTGCATAAACTAAAAATGATCACTTCATGGCATTTCAGGAGCTGGAAACTCTTTCCACATTTGTATTCTCTGTATTCAGTCCCAGTTTGTTGCTTCACCAGTTGGACTGATTTGGCTCAGAGTTGGTGGTTCTCCTGTTGAATCTGGATCCCGTACAATCTGTTTGTGAGTCAGATCTGCTGTTATTACTGGTACTGTTACTATCGCTGTTATATGTGGTGGCCTTGGAGGAGGATCATGAAATTTGCAGATGACGCACTGGTGAATGGTCTCATGGGGAACACTAATAAGCTGAAAAGGGTGGTTGAAAGACCCAAAAGACCGTTTGGATCTACGATGGAGTATTAGGGCCACATTAAGAAAAAAAATTAAGACTTTGAGAAAATTTAGACTTCAAGATTAAAGTAATTAATTTATGAGAATATGTCATTACTAACAAGAACAAAGTCATACTAGAATCATTACTTACAAGAATGAAGTTGTAATCAACTACTACTACTACTTCTACTATACTTATGATAATGCAGTGCTGATGTGCCAAAAGATTAAGTATCTTTTTGTTTGAGAAACACATATGAAGTTTTCACAAAATGCTTAATGGCTCTCATTTCAACAACTGTCATCTTAAACAGCAGGTTAGAATATAAAGACTTTATTCTGACTTTACTCTCATAAGTAATGATTTTATTATGACTTTATTCTCATTAGTAATGACTTGAATCTCAAAGTTTTAATTATTTTTCTTAATGTGGCCCTAATACTCTGTCGTACAGATCTTTTTGCGTAGTTGTTGTCTTTATATAACCTAGCAGAAATGTCAGTCTGTAGATCTGGGCCAGTTATCCCCTTCTGATTCTCAAGATCACTTTGCTAGATTTTCCTGTCATGTCGGGTGTGTTTCAGAGGATTCACTTCCCCAGATCTGCTCAGAAGACGATCAGAGAAGTCCTGATTTGTAATTGTAAACGTTAAAGATGTTCAGTATTCACGGTCAGAAATCCAGCTGTGTGAGGGGACAGCATGTGAAAGAGGATGACGGCTAACCAAGATGCAAAACAAACTTCCTGTTTAGTGGCAGGAGTGTTTAAGTCATAGTCAAAGTGGGAGGGAGAGAAATTTAACAAAATTGGAACCACAGTAGCTAAACCAGAGAAATGAGATTCAACTTGACAACTTGTTGTTTGCCGAGTGGCGTTTGACTGTGTAGGATTTTCTGCAATTCCCAGATATGAGTGTCTGGACTCTGGTTATTGGTGAGTGGAATCTGTTAGTATGTGGTGTGCTGTATTAGTCATAGCTCTCCACACATGATAAGAATAAAACAGTCAAGTATATCCTTATTTGTGATGTCAAAGTAGGCTCAGATTGGGTCTAATGTAAAATTACATGTAATTTTCCTTTAAATGTGGTTTCAGGTTCGGTGTCACCTTCACCGACATTTTCTTTGTCAGCCCTGCTTCCATCACCCTGCCTTTGTGCAGACTTCTCCGAAGGTTAAAGAAATGACAGGGTGTCTATTTGAACTGTTTAACATGCCAGTCTCATTCACAGGCCTATATAGAGGGAATTAATCATCCTGGCTCTACCTCCTTTTTTGTTGACATTGAAGATGATGTTAAGCTATGATCGCTCAGCATCAGGCGGATTTATTTCTGCATGAAAAGGTCGTAAACTCTATTCCTTGAAAACAAACACAGTGGGAGGTTTGTAGGTTGTGTAAGTTATCACCAGTATTAGCTAGAATATGACAGGGACATGGTTCCTGTATTTGCGTTCCTATGTGGGGACATCACCTCTTGATTTCTGACGAGTTCTGTCCTGGATACTCGGCAATAAAGGGTTAATAAGTTCAGACAATTAACAGTTCTGTAATAAAGAAACATGACATTGTAAAAAATGAAGCCTCAGTTTCTTTATGGGTCACTTTGCATTTCCCAAGATGTACACCTTCATTTTCATCCTCAGTGTCACCTTCAAAAATAGCTCCTTTTCATCTTTTGCTTTGTGACTCCTTTCCCGTCAGATCTCTTCTTCTCCCACTCTTTTATTCCTTCCCTGCTAGTTTTTTTTCTGTCATGTGATGTTATTTCTACAGTGATTATTTAGCTTGTTTGATCACGTTTGTAATGCAAATTTTTAACAGAAACACTGTGCATGAAGATTCAGCTTCTGTTTTGTAAAAATGAGTGTGTACATGTAGCCTACTGGTATCAGAAGAGAGTTTTCAGCATCCCTGCTTAAGCATGCAACTCTGATATTGTTGCATCAGAGGGCCTTTTTTTTGCTTATAATGTGTATTTTTAGGTTTATAAAGTACAACTTACAGTATCTTTCTCAATCAACCTTATGTTACTTTAAATGGGCTGAAATGAAAGTATCATACAGTGTTGTGAGTGTTAATAAGATGCTCTTACATTTGAGCACTATAAGTAGTAATGAAGCCTTATAAATGCATTAATAAGGCTTTGTAAATATGCTTATAAATGTATTTTAAGTGATGGTGTACCATGCAAATCTATATCATAATTCAGGCTGATCCTTGTTGTCTCCTCCTCTCCAGAGTGGTGACCCAGTTCTTCGTGTTCCTCTACTGTAAATGTCTGTGGCGAGGCCTGAAGTTTGTCGTCAGGAAGTTTACAGGCCGCTGTGAGCTGCAGCGAATCTGCTACAACAACAAGCACGGAGCCCGCAGGACCCTCAAGATAGGTGGGCCGACACGCCGTCGCCTCACACTTATTTTTTTAGTCTCTGATTAGCTTCTAGCATTTAATAAAAACAGCACATCACTGTTAAAATTACAGAATTGATTTCTTCATTGGATTAGTAATTGTAATACATCTGTTCAGTAGTGCAAGGTGAATACACCATAAAAACCCCAGGGTTGAAAAGGGACTGACTACTTATTGGGTTATTTTGACCCAGAATGTTGGTTTATTCAAATTAACCCAAATTTTGGGTTGACTCAATAACCTTTTTAAGGGTCAAGTTAACCCAACGTTCGAGTTAATTTGACTCATGATCTTTGGTTTAATTGATATATGCATTTGGAGAGCTTTTTTTGGGAGCTTTCCTTTTACAACCTGTACCCTATTTTCCCATGTACTTTCATGTAACTGATTGGGGTTCAAATCACGCATGAGACATATCTGTAGGGAGCGAACTACATCTACAGATGTATCTCATACAGGATCTGAACCAGGCCTAGAACCCACGTAGAGTCAATGGAACCCAGCGTTCTGACCCAATTATTGGGTTACTCTCAGAAAAATGACCCATAATTATTAACCCATTCAAAAAAACCCTCAAACTGGGTTACAACAGAATCCACATGACCCAAGAAATGGGTATGGATCTGATATTCGTATAACCCAGGAATTGGGTTGAAGAAATAACCCAAGAGTCTTTGGAGTGTAGGAGTAATTTTCATACTTCTAACTCTATATTTCAATATAAACACCCGCCTTTTATCATATTTAAACCTAATTACTCTAAAGCTTCTGAATAGAGCTGTTTTTAATGCTTCTGTTTGCCGTCAACTTTCATTTTACGACTTCTTTCTTTCAGAATCGTCCCTGCGGTACTCCAAAAATGAGGTACGGGCCTACATATCAACAAATATGCTCTGTAATAGTATAAAGTGTGGTTGGATATTCAATCTGTTTGCGTCGTTCCTATTTCCTCCCCCTCCTCCGTCTGTCCCTTTTTGTTTATCTCCTGCTTTTATCTCCTGTAGCTGCTGCAGTCTGCCCTCAGCGTCCACCCTGACAAAGTGGAGAAAACCATTGACGACATCATGGCCTTGAAGAAGATCAACCCTGACACCAACCCACAGTAACCCACGCCGCTTTTCATATCACATTTATGTTACTTTATCACTTACATTAAGGGTGTTGTTGATAAATTAGAGAGTTTCACAGACTGTCAACACTTTGAACCCTGTGACAAGCTGTGAAAATGTGACAAGAATATATTTCTCTTCATGTGGCTCAAATTAAAAACTGTGCCTGTGCATGGCAGCTTTACACTGATACAGCTAACAGTCATACATATTAACAACCTCTCTTCTCTCTTTGTGAACCCAGACTGGGGATCTCTCTTCAGGCTAGCCTGCTGCAGATCGTGGGCTACAGGAACCTGGTAGCAGAGGTGGAGAAGCTGCGAAGGGAACCCTACGACTGTGAAAACCCTGAGAATGAGAAAATGCTAATGAAGGTAAGAAGTTAACACAAGTGGTTTCCACAGTTGGAATACTTTTCTATATTTGTATTAGACCTTAAAATCTTAAAACGGGGGCGGCAGTAGCTCAGGATGTAGAGTGGTTGTCCAATAACTGGAAGGTTGGCGGTTCGATTCCCCCTTATCCCAAGACTGTCCGTTGCATCCTTGGGCAAGACCCTTAACCCACCCTGCTCCCAGTGTGTGTCTTCCACTGGAGTATGAATGTGAGTGTTGTGTGGTGGTGGTGGTCGGCGTGGCGGTTGGTGCAAACTGGCAGCCACGTTTCCGTCAGTCTGCCCCAAGGCAACAACAAAAAAAAAACAAGAAAAAAAACAATGAGATAAAATGTGTTTTTTTTTCAAGATGAAATTTTTTTTTTAATCTCATCTTTTTTCATCACTGGTGGAAACAGGCTTCCATAGTTTAAGGTTTGTGTAGCGAGTACTTTATCTTTGCATCACAGACCCTTGTATTTATCATACATGTTCAATGGTTCATTTGGAATATGTGTTTAACTGAGTTAGAAGCGCGTAAAAAAAATCGACCCGACCCAAAAAAAACCCATAATTTTACGCAAAAATACATGCACAGTTCCGTAGCTCTGTAGCCTCCTTTAGCTTCACTTTAAGGCCAGAGCTGCAGTACTTCACACATTATCTAAGCTAACAACTCAAACTGTACTACTACTTTACTATTTTAATTATCTACCACTTTTGTGGGGCTAACTTATTTTCTCAGCAGCTTGTCCTTCACATTTCATATATTCTTCTCTTTTTTTTTAACCATCTGCATCCATCTATAGCCGTCTGTTCAGTTCAAACAGTAACTACAAGCTAGACCTTTAAACTAGGGTGACCATACGTCCTCTTTTACCCGGACATGTCCTCTTTTTTGGAGGCTTTCTGGGCTGTCTGGGTTTGTCAGGGGAAGTTTATAAAATCCTTTAAGTTTTTGCGGTTTTGTACCTAAATTTGGAGTTTGTGTCACATGGATTTTTGGAGTTAAAAGCGCGTAAAAGACACTCGATCCGACCTGAAAATCTCTCAAAATTAACTTTGTGTGACTCTGTGACTTTGCCCGGAGTAGTCGTGTCCTCTTTTTGGGAAGTCATAATATGGTCACCCTATTTAAACTATTATTTTAATGTTTCCATGCTACTTCAGTGGGTTAAATCTGAACTTTTAGAAAAAAAGTATTTTGACATTTACCACCAGGAAAGTATTTCAGGTGTTTTATTGGCTGTTCATCAGCTCCTGGCTCCTGTTTTATATTGAACAGACACATAAAAGTGGTATTGATCTTACCCTGAGGATGTGAATCTTTAAAATGTCTAGTCCTAATCCCAGACCAGTAAATTAGGTGTAACGTTTGTAATTGCTCAACCTCATTCATGTTAAAAGAGGAAACAAATAACTGCTCTGTGTTGTATTGTGTTTCGTGTGTTGCAGCTATGGAAGGAGCTGCGTCCTGACACACCGCTCACCAGCCGTATTTCCAAACAGTGGTGTGAAATTGGTTTCCAAGGCAGTGATCCCAAGACTGATTTCAGAGGCATGGGCCTGCTGGGACTGCACAACCTGCTGTGAGCTCTCAGCGGCTTTAAGTCTTTTTTGGGACTTCTCATAGTAAAAAACAAAGAATCATATCTGCCATAATACCAGATTGAGTACTTAATAATCCACATGTAAGGAGGTGTATGTTTGAATCCTAAATACCTCTTTTATTCAGTCTTTTCTTGTTCCCTCAGGTATTTTGCAGAGCATGACAAGGCGACCGCTCTGCAGATGCTCCACGACTCCCTGCAACCAAAGCACAAGTATGACAGCGATGTTTCCATTTCCAGCATGATAAAACTAACAGTATACACCATGAGTATGAAAGGAAGTCTGTCTGGTTGAACAGTGACTCATTTTATTTTAAAATTAAACTGATTTGCATCAATGTAATGGCATTGCTGGTAAATTATCAGAATGCATCATTTGCAAAAACAAAGGTCTTCACTCATCTGGCAAATTAACAGTCAAACTCATGATTTTACTCGTGGTGTATACCTCCAGCTTAAACAGCACTCACTCATCCATAAGTCTGCTTTTAACACATTTTTCTGCTGCTAACACCTTCCTCTTGATTAAATTCATTGACACAGCTTGATTCAACTCACTGCCTTATCTTTTATTAACTCCAGCTGCTTGTGTTATTTTGTCATCAGCATCTCATTTCAATGAACTTTGCTCTTCTTTGTCTCCTTTACCTCCACCGCCTCCACCTCTCTCTACCCATTCCTCTCACATGCATTGTAGGATTACACACAGAAAGCCAAGGTATTTTATTTCACTTTCATTCTCTGCACTGCATTCAGCTTTTTTCTGTTGAGTTGATGCATCATGCTGCGAAACCACAGTTTTCATTTCTCATATCAGACTTGGGAAACTTTTCACAGAGAAGAATATTCAGGCTGTACTTATTCCACTCTTTAGAGACAACACCAATGATGCTATGTGTTTGTTCCATTTGTGATCTCTTGGTACAGATTTATATTAGAGTATTAAATCTGTTTCTCCGACTTAACTGACCTTACTGTACACGGACTCCACCCTTGCCAAATTTTAAAACAAACAAAATTATAATGAGGGATTGGGCTGCTTAGAAAAGGAAGAAATTTGAGAAGATTTCCAATATTTTCTTGCAAGAACAAAATTGTATTCAAATCAATTTCTGATGGAAAGGAATTGTAGTAAGTTTCACTCCTCCCACGAGCTTTAATGTGGCCTTACTACTCATTAAAGCTTAAAACTCAAACTGCACAAACTTACCTCTTCAAACTAAACCAGATAATCTATAAATAGATTAATTTTCCTGCTCCTGGTATGGACTTAAGTCAGTGCAATGAGTAATTTCTTCTTTTTTGTATGACAAACTGTCATATAATTATAAGTTAAAGTACATAATTATAACACTTGCTGCTAATTCTATGTCTGCATATCAAAATCCCACCATTATACAGTAAAGTGAATAGGAAGCCAGACGAGTGGTTAATCAAACTGGATCAGTTTTCACTCAATTTTATAATATTCCTGATTTCAGTTCTATCATGAGCCATTTTATGAAAGCTGTTGGGACTTTTTAGCTGGTTGTAAAAGTGACTGAAATGAACAGTGATGCTTTGTGTGATCTAGAAAAGCAAAGAAGACCATCAGCACCAATAGTGACAGGCTGTGAACTATACAGTAAAGGTTAAACACGCTTGTCCTGACTCCTGACAGTAAAAGGAATCAGTCATTGTGAATATTTGTTGTGAAAAAAGCTGAGATTTGTCATCAGAAAACACAACATGTGTATGTCAAGGACAAGAGTGAAGAAAAAGTATTACTTTGTCCACAGGGGGCGCCAGAATCCATACTAACTAAAGTCCCTTGGAGATTCTTGCATTACCAAACCCATTTATGTCATTTTATAACCATGTTAATGACAATATACTGTAGACCACCATGCTAACAGATAAATATACCTTCCTACACACCTACAACATGACCTAAATAGTGATGTGTACTGCAAAGTTAATTGTTGTCTTAACAACAAACAAACAATACTACATACATCGACGTAAACGGTTAAAGAAATGCTTATGCTGATTAAATTACACACACACTGTATGAATAATTTGAAAAAATTGCATATCTTTAAAAGAGCAGGACACTTTGGAGTCACTTTAACAAATTGGGACTGAGGATTTGAGACTCATTAGATTTGACTTTTAACCTTTGACTCAAACCTCTGTGGCTGCACTTTGACTTAATATTTGATGACTTGGCTTCAACACTGCTTAGCTCCAGCTCTGTGATAATTGACCTCATTAAAAGAAAACCTCTCAAATCCCCAAAGGACCTCAAATATTTCTAAACTTTAAGTAATGGAGCAGTAAAATGTTATTTTACTGTTGCTCAGACTCTTATTGGACTTCTAGGACAGACTGTGATACTTTGAGTGTTGTTTTACATGTCAACATCACATGACTTCAGTGTGTGTCCTTCACAGTGAGATAAACAAGCCAGAATGGGAGCAGAAGAACCTTGACAAAGCCATTGGGTAAGAATATGCGTGTGTGTGTGAGTGTGCAGGCTAAACTGGGCCTCTGCTGCAGGAGCTCCTGTGAGTTTTGGCCTCGATACAGAGCCGTTTTAACGGTGGACAGCTGTGTGATGTGGCCTTGAAGTGTGCACGTGTGTGTGTATGTGTGTGTGCGTTAATTTGCAGGGAGTGTTTTACTGCTGAGTGTGTCCTGCCGCTCTTCAGTCTGCATCTGTGCTGATAAGAATAAAGGACTGGCTCTGAAAACAGACACAGTCACATCAATCCCTTCAAACACACATTATTGTAAAGACTGGAGCTGTAAACTTTAAGTTGTTTATCGTGCCCTGATAGAGGAAACTGTGTGCAGCAAGGGTAAAAAGCCACTTTAAACGTTTTTAATCAATTACATTTAGAAAGTATTGACATCAAGTTCAGTTCAAATGTCTGTAAAGGGAACCATAAAAGTAACAAATATTGCCATAAATCATGCAGGAAGCAGTACTTGGCCTATTTCAAACCAAGAAAACACACCTCATAAGTTTAAGGTTTAATCTGAATAAAAGATGTTCCGAAATCTGTGAAACAAATATGAACAATAACATCACTGCACTATGATCAAACTTTCAAAAACTTCCACCTGTCTTCTCATGTCCTCTCTGCAGCTTTTCTTTTGCCATCGTGGGCATCAACATCACAGACCTGGCTTACTCTCTGCTAGTGAGCGGGGCTCTGAAGACTCACCTGTACAATGTGGCCCCAGAGGTGCCGAGCCTGATGCACTTCCAGCAGACCTTCTGTGAGTTCAGATGATTTCGATACATCTTATTATACTGTATATCCACGGGAGCTTGCAAAGAGAACAAAATTACAACTAAGTAGGAGCAGGTATCAATATATACACTATACAAACAAACCAGTTACATCAGAACTGCCTAAGGTTGAGTGTGGAGTTCCACAAGGGTCCGTACTGGTACCACTATTTTTTATGTTGTATATTATTAACTTAAATGACATTTCAAGTGCTTTCAAAACAATTTTGTTTTCATCGGGAAAACTGATGTTTGCTGGGGGAAATGATTTTAAGCAAAACTAAGTTTATAATATTTGGAAACAGGACCAATTTGAGCAGAAAACTCATGATAGATATGGAAGTGAAAAGTGAATTAAATAAAATCCTCCGAAGTAATAGTTAATACTTAAAAGAGTTGAATATAAACATATAAATCCTATCAGAGCAAAAATATCAAAATCGATTCACATTTTACACGAGGTTAAGAATATTTTGATATTGAGCAGTTGTTGAACACTGAATTTTGGGGGTACTACAAAACGAATGCAGACACAATCTTCATTGTTCAGAAAAGAACCATAAGAACCATCAGTAGAACCGCCTTCAAACCAACTTTTCCAAACAGGAGAGGATAAACTTACCACCTTTTCTTTATGACAGGTTACCTGATGCAGGAGTTCCACCGTTTCTGGATCGAGGAGGATCCCAGCGACATCATGGAGTTTAACCGAGTCCGCTCCAAGTTCCACAGGAGGATTCTGAGACAGTTGAAGAACCCAGACATGGCTCTGTGTCCCCATTTCACTGCCTCTGATCTCCACCTGGTCAACCTCTAAACATCTGTGACCCCCTCTGCTCCCTCACTGACCCCCCTCACACCCCAACGAGGTCACCCTTGGTTGTCTGGTAGGCCAAAACAAGATAAAACAAAAACAAAACAAAACAAAAGAACAGAAAATCCCCTCTTTATTCTTACAACTGGGGAGACTCTGCTCCCCTCTCCTGCTCAGCTAATGTCATGTCGCGTCACTGCCAAAAGCTCACACAACCTCTGCACACACATACAAACATACACACACACATACATACATACACAGACACACACACTGCCTCTGCGCCCTCACTGCAGCGTCAGACCACCAGCATCAGAGACGACCATAGCGATTGTAGCTGTGCATGAGGAGGCTGCAACACACCGTCACACACTCATCTTTGCTTTAATGATTCAAGAAGATTGTACGACAGCCGTTACACCTCAGTTATTGTTCTCATTACAAACCAAATTTACTTTCTCAGCCAAAAAAATCCCTCCTAGATTGCACCGTAGTGATCATTTAGTGTGAATATGTTGGCTGTTAGCTGGTTGGGCTTTTAGATATGAGCTTAAATATGTTCAAAATAATATTTTCTAATTCAAACAGAAATAGAGATAAGTAATGTGAGTTTAAATGAGATGTTGAGGCATAATGGGAAATGTTTCTGGCACCAATTCAATCAAAAGTGAAACTACAACACTGGGCCAGTTCATTTCTTTACTTTGTCTCTTTACTTTGTCTGTATTAGTTCACTGAAGTAGATTGTACTGTACTTTTTACATTAACGTTACATTTACAATGAAGACTTTACCTTGCCAAAATATCGAATGTGGAGAGCTCAAAATCACAGCAGGGGATAGTGTTGCTTGAGCGTAAATGTAAGTTTTGTAAACCTGCAAAATCACGTTCATAAACATTCACATGTATGGATCTTGAAGAGGCTCCAACCAGCTTTTCATGCACGTTTACACCGAGAGAAATTGAACTTTTTTAAAGGTTTACAAATATTTTTGCCTTTAATTTTGAAACCATTGCAAAGATTCTGTTATGAATGTTTCTCTCTCGCTCACATTTCGTGATTGTTCACTTCTATTTTAATCCATTGAATGTGACACTGTGTCCACTGTTGTATCAGCCAAAGCAATAATTTACATCCATGTCACTTCATATTTCTTTATATGTAATGATTTGCACCATGCATGCCTGAGTGTTTGTTTTGTACTCAGAGCTGAAAAGATAATCAACTTAGCATTTCATAAAGGTAAATTACAACCACGTTAATTTTCAAACACTAGTGTAATTTCTTTGAACATTAATGTGTTAAGCAGTTGGAGAGTCACACATTACAGCAGTCAGATTTGTTGGAAATCTGTCAAGAGGCTTTTCAGCAGCACAGACATGTGACCTGTTCAGTTAAACCAAAGACTAATGGTAGTTACAAGATGCTAATAGAAAAAAGTCCTCAAACTTCCAAAAATCAACAGAATCTACACAAACAGAAAGGAAACAAACCTTTTTTCCCTTCTCTTAAAGCAAAATCTCTGATTAAAAAAAGACACAGTAAGACAGCAGAGAGTGCACAGTGAAAATGTAATATGTCTAAAAAGCGGAGGCGTTGACCGATCAGTCGTCGCACCTGCTGCTGCTGCAGAGCTCCAGACTGTGAAAACTAGTCTTCACTCATGGTATTCATGGCTGTCACTAACAGCTCCATGCTGCATCACTTTCATAAATCAGATTTTCATTCAGAAAAGCAGTGGCGCTTGGAGATATCAACTCTCATGATTCAACACAAGGGAGGATTCAGCCTTTCTTCACTCAGCTGGAGTATATGTGCACGCTCATTTGAACAGCACGTGTTTAACAGCTTTTTAACATGAAATGGATGTAGATCATTTGATATTAGTCACACAGGACAACTAGTCAATCGTTGTTAAGGATTATAAGGCAGCACCCTGGGTGGCCAATCAGATTAGAGGGCTGTTGCCATGGCCCTGATCTCACACTACCTCAGGACCTCCTGAATCCTCATTTCAGTGAGGCATGAAGTAGCAGAAATGATCTTCTGTACTTTTTAAGCAGAACCATATTTAAAGCCTATGTAGGAAATGTTTTTCCCCAGCTTTTTTTTTAATTGTTTTTAAATCCTAGTCTGCAAAAAGAAGAAATTCTGAATGTGATTTGAACCAGCAGTTATATAAATTATAACAATGTTGAATAAAAAAATGATAAACTAGGACACTAGAATAAACTTCATGGCTGAGTTTGATTCTCCTTTTAGCTCTGAGTCACTTTTAATTATCACTGAAAGTCAAATTCACAGAGCCCAAGCCTGATGCACATGTTCTTCACAGCGTTGTTTACTCACTCGATCATGTGACCTGCCGTATTTGACATTCATGAACGTTCACATCTATGGTGTGTGATGCTGACAGCTCTGACTAATGTCCTTATCACCAAACTGACAATGTATGATATGATTTTTCTGCCATGCTTGCACTGTTGATTGTGTTTTTGAAAGTATTATAATGACTTTGTCCCCTTTGAAGTGATGCTTCCCGTCAGTGTTATGCAGCTCTTTACTTCAGTGAATGTCAGCGCTGGTTTCATCTCCTGCTTCCTCTTTGTTTCGCTCCGCTTCAGTCAGCTTTGCACTAATGTAAAAAACGAAATTGCCGTTTGTTTCATGATAGTAAATCAGTGATTTGTGGTTTTAGGAGAATAAGGGCCAAAGTGTCCACAGATACTGTAGATGACATTTAGTTCTTGCTGCTGTATATTCTGCTTTGAAACTGCCTCCAAGACGACGCAATCTGCATGAAGATATTTTCATTGTCACTAATAAAGGCATACTGCTCTCTGCAGTGGAGCCTTAAGTACTTCTAGATATTGTAACTGTGCGCTTCATTTGTCTGTGCTGTACTTTTTGAGACCACAATAAAAACTTCAAGTCCATGAAATTATCCTTGATTACTGTTGTTTTTTTTTTTAAATATAACCTTTTAATAACTTCACACTGTCCACTGATGCTCAGTGAACAGCAGAGGGCAGTCAGCTATAACACCACACAAGGCCTACAATAGTAGAGGTCTTGTAAACTCTTACAAAAGTGCAAGAAAAAGAGGAATAAGGAAAAAACATCACATAACTGCCTTTTATTGTATTTGAAAAGATCATACTTGACGAGAGAAATGAAACTTTCTAACTGCAATCAGGTTTTTTATTGCAAAATATCAACAAGGATTTGTTTAAATTCCAGTAAATGGCACAATAGCGCTGCAGTAATCCATCATTTTAGTAGTCAAGAACTGTATTGATTATTTTGCAGATAATTTAGGTAACAGAATAAAAAATGTTGCACACTCTGCAAAACATTTCATTAAGGGGAGTTTTTGCCTTAACATAGAAGAGGGCTGAACTGCCCTTTCTCATTTTTGGGAGGGTCGTATGAGGCGAAGAAAAAGTGCTCTGTCTTCCTCCTGGTCTAATCATGAAAACAAAAGTACCAAATTGGACAATGGAGCTTATTTTTCTCAGATAGCTACTGTTTCTAAAAAAAACATTGCTACAATACCAATAACTCTCATTGAATTATCCAGGAAAGTGTGTGTGTGTGTGTGGTGCATTTTATACTGAAATAAACCAAAAATGGAGGCTTGACGAATAAAATTAATCTCTGTGGGTTAAAAAATATTATAATTTAAAGTTTTGTGGCCAAGTGCTCAGGCTGTGTCTCATTTTCTGTTTGGCAACAAATCTTAATTTTCGGTGGTTTTCTCTTGTTCGTTGCTCATTTTGCAATCGTTGTTGTTGTTAGCGGTGTTGTGCCGAGAAACGCATGTCCTCCGAGAATTGCATGCACCTCGCAAAACGCGCACCGCTTATAGTAGAGTGGTCCACGGAAATATACATTTTAAAACCCATACAGTTCTTATTTGTTGGGCTTAACAGTCAGTAAAGTTCCGAAAGTAATTCTCAGCGGACACGCGTCTCACTCCATGTGCAGAACATCTGCAGGGGTGGGTTTCCTCCTCTCTGATTATGATTGACAGCTGGCAGGGTAGTCTGATTGGCAACTGAGAACTGAGTCTGATTGGCAACTGAGTAAAGGACAAAGGTGATTGGTGGATCGCTGCAAAGCACATGCAGTGTCACATGCAGTGTATCTCAGTCAGCTACCCTTGAAATTAACTGAGTTCATTCATCTCCGACTATCGCACACACGTATATCGTGCAGGCCTATAAGAGAGAAAAAAACATACATTTTTCTGCGGTAGGCTCGGGTCCGTATTGGACTCTTTCCCGGTCCGGAAGTGGACCGCGGTCCGCCATATGAAGACCACTGGTCTAGAGTCTAGAAAGTACGTGTTTAGTATGTAGGAGTAGGATCTAGCAGTAGTATGTAGCAGTAACATGTAGTATCCGAGCGGGCAATTCGGACGCAGCATATGTCTTTTCCTCCCTCAGGCCTCCGTGCACTTCCGTTGTACAGTTGCACATGCGCAGTCCCTTCTCTCATACACGATAGAAACTAGTGGACCGGAAGCGTGACTGATTTTAAATTCTGTGAATACAAGTTTCCCACTGTTTGCAGCCACAACTAGTACAACCAGTTACTCTTCAAAATCCAATAACACCATTCCTGAAATTCAAAAGACTCGTTTATCTCTACTTTTCGTCATACTCGCCAACTACACCGGATTAAACCTGAAAACAGTATTTTACTGTTGTTTGCACTGTGTGGACTCAGTCGGTCGTTATGGGAGATTGTGTCTTGCCACTGCTCTCGGGACCCGGACCGGTAAAAACCTTGTGGCAACACGTGGCAAAGTTCTTGGTCCTGATGCATGGAGCCTATGGGAAAAATACTGGGGCAACTAAGTCCAGCAACGGGTTTGAGGGAGAGAGCCAGCCTTCACTTCTGACATCAATGGACCGCCTCTTGACTCGAGATCTTGGATTCACTTGGATTCGACTTGATCGGGTACCAGGATGGCAGCGAAGAGAAGCCGAGTCCACTA